AGTTGCAATAACTGATCTACTCATTCTTTTTGATTGGTTTTTATTAGCATGTCTCAGTGGGAATACATTAAAGTGTGCTATAGGCTCTTCACTGGATCTTACAACCAAACTTTATTTATTCCTAAATACCTGAGTGGTTCGGAATTATCTTATTTCTTTGCCAGAACATTTGATTTGATAACTTTAGAAATAAATAAGCTTCAGATACATACATCATATGCTTTGAATGACAACTACTTACTATATGATATCGAGATCTGAAATAGTCGGTCTTGTCATATCCGCTGTATTACCTGTGCCCGTCAAAAAAGAAGCCTTGGCTCAAAGGTGCATCACGATAGCTCCAAAATTGTGCGGGCGTAGTCAACGACTCGGATCCGACTCGCCATGCTGATCATATATGTATGTATGTATGTATGTAGATGTGTCGAGTATATATGTCACAAGTGATCTAGAATTGTTCCTTCTGTGTGCCACCCTGACACTTTTCAATGCTCTCTTTCTGTCCACAATAATCAATACACATGTATGTATGTATATCTAATATATCTGTCGTACAGTAGTTAGAACTATATAGTCAATAGCTTAAGTAACGCTGGACTGTATGAATGGGGAGTTATAACTTTATTCAAGCGAAAAAAAAAACAGACATACTATATGTACTTACAAAGCGATTTTAATTGGCATGCCCTCAGTGCATGTTTACAAATAAATTCATCTACAAACAAACGTACATATAGTACATGCATATGCATATGTATGTATGTACATATGTAAATTGACAGCGAAGGTAGGTTAGTAGTTCACCTGTTGATTGACATTAGCGCGCATTTATGAATCTATGTATGTTCACGTGAGTGTGTATATGTGTGTGTGTCTGTTGGTGATTAAATGCATTCATGCAAATGCATTTATTGCGAAAGCTTAAGCAGCGAAATATGATATACTATAAGTGCATATATGGTCGCGTTTAGTGCATATGTATGTATGTATGTGCATATGTGCATATGTATTATTTATGGTGCTTATATTGTATGTACGATTTGCGATTTGTGCATTGCGCATGCTTTCCAACCACATCAAACAGTTTAACTGGCACTTTTTTGTAACTACAGGCCCGCAGGGGGTCGGTACGAGGCCTCCAATATTGCACAATTTTTTCTTCTTCTGTTTTTTCGTTCGCTTTGCCGCATAAAATGAAACAAAATAATATACCTACATACATATGTATGTATATACATACATAGGTATATAAAAGTAACAATAACAAAAACAAAAAAAAACAGTTACAAAAAAGCCAAATAAAATGAAAGCCATTAGCTTTGGCGCGGCTTTGGCAGCTAAAAAGCAGACGTGCATACACAGACACATACTTATGCACAAGCCGACGTGTGGCCAGAGAGTGGAGAGTGTGTGAAGAGTGAGAGAGGGAGAGAGGGGAAAAGAGAGACACTCGCATTCGCTTACTTGCTTTACTTTACTTAACTTTATGGCTTTACTGGCTGACCCGGCATCAACAAACTTGAAGAAGATACTGTGCAGTGACGTCATTATGCTCAAACCAATAAACATATACAGTGTGTGTGTGTGTGTGTGTTTGTGTTTGTGTGTACGCACAGTGGAACTGTGCTAATGCGAACTAAGTGCCTGCTCGCCTGCTTGCCTAGCCAGCATCATCATCAAATTAAAATTGATGTATTTAGGTACATACTCGTAAATTTTCTCAACTTTCTTGCCTCAAGATCGCCGTTTTAAATGAGCCGATTGTGTGGCACCCCCCATCCACCCATCCACCCATACAACCAAACACCCACTCGAGCAATTGCAAAATGAGAGCTTTATTGGAACAAAAATAAGTATCTCAGGCATGCAACCTATCGCACACACACACACACACACATGCACACATGCACACATATTTGTACACACATATGTACATATACCAACGCTCGTAAATAAAAACAGACACTTGAAGCCCAGCCGCTACTTTTAGTTAAGATCAAACAAACGGTGGAAAATAATAAAAAATAAAAAACAAAAAAAAAACATGCAGATAGGCAGCGAACAACACACATGGACGAGTCCGAGACCCTATCGCTAGACTCGTGATCTTGAGAGCATGCAAACATACACGAGTTTCTGCTTACAAGCATACACACACACACACTCACACAGATACACACACACACACACACACACACACACATACATACATAGATATGTACATGTGCGTGTCGTAAGAAGGCGCGTATGAGCCTCAATGCGTACTTTTGGCAATAATTGCGACTTTATTTTTATACGTACTCGTACATACAAGTATAGGCCTTTTATTTGCTTGTTTTTGTTTTTGCGCGCCACTTTGAATTTTTGAACAACTCCCCGTATGCCGTGTTCTTGAAAAGCGTCAAGAGTGCTTGGCCAAATAATGTATAGCCCCGAGACCATGGAACCGGACAAGTTTAATTCAATTAACGCAATTTCCTTTCCTTTTCAAGCCGTCTCTTATCCACTCGTTAGGTTGCGAGCGGTATGAGGAAGCGTCTCAAAAAAATCAGACAATTTTTCGCATTCTACTTCAATTATTTATTCCCTTAAAAGGCATCGAGTGTAAATATTTCAAATAAAGTACATTTTTTAAATAATTTTGTACAAATAAGTTTTTATTTCGTATTGTAATAACATTGAAAGTCGTTGAGTACAAAAATACACATTTAAGTTCATTTCAATTTTAAAACAATTTTAATTTTATTTTATTTCTCCAAAAAACAATTAAAACGCACCTTCAAGCTACCGAAATTATGCTACAAAACGAGTTTTTTAAGCTATTATATTATAGTTCAGAAGACGACTTGCATATGTATGTACATACTTGGAATTTAAACTTTTATTCTTCCCAACATTAAGTGCCATTCAGCCAAAAACGTATTTAAATTAAGAAACATACGAGTATGTTCATCAAGGAGAATGAAATCCCTTTTAATGTGTCAGTAGATTATAAACTGGATTGACTATACTTAAATGATATTTTTAAGTATTTACTTGCAGTAATATAATTCGACTATATATGAAGTATTTTAAAAGTAGCAGAAGAATCGCCTGAGTTTCTAAAGGGCGCATTTGCTTTGATAACTAAACAAGTGACAAAAGTGTTACTCTTTCATAAATATACTATAAATATTTGAATCACTTTTTATTAAATTAGAAAAGAATAATATTGATACTAGAACAATACTGACAACACTCTTGTTTGGCATTTCATTTCCTCTCGCTATACATTTCACTTTAAGTCCCTGCTCTATTCAAAAAATGTATGATACTTATATTAAAGTTATTTTAAAGATAAATTTTAAGTGGAGTTTTGGCTGTTCCCAAAATGTCACTATTTTTGTGTTGTTGCAAGACAAATGACAAAAATTAAATAAAATGTGAACAAATGAATCAAAGTCGGAAATACATTCGAAGTGTTTAAAGCAATTGCGAAACTTTTCATTATCATTATTTATTTGGTTCGATAATGATTTTGAACGCAGAGTGAGTAAACGATTTATTTTGCAAATATATTAGAAACTTAAAACCGCTGTAGTTATGCCAAAACATGAAGTTGCAAAATATGACAGCATTTTGAAGATGGAAATACATTACGCCACTCCTAGCCTAGTTTTCATAAAAGTACTTATGTACAGCCTTAATATGGGAATGGCTCCTAATTTTATGACCGAAATGCAACAATTTCTGTTTAGATTGTTGTTGTAGTTGTTGGTGTAAGTGATGCTTGGTACTTCAAGAATTCTGGGCCAAAGAAATGGTTTCGTTTGGGCGCAGTGCACACTGTTATGGACAAGTTAGAGGGCCCACACATACCCACTTCTACCTATACTATACAGATAGATATGAAGAAATGTACGAGTATGTATAAATGCCTTTATTGAGGTCGATTGTTCATTTATCGTCAATGTCACTCATCGGTTGGTGTGCGCGTGTTTTGTTGTTTTTACACATTCCCGATTTTTGTTTTGCTTTTGCGTTTTGTTTATCTTTAAGCCGTTCATTACAAGAAATGAGATTGAGAATGGGAATGGGAATGATAGAGGTGTTTCCAACATTTGGCCCAAAGTGTTTCCCAATTTAGAGCAGCTGGAGCATTTGCTGATTTGTAATGTTTATCTTCAAAAAAAAAAAAGAGCTCATATTGAAAAATAAAAAACGCCTGCAGATTCGAAACATTTGTGTACTCGACGTGCATAGCAAAGTAGCCCTCAGAAGTCATAAAAAGAGCAATGAACTTTCTGCATCAATTACCTCTTCCAAAGGCAACAAAAAAAAAAAAATGAATAAAATTGAAACTAGTTTTCTTGATTTCTGCAAAGATTTGTTTCCCAAAACAAAACAGAAAATGACAAAAAAAAAAAATGTCTTGCAGTGCGTTTTGTGTTCAGCACCACCGTGCCGCAGTTATAGGGTATTATAGAGGGTTGTTAGACGATTTTATTGCCAGCAGGGTTGGTTGCACACACTAAGGGTGGCTGAGATACCACCCGCGCCCAGTCTACTTGTATGACCCAAAACGTGCCAAGGTTAACAAAACCATAAACGGTGAACGGCTGAGGGGAGAACTTGGGACACATGGTTCTGGCTCGAAAACACACCGTCCCATGTGCGATCATTTTCAAAATTGGTTTTTTTCTTTGCATTCTCAAACAAATTTGCCATATTAACACCCAAAGACCTAACCTGCATCAGATTTCAAGCTCGCCGGCTCTCCTCGCTTCAACCAAAATATGTATGTCAGCCAATTTGCAATTCGATGGCGATTTCACGAACTCTACTCTAAACACATCGCATAGCAGGCTGCCCAGTATGGGATGGGAATGCTAAGTGCTTCAAAGGTTTTTTATTACGCGCCCGAGTGCAATCTTTCATCACATTAATATGTTAATGCTTATTTTTTCACTTTTTACTTTTTTGTCTTTTCTTCCAGACAAATTATTGAACGATCGAAATACGTCAGAGCCCGCAGCATGTCGGCGTTATAAGTGAAAAATAAATATATTTTAAGAAGATACGAAGAAAATTATTACATGTAAGTCAAATAGAACAATATTTTATATCCTAAGCCCAAAGTACTAGTATACGAGTATATATTTTGTTTATATACATAGCATTCTTTCTTCTCAACTTAACAGACACCTTTTATTTAGTACTATAGTGTACATTGAATTCGACAAAGATTCAAACAATAAAGTCAGATTCTAGATCCCTTGCGCCTCGAAAGCATTTTAATCTTTTTTTCTCAGTTTCTTAAATTTATTTTTCTACCATTAATTTATATTTCATTTATACTTATAATTGAAATTAATTTTGTAGTTCATAAATGATTTTATAATTTTGTGATGGTATCTAAAATATAGAAATTCAACATAAGGTTTCTCATCAAAACTGATATCAGTTCACTTTTAAATAGCTGGGTGTTAGTTACAAACATATTATAGAGTCTCCTCATTGAACAACTGACTTAAAAGCTAACTAATACTTATTACCTTATATATATTTATTTTTTAGATTTTTTCTAGCGGTCATTACGCATTCATTTCAATGGTGGCCGACCGTATCAGCACAACTTTCAGCTTTCTTCCACTCCAAACCCCCTCGTTATCCCTCTTGTCCCATCTTAAGCACTCCAGAAAAAAATGTCTGACGCGATTTGCAGCGATCGAAATGTCGAAGCACCTAGTACTCTAACCGAAACAATAATAGTGGACCCGGATACTGGTTCAACGCAAAGTAGCCCAAACTTTGAGAGCAGTTCCAACAAAATAGACTCGAAAACAGACGAATATTTGAATAATTACATAAACGAGCCCTTAAAAATCATCGAGCCCTTTGAGAATGAGGACCCGGTGGACAGAATAGAACACAAAAGCTTTGATATATCAGAGAAAAATAGCCAAGATAAGGAGAATAGTAATAGCAGATCGAAGAAGTCAGTATCTTTCAATCCCAACGATGAGCAAATCCGAAAGTTTACAACAGGAAAGCCAATAATCGACCAGAAGAATCCATTTAAAAACGGTCATGTAAACGGAAAGGATAAGAAAACGCCTCCGCCAGTGCCAACAAAGCGCTCAACTCTAAGTATACGAAAAACCGTTACGCAACAGCTACGCGAACGGGAGCGCGAAAAGGAGAAGGAGAGAGAACACTTGAAGAATCAGGCAAACGCACGAAAGAAAAACGGAAAGGTCAGTTCTGGAACGGGAACTGGAACTACACCCGAGGAGTTTATAACCACAGAAGAAGTCCTTAAGCAGTCCAAATATGTGAAAACCTATATTAAAAATCCCGATCCATACTTTGTATACGATCCAACGGTATTAGCACGCATCAAGTTCGAAGAACTTCGTGAAATCGCAGAGAAGCCTCCGAAGAGGAAGCAAACACATACCTCGCAACAATCTGCAAATCGAACTAAAGATTCAAAGTCCAATAGGCTTTTTAAAAATCAGGAGGCTACAAAACCCAAAATACCCACTTTTAAAAAGTGCTCGAAGCCAAATTATCCCGAACTTGCTAATTTGAAAATCAAAATAGGCACCGACCCCGACCCTGACGGCAATTACTTTAATCCAGCGGAGGTAACGAAGAATGCGAAAAAGTTTGACGAGCGTGTAAAAAAGTTACAGATTAGTTCTGATGATGATCTCGACGAGATTGATGGTCCGCTAACGAAAAGCGAATCGAGTGATGAATTAACCAACAATTCAGCAGTTGTTCAACATTCAGAAACTGAACAGCAGGATACATCAAATAATTCCAGTATGTCTACAACTAACGATCAATCGCAGCCAGAAAAAATTCCCAACGGGGCTGGCACCTTTACAAACACCATAACATCGGAGGAGTTTCAAGCGTATCTCAAACGCAAGGGGCTGGCCCTTATGCCCAAAAAAGATATGGTGCGTACCACACCCAAGCCTAAGCCTACATTCCAAGCGTCCGACGATCATAGTAAGAGAGTCGCCGAGTCTTTGGCCGCCCTGCGTAAAGATAACACCAAAAAGTTATCCGTTCTCCAGCGTCTATCTAACAGTCTTTTCGCTACGAAACGCAAAACAACACCGAAGAGCGTGGCACCGAAGCCCCGACTTATTTATAGTGAGATCGACGATATCCAAAACTTTGAACCGCCATCGAGCACGCAACGCGTTCTTTTGGAGGGACAGAGCTACCATGGACCTCGCGGTCAGGCGAAACCTGCAAATGGGGAAATCATTCCAAGAGGAAGAATATCGAGCTCCAGTTCAACACGTTCCCCAACGCATGGCAACGGATCATGGCAAGGAAGAAACGGACATTCGCAATCCCAAACTAATCCCAATAAAAAGGTTAACAACCCGGCACATAATGAATTGAGTCTTGCACCAGCATCCGAAGAAAAACTCGATAACAATACAAATGCGCCTTTCCAACGCACCTTGATACGACAAAGCTATATTCCGAGACGAGTCCAGGCAGACAACAGCCTCAAGATATTCCCTCGATCAGCTTCAATGGATAGAAATCAAATTAATGCCTTTAGTCGGAAGAATCGCTTAGAGACTGAGGGTAAGCAACGTCAGTCGCTGGCTTTGTATGTAATGCCTTCTGAACCAGCGAAGGAGGATCGTTCAGATCCCATTGCCACATCCACACCGCTTCGCAAGAAATTAGAGAGTCCACAGCTCTTCCATCCCACTAACAATCAAAATGAATGGGAAAAACTACGTGCTATTAAAGAAGTCACCGACAGACAACTTTATAACAAAGTCCTCCAACAACAGCATCATCAGCACCAGCAGCACCAGCAGCTCCAACAACACCAACAACAGCAGCAGAGCGAGGAAAACATCTACGAGCATCTGCAGCCGAATCAGCTAATGCCGATTCCCGCCTCCATGCAGTCGTGGCCCTCGCAGCAATACTTTGCTCGCGGATCTCTACAACGGAACACCTTCTCAGGTATTAGTGGGCGCAATCGTCAGGTGATGATTCTAGATGGTAAGCAGCATGTGCCTGCAGCACCGCAAGCTCAAGTGCCCCAGCAGACTATGACAGATTCGCATATGAGTCTCGTTTCTCTGCCGCGTTGTCAGAGCGTCCTGGACGACTTCGTGTCCAGCCCTCATAGTTCTCAGGCCCGCGGTCGCGGCTACGAGAGTGAGAGCGAAGCACCCGTTGTTTTGAGACGCAAGGAGGCCACTAGCTCACGACGAATTGGTGGCCTGCTGACGCGTGAAGAAATCATGGAAAAGGTCAAGGAATTCTGCCGCAAATCCATCCACAAGGCAACGCTGCCCGCCCTGAAAATGCAACCAATCTACGAGCGACAGCAAAACTTTGCAGATATCTCGCCCGTTTCGTATGCTTCGGTGGAAACCCACAAGAGGCCTGCATCCCAATTGAGTGCAGCCCCTCAAGTGCCTCTAAGAGTGCAAAGCTTACCCCAACGACATGTACAGACACCCATCTACGCGCACGTCAATAAGCGCGGAAGCTTGCTATCAAACGACTCGGAACAATATTTATCCAATCAACAGTTGCCCCAGCGGGTGTTGCAACCCACAGAATATATTATCCTGGAGACCGGGGAGAAATTGCATGGAACAAAAGCGGCGATGGATCAACTTAATTATGGAGTATATGTGCAGCCCCAATTCATACGTTCCACCCCACATGGCGCCTATTTCCATATTGAAGACGCCGTGATGCAGAATGGACGTAGCACGCCTTTAATATTGGATCGCTCAGCAGGTCAGCAGGCAAGTCAAATCTATTGGACGCCCCAGAATCAGCGACTACAACAGTCGCGTCATGTTCTCACGCTGCCTCCTAATGCACGGTATGCCGGAAAACAAATCTATCCAGTTCCTGCACCACGCACTAATGTTCCTGGACGTGTAATGACCATGAATGGCGGCCAAAATCTGACCAATGTCCAAATACAACAACATCAGCAACAATACGCAACTTTTGTTGTGCCCGCACCAAGAAATCTACAACAAAGACAACAACAGCAGCAGCAGCAACAACAGCAGCAACAACAACAGCAGCTACAACAACAGCAGCAACAACAACAGCAGCAACAACAACAGCAGCAACAGCAGCAGCATGTGGTAGGAAATGTCGAAATACGCCACAACACAATGGATGGCAACAGTAATGGGAGCGAGCTGTGCCGTATAATGGAAAAACCGCATTAAAACAAAGGTAAATTGATGCGGAGCATTATTTCTCAGTTTTTTTATTTATTCGTTTTTAAGAGGTTGTTTACAAAATTTCCAGGTAATAACAATCGAATTGTTCTCATTTCCATATTTTGCCACAAGGAAAAATGAAGCTTTATTTAAAAAATATACACATTTTTTAGAGCTATAGTCTTATTAATAAGCATTTGAACAATGAAATTTTCGCGCCAGCACAGCAGTGCTGCCAAACAAAGCAAAATGCTCGAACTGCCAACTATTTTTAAACAGTGCTGGTAAATGATAATTCGCTTGCCATAGCGCCAGCTGCGTTGCCTTTCACAGAGTTGGCAGCGCCCATATACAAGCAAGACGCAATTTTATTAAATACGAATGTAACATGTAAGAGTGAGCTGCTTGTTAGCACAATACGATATACAAAATACAATACATAAAATGCAATTACAAATGAAGTACAGTGTATGTGTGTTTGTGTATATATAAAGCTATATTTATGGGCTTAAGCTACATACATATGTAGGGTACAAGTAATACATATGTATACAGGTACGGACTTACGTATGTAAATAAATATGTATATCTGAAGATCTAGTACATCACATATGTATATACATGCATAAGTATGCAGATAGACTGCGTCTCTTTAGGCTGATAAACAGCCGGGGCCCAGACAACAAAAAGTATTTAGAGATACACATACACAAACACATATATGCATTTGTATTTACGTATATAAATACGTACATACTATATCTGCAAAATTTGTCGCAATAATTTTACATACAAATGAAATGTTGCGCACTAAGTGCGCCAAGGTCGACACGAAAATAAAGAAAGCCTTAATGATACATATACATATGTATGTATATACATTTGCTCATTTCTTTCAGAGTTAGGCCCGCCATTGGAAGTAAAAATGGACGAGAGCGGCGCAACCATTAAATCAAAATTATCAGACAGCAGTACCAACAAAAACTTAACGTCGGCTTCACAAGACGAAACTCTTTGTTCAAGCACATCAAATGCATTTAACACATGGACCATATTACCAGCAGAAAGAATCGAATTACTTGACAACATCAGCAACCAGAGCCATCACCATGGTGTGACAACCACATTGGAAGAGGAATCGATACAGCAAACATCAAGTAAGGAGTGCGAAAGGCTTGCAAACGAAAGGTGACCATCAAGTTGCATTGCAAAACTCCCTATTACAATATAAACTGGAAACTGAGCTAATTAAATTGTATTTTTTTCAGACCCTTAGACGACCCGCAGGCAGATGATATATCGGATGGCATTTCCATCATCAGCGATTGCGAAAGTACTGGACGCATATCACCACGTTCATTTATGCGTGATCAACTACATGAGTTAAATATGAAACTTGATGTGGGAATGGAGCTGCCGACGCCAATTCTCCCGCTTCTCATTACACAAAATGAGGAATCGAACCTGGTCGAGGACTTGGAATTGGAGCAAGTGCGTCAACGGCGTCGTGCCTTGCAACGTGATGAGGATCTGCCACCGACGACGACATCAGCGAGCTCTGGCAAAGAGTTGCAACAGGCTCAATCCGCTGTCAATCGTCATTATCTACCGCCTCTTGTGCAAAGTGGCTTATCAGCCGTATTCTATGTGGGTGTTACCCTCGCAGTACTCGCATTTATTGGCAAGCTGCGCTATCCTGAATGGCAAGTCCTCGGCAATGGCAAACCCATTGCAGATTTGGAACAGCGTCTCAATGATGTGGAGTTGCAGAATAATTTGCTGCGTGCTGAAATTGATATTATGTCGAAGCAGTTAAACTACTTGAATTCAATGACTTCGGGACAAAGTGGACTGGATGGACAGCGCAAAGACAGCGCAGGACGCAAGGGTAAAACCTTCAAAGTGTGGTCAGGCAATGGACACTCTATAGATCCCGTGGATATAACCAAAGAGGACCTTAAGCGTCCGTACCAGTGTCCTGATGGCAAATTTGTCGATATCGCCGCTATGTGTATAGAAAACAAGCCCTATGCCGAATCTCTAACAGATGAGATTGGCAGTGTGGTTAACAATGTGCTGCAAAAGTCTCAAACTTTTCAGAATTTTGAAAAGATTACCGAGAAGCTAGGCACATTTACAGAAGCCAAGGAAGACGATCCGACCCGTCCAACGGAGTCAGTGATAAAGAATGACGGTCAGAAGGATTCAAATACATATGACGCCAATAAGAGAATGCCGCAGCGTCATAACAAAGACAGCACTTATAAGCCCAAAGTCAATGAGCACTCCAAGGAGTATACATCACAATACAAACGTGAGAATCATCACTCTAAGGAGCGCTACAATCAAAAAAGGTCCAAGAGCAAAGAAGACAACTCAAAGGAGCGCTACAACAACAGGAAATATGGCGATAAATCTCGAGAGGATTCTCACGAAAAATCCTCTGAAAGACCGAAGCATAGCAAACGTCGTGAAGACGACAGCGGCAGCGGGGAATGGTATGAGGGAATGATGCATCAACGTAAAAATGCAAGACTTCAGAACGAGCAAAAACGTAACAAGAACTGGTACATCGAACGTGGCAATGGTCGTGAGCAAAAGCGTTCCGCCGAAACAAGACATTAATGAGAAGCTAATTGTATTTGTAATGCCTGTCTTTGTATATCATTTAGGATATTCATAGTGGGTTTCATAGCTGGTTATCATCTTAAAATGGTATTGGTATTGGAGCAATGAATATCAAAACGAGATGTACAACATTGTTGCATTGATTTTTCTACTTATGTAATATGGATTGAAAGTGGAAATGTAAAGTATCGATCTTCGATTTTCGATTTTTCTCATTCAAATGGTTCTTGGAAAATTCGATACAAATCATAACGCAAAACGGACAACTAGACATTTAGGTACAAGAAGGTTTCATTACCAAAGAGCCTTTGCATTCGATCCATATGTCATTTAAAGATGATGACACGTTTATAGACCTCACTGGAACAGCCTAATACTGCTTTAGGTCAAATGTTGTACCCGAAAAAAACTACATTATGTGCTTTTTTGTTTAGCTTTTACTTTGTATTCGTGTTTGCATGTGTTTTTTATGTACCAGACAAATATGGACGTGCTTAACTTAAACCTAATGACAAGTTTAGTGGAAAGAAATAAATGCTATGTGTCCCGATTAAGTGACTTCTAAAACAAACCGAAAAAACTCCTTTCTGTAAACTTCAAAAGCTTTCGCTAAAAATAATATATATTTGTGATATATACACCTACACTTTTTTTTTAGATTAGGAATATATTAAATATCGTATGTACCAATTTAGATGTTCCCCTGAAAACCAATGCATATGTATGTATAAATATTTTTATATGCATGTAAATGCTATTAATAAATAAACTATCGCTAAAACAAGTTGAATTTATTTGCAATTTAATTTTTACTATTGGCTCTATTGAAGACTTAAAAACTGTATATTGAAATGAATCCTAACGATCTTGAATAAAACCTGATTACAAATAAATTCATTTGGGTTGTTTAATAGTATTAAATACAGATTTAATACCATGTGGCTGTTTCTCATTATATATACATATTTTCTGTTGGGCACGTTACGAGCTTGGTTATGAAATGCCTAATATCCTTTTCGGCAAGGGTATTGTAAATGACGTGACGCACAGAACTTTCGTCGTTTGTAAGCTTTGACTTTTGACATACATACACATGGACATTGAAAGCTTCGTTACACTTTTGTATTTAGGTAACGCAGCTGTCAAGAGAAAGATTATAAGGGAGAGAGCGAGTGCTACTATCGACAGCAAACACAAAAATAAATTGTAAGCCTTACACACAGCCCGTTATTTGTCAAGTGAACAGCCCATATTGTAAGTGTTGTGACGTCACAGAGTGCGCTCTCAATAGGATGTCAAATTTGGTCAGTTTGTAAAAAATATAAATATAAAATGTATGTCATTTGTAAATAACCGACTTCAAAAAAAGAGAAGGTTATTTTTTGTATGTGCATAGATATGTATTAAAGTTGTTTTTTTTTGCATTTTCAAAAATACTTATATTTTAACTTTTAAAATAAATTATAAATCGGGTCCCCATGACGTGGCTTTGATTCCGTTCTGGAACTCAACTTTTCACGTTTCTATGGCCAGATATCCATTAAATTATTTCACATCAATGACGTAGTACATGAGCCTTAAATAACTGGTACTGCTCTTGGCGTTATCTACCACTCTTCACATCGTGGTGTCGCATGCAATTATGTATGTATTACATCTGTGTATGTATGTACGTCTATATTTGTTTTGTTGCTGGTGGGTTGGCCGATTTGTTCGCGTCAATTCAGTTACTGCAGGACCGTCGGGCGTTTTACACTTACTTAACAGCGTTTGCTGGCAACGCGAGCGCCACAAAAGTTAACGGGAAATTTTTTTTTAAATAAATAGATACATAAGAACAATAGCAAAAGTGGTCATGCACAATACTTACTAGACATTACACAACTCGGTAGCAATCAACAAAAAGGTCCGTGACTAAATTTTATCGTAAAGAAAACAAAGATAAGAATTATAATTATCTTTATTCTTTTTTTTTTATTGTGCATTCGTAAATATATACATACATACATATATACATGATAATATTTACATACATGTGTGTGTGTGTGTGCCAAAAACGTATGTATGTATGTATATATAAATGTTCATATAAACATTTGTACTTCGCGCTGTGTCCCATGCCTAAAGTCGAGAAATCGTCACAAAACAAAAAATAAAAAATGATAATATAATATACAAATATACAGACATATGTACATACATACGTACATAGGTTTGAATAAGCGAGAACATAACGATATGCTTATGCTTCACTCTCTCCTTCATTAAAACACAACAATTTGTCGTCACGGAGTACCACCAACAGCTGATGTCTAAACAACGGCACACATGTAGAAATTATAAAGTTGCAAATTACCTAACTGCATAATAATTGCAATTTTCGTTGTTTTTAATAATGACATACATACATATGTATATACAGAATTGTTGTATGTATAAATGTAATTTTCATGCACTATTGTCGATTTCGAAAGTCGGACAACAGATGAAAAATGGGAGCAATTGCAAAAAGGGCGCAAAAGAAAACAAATTCCGATTGTATGCTGGCAATGCTGCTGCTGCCTCTGCGCTACTTTCGCTGACTGCGCTGCTGCTGTTATTGCATTTAACAGCGTCATTTATCACTGCGTGTCCGACTGCAGACGTTTAACGGCGTTGATGTCGCGTTGCGCGCGAGAATAACTTTTATCTAATAAATAATGTACAAATTATGTTAAGTGTGTGAGTAGGTTAAACATTTTGCTAAAAACAATATCAAAAAAGTGCGGTCGTTTTTTGTTTTGCATTATTATTTATATGTAGAGCTCCCTACTGGGCTGATTGTGACGTATGCAGATGACACACATATGTATCTATATACATATGTATATACATATACACACACAAACATATTTTTATGTTTCTTCTCTCAAAAATTGCAGGCTTGAGAACTTGCGCATGTTCAGTCAGCTGTTTTGTGTTTTCCCAAACAATATTTGGATTTGGAACAGTGCCCGATAAATACGAGAAAAAAAATTGTGCTTGTCTGCCGATATGATGGCGCAGTAGTTGGTTTGGCCAAATTGTTATTGTGCCACTGCCAGTCAAACCCAAAGCTTTGCCGTTGCTCGCCTCTAACCGTTAAACCGTAAATATGTGTCTCTCTAAATGTGTGAGTGTGTGTGTGTTCTTTGCGTGTAGTTGTGTGCATCTCTGTAATCGTGGGTGTTTAGCGCAGTAGTGAGCGTGTGCCCGTTACGAAGATTTCAACATTACGCTAAACGGCAAACGACGAGAATTTCTGTCAACGTTGTTGTTGTTGCTCTGGTCTGTCGGTATAAGGCTATAATATAAGATGTGTTAAAAAAATAACCTAAAAGAGTTATGCAATCTGCAAAGTGAACTGTGCCTCCTAATTATCTGTGGAAATGAAAACTCCCCCACAAATAAGAAAACCACCAAGCCAAAAATGCATCAACCTATTAAAATACCTGCATACATATGTATATACAATTGCTTAATGGAAAATCGGAATCAAAATAATTTATAAAAACAATTTCGTGTTGTTTTTTGTTTTTTGTTTAAAAATGTTTTTGTGCAAGTGTTTATGCATTTATATAACATTTAGTCGACGTATGTATAAACATGCACATACATATGTACATATATGTATGTATAAATATAATATTTATACATACGTATGTTTTCAATAATAGTTCGAGTGTTTTCTCAGCCCCAAACTATATCCCCACACACAGCTGTGTCTGTGTGTTTGTTTGACTTATTTGCGAATAAAAGAGAGGACAACATTAAGCCCGTAACCCATCATAAATATGTACATACTTTAGCTACCAACTAAAGGGATTCAAGTATTGTCATATACTACATACGAGTAAATAAGTACACATTTGCTTTCTGAAGTTGTCTATGATGCAACAACTACGTACATACATAAGTATTTCATGTGATCAGAAAAATCACGATATTAATTAAAGCAAAACGCTTCACCCGCACTTGCCATCCGCCTGCGTATGATGTATACATCTACGTACGTCATATACACATTTGTAAACAAGGCAAAGTCGAGGGTAGGTCGATGCATAGTAAATACCCTAACCAGTTGAGTATTGACCCTATGTATTCATATAGATATACATATATAAATATATATATATCAGTATATATACATACATATTGTAAATCCTCATCAAGGTCTAGATTAATTTTGTATATCATACTCAACTTCGGTATAAAACCAAGAGAAAATCGTTAAACCTGATCCAAATCCAAAATTTATTGAACGATTAATATGTAGACACAAAAATTAAAAAAAAAAATTAGACAAACAACGTGCTGTTTGGAAAACCAGGGCTTTCGAACCTTTTCTAATTATTGTCTAGTATATAAATATCGGTGTATTATATACATATCTATATCCAAGTCATATGCAGCTTACATAAATACTCCTTAACATGAGGTATATTGTTATCTCAAATATCAAAACAAAATTATAAATGCAATACGTTTTCTGAGAGTGTTACCTTGATATGGTGCCAAATGGGCTTACAGTGTTATCATTGAAAATTACCCAAACTCCAAAAAACCTCATTCACACATATGTACTCTATGTATGTAAGTACATATGTACATGCGAATATGTTCTTAAGGCTTTAGTGTTCGACCTTCAAGGTGTTTTGTGAATTCAGTAATTACATAATCTTTTATCTATTTCTACTATATATGTACATATATCTATGTACGTACATATAGATTTAACGCTTCGAACAACTCAAACCAACCGTCAATCATAATTACGTATTGCTTGAAATTTTGTTGCCTTTTTATCTACTATACATGATTTCGTAGATATATATACTTGTATGTACATACATATACTATTTATATGATTCTATAGTCAACATTTGCTCTAACTTTTAGCATGAAAATAAACACAATTGTAATAATAACAACAACAAAAACTGCGCATCTTCTCCCTCTCTATCTCGCTCTCTTCCTGCCTTAGTGCCCCCACAGGGTCCTCTCCCACGAACGTGCTCAATGTATATATGTACGTGTACATGTAGACATACATATACTCGTATATATTTCTGTGTGTGTTGCACTCTTCAACTGTTCGGCTGCTCTGCACCAAAAATCAATAAAATCTGGGCCACCAGCTTTAAAGGTTTATTTAAAAGGTATAAAGCTATCGCTGCCGCCCACAGACCCACAATGTATGTATGTATGTATGTATGTATGTGTGTATGTACGTGAACACTTACAAAGGCACTGTAAGGCAGGCGCGACTTTGCCTTGGTCAGAATAATATCTTCCAAATAAGTTTATTCAGTTATCTCTGTTTAAGAATTTCTTTCCACCATTCCCTCTCATCATTCGCATTTCAAGATGTTCTTCGTTACATGTGTCTGTGTTTCATGTTTCTGTAAGTATATATAAATACATATACATATATACTCGTATGTGTGTGTATGCCGTAAAAGTGAAAACTGAGCTTTTTCAAGTTCAGCTTGTACATGCTGAAATATGTGTGTATAGTATGTATGTACATATGTCTGTGTCTGTGTTCGTGTTGAAAGGTGCACATTTATATGCAGGTGTATGTATGTATATGTATTTATATATACAAGTATGTAGTTACGCTTGTATTTGTATCTGTGTGTGTGACGACAGAAGGTGTGATGGCAGCAACAACAACAAGGGTTGCAAACTACAAAATCGGAAAATGCCAAAACCATTTACATGCAATATAGACGTATGCATGTCTATACATACATATGTATGTATGCGTGTGTAGGCAGGTTAGTACATATGTATAGTTTGTGCATGCTACTACATATGTATATTTTGTGCATATATGCATAAAATTTGCACCATTTGTAGCATTCGTGAATTTTTCGAGACTTCGAATTGGGGCACTGTAGCACATGAGCAATAAATGTATGTATATGTTTTATTTACATATGTACATACTCATACTGAAATGTTTTCTAATTTATTGATAGGAACGTTGGTGAGGCTAACATGTCGTATGATTGATAGGCTCTTGAAAGCTTTGGCTCGGCATCATGAAAGGCATCTTCAATATTGCTGTTTCATTTTATTTTTTTATCTAACGTGTGGCGTAAAACACTAAAAATTGGCCTTCAGCCGGCCAATATTGTATCTGTATGCATTAATGCTTTCCCCCATGTACATAGTTAGATACCTACATATGTAAAACTATAAGTTCTATCAATTTTTAGCCCCCTTTTTGTGTAATCAATTTAACATTGTATTAGAATAGGTAAACCTCCCAATCTAGTATAAAATGGACTCTTCTATAATTTGTTTATATATCAAAAGCTCCCTTGGGACCACTGTTTTTATCGAATTAAAAATCTACAGAAGCTGCAACATCGTTAGGTATGTTTTCAAATTCCTCACCTGAGTCCATTTCGAAATCCTCAACAAGTTTTTTCTGATATAAAAATTCTTAGTTTACGCTCTATACTATAGAGCTATAGAGTCTATAGCCTTAAAGCTTGCTTTGATTCAAGTAAATAGTTAGATTGTCAGACTGTCAGTTCGTTATTATTAATTATTTAATTGACTTTAGAATTCCACTTAAATTAAATGTTAAAATTCCATTGGGCATTTGGTTAAATATACATATGTGGGAATAAGATTTTTTTACTTTAACTTAGGTAGGCGGAGTGTCAATTTCGCTTCAACATTCAGTTATGAAGATAACTTTTACTTACGGTCCAAAAATGCGGAAAAATGCAAATAGTTTTAACATAAATATTTATTTTCAAATTCACGGTACTGGCCTCGCATTTTTTTATTTATGTATGTATGTATGTATAAGCGAAGGGTTTCGAAATGGCATTGCGCATACGCTATGGTCGAGAGTGAAAAAAGAAAACGGTACATACTCGTACATACATTGTATAGAGGAAAATGCAAGCGAAGTCCTGAAAGGCACGACATGAAAACATTCATTGGTCTTCGGTGAACTTCGGGTCTGCTCCAATTATGGTTGCAACTGCTCGGCCTTTGTTCGGGTACCCTTTCATTTTTTTGTCCACCTGTTAACCTACATTTGATGACATTTGGGCTACGTGAGAGTAGATGCTCGTACGATGATTTGGCTGCTCTGCGTGAAAGCTACCGCCGATGACGTCTTTGTTGTTGTTGTACATATGTATTGATTATTTATGTATACGAAGAGTGCTTAAACGTATTGAACGTTATTTATTTGAGTTTTTTTTTTGTTTGTAACTTAGAAGTTTTACAGGAATTTCGGAGAATCAAATTTAATTCTTTTGATGTGCGGCGAGTTTAGTTGATCGTCATCACTGGTTTCTACAATACGACACATAATGGGTATATCCTCCATTTTGGTTCCAGTACGATTGCTCTTTGCACCGAGAGTTTCGACTATAAATTCTTCTTTGAAACTATCCCATTTGCGTGTTTTTAAGAAGTTTTCAAATAGGGCCTCGCGCGAAGGTACATTGCATTCAAAGTAAAATCGGCGACGTTGCCATATATTACCTGGGTTTTGTGCCTTTTCCAGAAGCCAAAATCGTGGCAATAGCAGACATTGGACTGTTGTGCGCGCCATTATAACTCGATGCTCCATTCTTTCGCCTAATCCAAAGACTCCACCATATGTGAGAGAGCCGACATCTATAAAATGAGTCTCGCGCGTCTTCTTCACGCACTTTACAGAAAGAAAAATACGAATATTGTATGTACTAAAAGATTAAAACATATGATACGCGATAAATCAAAGCGAAATACATCATAGGGTGTTGGTGAAATTAAGTGCCGTTTCCGCTTAAATCCGCTTAGGGATAGCCCAACTCAATAGTACTTACGTCTTTTACAAGTATCGAGCTTAAAATTGTGGCCTTTGAATGACCTGCCGAAGTTGCCGTAAATATTTCCATTTCTTCACTGCTGCCCGCAGGCTTTATCGAAACTATTGTGCCTTTTGACCTCGACTTTATCAATGAGCTCTTCCTCTCTTGTGAACTTTTTTCCACCTCCTCGTGTTCATCCAGTTCACCGTCATCATCATAATCATCATCATAATCGTCCCAGTAGTCTGTATCCTCCCCTCCCTCAAAATACTGATGGAATGTACGTGGAACTCGTTTTTCTCTACCTTTAGTTCTTTTTCTTGCCCCACGTAATGGTTCCTTTCTTTCCGGAACGATATGGCCACATGCAATTTCAATATCTCTAAGTCCCATTCTACGCATCTAAACATTTGTTTACATAATACATTTAATTGAAGGCAAAATATATAAAAACCTACAGGTGCCTTTTTCGATGTAACATTGTCTTCCGATGACGATGCCAATAGTGCATTTAAATCAACTCCGGTATGTGACCTAAGAGAGGTTTTCGATGCTTCTGATTCGAACATCTTAGATCCGTCTCTTGGAAGGTCTGTAAGATAGAATGCTTTTTTGCCATTTCTCGTGACGGACTAAAATACACCAAATGACAAAATCTTATCATTAAAATGGTTTAAAAGTTCAAAATATATACCATTCCCTCACCATCAAGTTTAGACACTGCAGTATCACGCATTCGCCGCTCAAAATAAAGTGCACATAACTGACAGAGCCCTTGTCCTCATAATAAATAGTCTGCAGGGGCTCGTATTGCATTAGGGTGCCAAATTTGCACGCATTTATGATCTTGTATAAATTATTGTTAGACCTCCACACTCTATTATTTAATGAATATTATGGGGATAAAAACCTGTTCTTTGTTGAGAAAGTCAAAATAATCGACAGCTGCTAAAGCTGTTTTTTTGTCTTCCCACTGCTTTTTCATAAAGGGCTCGAGAATTTTTCTGTAATCATTGTCATAAACCACCAGGAGCTCACATTGCGCTAAAACAAAAAATGTATAATTGGTTAACTATGCATAATTTTATAGGAAATAATATACAACGAACTAAGTGTTGTGTACGTATTTCTTCTTGGGCAGCGCTCCAGCATTTCGACATCACCTATGCAGTCGCCTGGGCCGAAAATCGCTTCGACTACATGATCCGAGGATTTGGTTGACTAAAATAAATATGAATTAATTAATTTGGGTCCTTGGATGTTAATTCCGTGAAATTCAGAGACCATAACTAACTTACTTTTTGAAAAACTTGCTTCTTCATTTCAATCTCTCCAGTTAAAATAAAGTAAATAGTTATTGGAATATCTCCTTCTTTCATTATTACACGATCAACTCCAAGGGCTTGAAATTTTACGACCGGCACTAGTCGAGCTCGTACTTTCTAGAGGTAATAAAGAATTATGATTCAATCTGATGAGGTTTTCGTAGCCCTACCGGTGGCATTTTAGCAAAGCATGTCATATTAGCAATTATGGAACAAAGTTTTTTACGATCCGCAGTGGATCGACTCCAGGGTGGCGAGCGTATTAAAGCCTTTTCCTATAAAAGGGCAAATCATGGCATATTGCAGTTTTAAAACGATAATCAACCCGTTAGGACACCCAAAATTATCAATTCCCATTAACTTAATAGGTTCTTTGACACACTTAGCAGGAGTTGAAAACTTTCGGTATCATTAGTTCAGACTTGTACTCACCGAAATAGTTAGCATGCCCACTTGGTGCTTCTGGCGCACGAGTAACGCTACGTTTTTTTTTGCATTCAGGGATATTCCCACATCCTCCGGATCGCTCAGCCATTGACGATTCAAAACTACGCCGCGTACTAGTTTTTTGAAGCGCGCCTTCGCCGCCTGCTTCTTCTTGCCCTCCTCTGCATCGCGAGTGCGCTTAGACATGCTCTAACTTTGTCCGAAAAGTATATATTTTTAGTAAAAAAATTTGATTTTTTTTTTTAAATATTTTGTGTTACGTTTTTATGGTTTAAGGTGTTTTTTTTTTTGTTTTTTATATGCGTTTGGCAACAAATAACATTTTTGTATATGTTTGAGTGTTGACTTTTTTAAAAGTCATATAAATGAACATATTTTCAAGGCGGGGTACATTTCAATTGAACAAAAAATTAACTGTTGTGTGTTAAATGTAAAACGCATCGTAAATAATGTATCTACAATGAATAATTGTGAGGAATATGGAAGTTTTTCAATACTCGCTCATCAAATATCTGAAATTGAAAAGCATGATGTCGTAGTTAACAGATCATAATGTTTAAATTTGGGCCATTGAGCAACAATAATTGATCAGTTAATGGTTTCATCAAGTTCACTTAAGTGAAGAGTAATTACAATTATATAGATACATAAGTGTGTACATACATACTATACTTGTATGTATGTACAGAGTCAATCATACAAATAACCCTTCATTTATTATATTTGTTTCGTTCGCAGATACATTTTTAATGAGCGCTGCAAAACTGCATGGCATTAATGACGCATTGTTCCAAGCACATTTTGAATCGAAACCAAAGCAAGTACATATGTATATACAATATATATATATAGTCATGTATATATACGGACAGACCTACAGATATACATGTATGCCAAGTAAAATACAGACATAAGCATTCTTAAGCAGAGCAAAGACAGGAAACAAAAGGCCATTTATTGCATCACCAACAAGAGAATAAAAACAAAAGCAGAAAACAACTCAACACAAAAACAAAACATGTATTTTTAAGATTGTACATAGATCTAGACAACTACGCTTATAATGACAACTATAATTCATACTGAAACACTTATTTAAACAACAAACACGATTCTTACACGAGTCAGAGAGATTTTTGAAATGAACACCGTGCAATACTAATTAATAAATTAGTTTTAAAAAAAACCAAAAAAAAATATATAAAAAAAATCACAAAAAAATAAAAACCCAAACACACACAGAAGCAACTAGAAAATTATTAGAGACGCCAAAGATATCCAAATTACGGTCAAAGTGCGGATGATCGAGCAAAGTGAAACATTCTACAAGAGAGTTGCAGTAGCGTGAGAAGGGGAGTACAAAAGATAGAGAGACCGAAACACGTAACCGTTACACCAGTAGCGAGTGTTGTCAAAATGCATATTGAAATACAAGTGGCTTTAAATTTTGTCATATCCTATCTGTATAACAAATTGCCACGCCGTCGAGTAAATATATTTGGTGAGGAATTAGAGAAAGCACTGCGTGACAAATTCCAAGGACACTGGTATCCGGAGAAACCCTTCAAGGTACGTTAAAGGCATCCAAAAATGCAACTCTTATGAGTACCATTCATGTTCATTAATTTGTTGCAGGGCTCCGCGTATCGCTGCCTCAAAACCGGAGACCCCATTGATTCGGTTTTGGAACGTGCAGCACGTGAAAGTGGCGTACCAATAAGCGACATACTTGAGAATCTGCCCAATGAGCTATCTGTGTGGGTCGATCCAGGTGAAGTGTCCTATCGCATTGGCGAGAAGGGAGCAGTAAAGGTGAGAGAAGAATATTAGTGCTGTTTCAATACGCTAAATAATAAACTCAACAGATACTCTACACGGAGAATAATGAGAATCATGAGGACAGCACCTCGGCAGATCGTGAGGTTACGAAGACCTTCAATCCTGAGGCTCAATGCTTTCGGCCCATCGATGCAGTGAACACCACCATGAACAACCTGAGCTTAAGCCCGAAAGCAGCACTCCCCAAAGCAGTAGGCTCTTCACCCCACTCGGCCTCATCGAGCTCGCCCACCTACAAGGGCAGTCCCAATCCTACGAGTGGCACCACCGTCGCCTCCGGCAACAACTCGTCCGCATTCTTACAGCGCGCTGCTCAGGCACCCTTGACCTTTACAACCGCTACCTTTGCCCAGACCAAATTCGGCAGCACCAAGCTGAAGACCAGCTCGAAGCGTACCAACAGGTGAGCCAACATATTTGAATATTGACAATTAAAGAAAACAAGTTGCGATTTCTCCCTTACGCATATATGCATGAATATCTGGTTTTACAAGATAGGGAATCTTTGAAAAATCCTTGGCAAACACTTCCTTTACACTTTAGAGTTGGTAGCTTTATACTTTATTGAAAGACTATTTATTACGTGTTAAAGGGTGAATAAATCGTCGGCATATTTCTTCTTCCTTTACACTTTATAGTTGATTGTTTGATGTATTCAAAGATTTAACGCGGATGTATTATAACACCATATAACTTTATTAACTTGGAACCTATTTATATCATTCACAGCAGCTCCTACCGCATGTCGCCCACTGAGTTCTCGAACTATATTAAACAACGTGCCATGCAACAACAGCTACATCATGGCCATGGTGTCAACTCGTCGGCATTTGGCTCCCTGGGCGCAGTCTCGCCTGCACGCTCAATATCTCCCAATCCGCTCTCCTTGGGGCTCAATCAGACAGCGGCTGCTGCTGCGGCAACGGCTGCCCCCGAATCTTTCTACTATCCGAATATTGCAATGGGACTCTATCCACCGTTCAATGCGGGACAACAGCGCAGTCTCTACGAAGGGCATTTTAATGGCTCAGATGCTAATGCCGCTGGAATGTTTGCTGCCAATAATCCGGCGGTTGCAGCTAATAACAAGTTTAGTACTTATCTGGAGCCGTGCTTTTATCCCAATGCCAATGGCCCTGCAACTGCAACACCAGGCACTCCGATGGCTACAAGACTCAGTCAGCAGCAGCAACAACAGGGACAGCAAAACATAAGCAATATGGCGCGTGCCAACAGTAACGACAGCAACTTTGGACTGGAGATCGATGCTGGCACTATTGGCGCCGCCACCACGAACATTAATAACTCAAATGTTACGGCCGAGGACATTGCCTTAAATATCCGTGAAATGAATCCTACCGAATCCTCAGCAGATAGCAGCCCCATTGCCACGCCCACTGTTTGCGTTGTTCCTACATTAACGGCTGCTGCAGCTGCTGCTGCTGCCGCTGCCGCCGCCTCCACTGCTACCACTTCATCATCATCATCTGGTTCGGCCTCTGCCGGAAGCAGCATCAGCAGCAGCAGCAACGGCAGCAGCGGCAACGAAGACTCTTCTGGATCAGCGTCCTCCTCCTCCGCAGCCGCTGCCGCCGCCAGCAACAACAAACTCATCGATGGTCTCAATTCATTCTATGGCAGTGGATCCTCCTATCAGCAACTTTTAGTCGCCAATTAAATGCAGCTGCAACTCCCTGCAATGGAATAGAGACAACAACAGGAAAAGCAACAATTACAACAAACGATAGAAATGCAACTCGAAATCTGTTGAAGCTAATAACGATAGATCAGAAGAAGCCATTACCACCTAAAACCAAAACTAGCTAGTGTTATACATATGTATGTACGTTGTATTAGTTGCCGACCTAATAATTGTTATTCTACTTTTTAGAACATTTGTACTATGCATACGGCATACATATATACTAAATCTAAATCTATATATATATTCGTATATATATATATATATATATATATATATATATATATATATATATATATATATATATATATATATATATATATATATATATATATATATATATATATATGTATACATATATATTATGTATGTGCAATGAAAAACCAGATGGAGAGTAGCAAGAAAAAAATTGTAAATGTAACAACCTTTTTTAAAATAGTGTGTAACTAATTCGTATTGCTACACAATACACAAGAGAATGGACGTAATGCTGTATATGTGTGCATTCAGATATACAGAAGTACATAGCACTATATACTTTTGTATATATGTATGCATTCGTATGCACATTTGTTATATTTTGTTAATAAAACTGATGTTAAGTGTGAAATTAATTTCTAAAATGCTATATATTTCATGACGTGTGCACCATCTGTATGCATATGTATATTATATATATGTACATATGCCTGTATATCATATACATATGCATCTCCATACAATGTATTTGTCGGATGTATCGCAAATTAAACTTTGACATCCATAGGCAAACTCTCAAACATAGACACACACACACACACCCATACACCAGCACACAAGCTCAATAATACACACAAATTCATTTCATGAGTTAAAAAAAAACTAAACAAAAAAAAAATAAATAACAATAGGAAGACGAAAATAGCTGCAAATTAACTAGAATTTCTTAATTAATTGTTTTAAATTGTTATACATAAAAAATGAGAAAACAAAGCAAAAAAAACAAAAGATTGAATAATTTTGAAGTTAAGTTTTTAACTAGTTATAACTGTAAAATAAGTTTTTTTTATATATTGTATATCAAAACGAAAAACATAAATCTAATTAATTACAAACGATTGATATTGATGTTGTCAAAGGTTGCATACCCTTAAAAAAAAAGTCTATGAAACAGCTCTAGAATATGATTCTTATTAATTAAACAAAAATAACTAACTTTGCATCCTAGCTTTGCCCAATCAAGTGATAAACTTTAATGTTCTCATACTTTCCAAATATTCTTCTGCCCCAAAAGTAAACTAAGAAATCGCTCGATATACATAGTTGGAAGATACTTTCAAAATAAGAGTCTCTGTGTGCAGTTCTTTTCCTTTTTCTTTATTGTCGAACTGAGGAAGTGAGGGATTAATTATAGAAAAGAGATGTGATATCTCCAATAAATGGTGCATTGTAACTATTCTCTAGAATTCCTTAAAAATGTTCATTTTCAGCGTTAAACTTAGTCAATGAATATAACATTATCTTTTTAATGATTATCGTATATTAAATTTTTCCTACAAATCACGATTAAACAATGAAGCTGCATGTTAATATCAGTAAATATATTATATCATCAGATTTTAGGAAAATCTGTAATTTGAAATGGAGATAGGGTATGCACACTTCGGCACGCCGAAGTAAATAAAATATTGTTTTGTATTTTCAAGTCATGCTACGATTCGTTTTAGTTTCGTTTTAATTTCTTCTTATTATTTTAGTTTTCAATATGTACATCTATTTTTATATGAATATTGCAATTTTTATAAAACGAGTAAAGGAAATACAATTTTATACTTTTTATACGAGCTTACGTAAAATACATATATACATGTCCACACATGTATTTATCATTGTACTATATATAAATGTTTACTTCAATTTCCAAAAAGTAAATCAAATGAGCATTTTTATTTACGAGTTAGCATAGCCTATGCACACACGAAGTCCCTTTTCGCTACAAAATTATTATATATGTACTACATATCCATATATGTGGACTATTATAATTTATATATACAGTCAAAATTTGTCTTCACAACTTGAGCAAAACAGATGCGAATACTTAAGCTTAAGTATAAGAATAGCTTTTTAGAGCAAACTGCAAAGATATTACATTTAATTCTTGTTCGCTCGATCATTTGTAAGCTAAAACCCGACCTCTCTCCCCACCCATGGCTTAAAAAGTGGACAGCGTTACTTTAATTTTAAGCTGCAACATAAAGAATTATAGCAAAAGTGTTCTTTGTTCGCAATTAATCAGAATTTATGTTGTAGCTTCAAATACTCAACTTATACCATATGTATCATATATTTGTATGTGTATGTACCTACACATTACGTGTGTATATCTAAAGTTACCACTGAAAATGAAAATTTAATGAAACATTTATGTACCTTAAACAAGCTTCTAATTAAACTGCTCTTATGAAAATGTAAGGTGACTTTCCATACATCCACTTGCTATACAAACTGATGCCAAAATGTCAAAAACTCAAGAAGTTGCGGTTTTCTCAGCATTTAATTTCCACGATAAATTATATTCTCGACAATACCTTAAATGTGGACACTATACATACATATGTATGTGCATATATGAATGCATCTATATTTTTCATTTATTCATTTGGTTAACAACCTATTTTAATTATCATAATGTTGTGTAGCAACAAATCTTAAAAAACATCCAAAGTCACCTTATGTTTTTAAGCAAGTAGTGCATATGTACCTACATACAATACGCATTCACGATATACGAGAATAAAAAACAAAATAAACAACAAAAGAAAAAACATTTAGAGGGACAATTTAGACAATGCATAATACAAAAAATAACACTTGAATAGTAACAAAACCATAAGAAAAGAAAGTAAACAAACAAGCAACATTTTGTACTTTTATATAATTACTACAATTTCTCAAAACAAAAAATTGTACATCTGTATTTGTTTAATATACTATATACATAGGTATATGTTGTATGTGTAGGGGATATGTTGTACATGCTTATGAATATTTGAAGGCCGATGCAATGCCGATAATAACACTTTTCAAATGTCACGAAACAAAAGCAACAAGAGAGAGAGAGAGAGAGCAAAAGGGGAAAGAAGCATTGTGATACCAGACAGGAGACAGAGACAGGTTAACCATGAATAAGACAGACAGAGAGAGAGAGACACGCCAATTTAGACAGAGACAGCAACAATGCAGTTGCACAGCTCCGTGAAATGCAATGCATAATAATAAGTATGTATGTAATTAGCAAGTGTATTTATGTACGTTTGTTTTCCAACCAACCACTTAGAAAACCCCCCGGGCGCATAAGCATAACTAACAAATGTTTGTTAATGGCGCATAGCAAGTAATTTAAAAAATACAAATAAAAACACAACACAAATAAATTAACAAATATACATATATACATTACGTGTATGTATTTTTATATAAAGCGAATATTTAAACTGAAAACAAGAAACTATTGTATGTATGTATGTACATATATCTACAGATCAGTGCGAAGATTAAAAACGTTATGACTGTTTGAACATAAAACAGAAATAAAAAAGGAAACAAGCAAAGATACCAAATCTGATTTTAAAATAACAACTTAAATACATTTAAAATAAAAAACACCAACGACAGCATAGAAAAATTGCTCATTTCAGTAATAAGAACGTATGTATGTAATTACTCTAACCCAACCGCACACACACGCGCGTACATACACACACACACTAACAATATGTACATATGTATGTATGTATATGCATGTGTGTATAAAACGCAGTCAGATATCTGCAAAGTAGTAACAAAAAAAAAATAACAAATAATAATAAACACAATACAGAGAAGTTACAGATCCTCATGTGCAAAACAAAATTTCCGTAAATTCATAAATGGATACCAAAAATATACATATAGTAAATATAATGTACATAGATGTATGTACATATTAAAAAATCGGTTAAGTAGTTAGACGAGAATTCATGCTTGTAATTTTTATACATTTATATAGATAAGCCTATTGAATTTGTATCCTTTTTTCAAAATCTGAATGTGTGTTTAAACCAAAAACAAAACAAAAAAGACGTTAAAGGAAAACTTGAAATGTGTGCGTATGTGGGTTTGCAATTTTTTGATATCCTTGAAAAGCAACCAATAAAAATCAAAATTTATCTAAATGTGTTTGTACATACATGCACGTACATGTTTATTGCGCAACTTATGTACCAAGAAATCGAATCTGTTAAGTTTGTTTCACAATATTTTGAAGAAGCTTAGTTGCTTCTTTCAATATAAATATTAAAACTTATTAAATGTCCAAAATCACGAATGTATGTATTATAGGCTATAAACTTAACACTATGATAAACATACGACATACGAAGCTCGCAAATCGGTATTGAAATTTATCTAAATCTCCTAAAACTAGCATGATATGATCCCAGTTTTGAGGCGTAATTCCTGTACTTGTAGTAATCCAAAACACGATTTTCAGGCTTCGTATCAACGTATTATAATCGTATACTATACTTAATGGCCAATACTTCAAAACTAAGGTTATACATACATGCATATGTATGCTCGTCTATCAGAGCGATTTATGTAGTACATTTTTTAACGCTTGGTATGTGTATGTATGTACTATGTGATATATATATGATCATTACTATGTATGGTATGTGGTACATAAGGGCGTGCAAACTGTATCGAAATATTGTTTTCAACATTGACTATACACATACTTTCTAAAACGAACACAATAAAAGAATAACTCTTAAATAAAAAATGCATATCAGTGAAACAATAAAAACAATAATAAAAATGTATATACATACATATATATTGAAAAAAAAACTGTTATATATACATACATGCATATATATATATAGTACATGAATATTCAATCAATTCAAAACTTAAGCGTGTGTACATAAGAATCGAGTTTATATAATGTAACATACATGTATTACGTAACGTAAATAATAACTTCCATATTGAGTATTTTTTCATATTACCTTTAATAGAATAAAAATTATCGTATTATTCAAAACAATTGTGCCTTGTATATTTTATCATTGCAGCTCAATTTTCAGAAGTATGTTCATACATAGATATTTACATACGCCTGACGGGAAATAAGGTATGACAATCGCAAAACAATTTTTTAGTAAGTAACCGACTGCAACAAACGACGTCCCGATTGTTTATTATTGTTAAGGCAGACTAAAAATACAATAGCTTTAGAATTGACAATCTGATTTTTATCTTACCGCCGCCTACGCGGTACATTTTTAAGACACACCAATGTGATACGGGGTCAGCATACAAACAAAATGTGAAGACAGATTATTATAATCTGTGTTCACCCTAACTAGCACACCCCAAAAATGTATATAAGTCAATCGCAATATACAATGTATGCAAGTACCCATAGAAATCAGTCTTAAGTAAATTTAAATGGCAACACATAAGTCATTTAATGGTAAAACTTTTATTCGCCACTAAATCCTAGTTGGACATTTCTTACAATGTTAATTTTTTTAAAAAAAGCCCTTCAAATATTTAGTTGTCTGGCAATGAGCGGATGATATCCGAATCTCCGGGATCGGTAATCGACATCGTGCACACTCGGAAGTATTTACCGCATGCGGTGCCCAGCTCGATGTTGGTGCCACTGTAGTGCTGCACTTCGGTCTTGGCCAACATGGCGTAGTACTCAATCTCAGACTTCCTGCAAGATCGTGAAAAATATTCGGTTATATGGAGCTCAGTTGTCACAGCAATGACAAAATTAACATAATTGCCTGATCAGAAAGAGTCTCTAGTAATTATAAATATATTCGTCATAGCACATCGGATTGTAAAATCATCATAGCAATTACATTTATTGGTACAGAGAAAAAGAGTTGCACCTTACCCCATTCATTCAAAGGCGTCTGTCATTACTGGGACCATTTGGAGCATTGCCTTATGCCTTATGTTCGCTGTAGCTGTTGCAACTTTGCATAGAGAACTGTTATACGAGTACTACTCCATAGTTTCCAACAATTTAAATTTGTTTGGAATCGCATATTTCTCAGTCAGCATAAAGCAAGACTCCATATGGTTCCAACAACAACAGCCATTTACTGTTAATACTTGGGTTTTAGTGGAAATCTACTTCTTTGTAGTAATATTTCTAGCCATAAGTGTGCGATGCTGCGTACTCTCTCACCTCAAAGCAGGCGTGTTGCTGGCGATGAGGACCAGTTTAGCCTTGCCTTGGCGCAACGTCTTCAATGTTTGTTTGTAACCCAAGCAGTATTTGCCAGATTTCATCACCAGCGCCAGACGCGCATTGGTGCTCTCCAAAGCCTTTTTCTAAAATTGTACGAGCAAGTAGTACCAAAATTATAGACAATGTTCTAACAAACGCAAATTAGTGTTCACAATCTTACCTGTTTCTTTACAGCAACCATTTTAACTGTTGTGCTAAAATAAACTAATGAACATCATTTTTATTAATATGTAAATAACCATAAATATTGTGCAATCACAAATTTAGAAAATGCACACTAGTGAAGCACACCCACCTTCGTCGACGGGCGATATCAAAAAGAAGGAAACACAGAACAGAGCACAAAGCGGAAGCACGAGTATGCTTTGACATCCACAGAGTTGCATGTGAAAAAAGTGGCCATCATAGTGTGGTGAAATTTTCCAGCACTAAACTGGTCGTCTGTCTTTTGTTGCCACTTAAAATATAAAAAAATGTATACGATTTTACTAGAAATGGGAATGATATATAATATATAGTATATATATATATAGTTATAAATTCAAAATTAGGCGTTTATAAATTTACCTTCATCACAATAGTGGTTCGTTTGCCAGCACTACGGCCCCTGCAATTTTTTTGAGTGTTACAGTGATTGGCTCATAAAGAAGAAGACCAGTATCATATGTTTATAAAGGCGCCTGTCGTTTGTTGCAGTAACATCGTGTTGTTTGGTTGTATGTATTTTTTGATTTTGAAATAGTTATATACTGGGTCATTACTGTCTCTTTTTGAACCATTATATGAGTAAGCTACTTATTGTTCATTCAAATCAAATCTTTTTACACTGTTATGATTTTAACACCATTTCACAGCCGCTTTAAGATGAACAGAAAAAAATGTGCCAAGTCCACAAGCAAACCAGCTCCAATTTTGGCAGCACCTAAAAAGACTACATTTGATGGTGATAACGATGTCCAGTTTGAGCTGGAGCTCTGTTGGTGCGTTCAACAATTAAGAACAGCACTAGACAGTGGAAAGTTAAGCCAAAAAGTTGGTAAGTTGATTATTATTAGATGTATTCTTTGTTTTCAAGTATGTACAAAACCCATATACTTGTATGATATGATCCTCAGCTGAAGACACAGCCAAGAACTTAAAAATACTGATGAGTCAAACTGCACCACTAATAAAGAAGAGACAAGTTATGAAACTCGCCTTGGGTGATTACCGCTTAAAAATGCAACAGGAGGAAAAGAAAATGTTGTTAGGTGAGCGAGAACTGCATTTATAACAGATAATTTTTACTAAATATTATGACATTTACAGCTTCCAAACAGATCAAATTTACACCAGCATCAAGTACTGATATAAAATCAAGCTTTGTAAAAAAGTCTGCGTTATTAAAGTCTGGCAAAGATTTTCGATTCAACTTTGATTTAGCGGATAGCAATGGTGTAGAAACTACTACGAATACGTCATCTGCAAAAACAATAAGTATCCCGGTAAACGAAAATAAGGAGCCTGCATTTAAATTTAATTTTTCGGTTAATGACGATGTCAATGATGATATAAATTTAGAGGGATTGTTGCTTAGAGATTAAAACTGAAAATACACTTTATTTTTATAAAATTTATTCATAAAACTGTTCATAACTGCAATAAATACTCTTGAAAGTGAAGAAGTTTGGAGCTAACTGCCTAAAGATTTCATATAATTCGATAAATTTACTAACTTTATAGCAGTAAGTACGATGTTACCAAAAGCAACTGATTATGATTCGCGAATTATGACCAACATTAAGAGATCTACGTATTTATTTGAGATGCAATCAACGTCATAGCATTAGTTTCCAAATTCTATTTGTATTTTAAGCAGTAAACAGAGATAGTTTAATGGTTGACTTTATGTTAATACAGATGTTTAATTACTGTTTGTACATTTAGAACATATTTATATTTAATGTGAAGTTGTTACATGGACTTTATAAATTTGTGATTTATTGAAATAAAAATTTTTAATGGACTGACCAACTTGCTTGTTAATTTAGAATTCACGATAATTTACCGTTACCCACTTGCTACATTTTAGAAGGCAGCACTAAATCTGAATTATTTTACGACGCATTGGTATAGTTGCAATTAAATATGGTTTTAAATTCTTAAATGTTTATGTTTAGAGAGTCAGGCATTCTGAGACGAATTTCCCATGTCGCCACCAGTTTGCTGCTGATAAACTTCAATTGTGTCTCCTTCTTCCATCTCCAGTGATGTAGGAGTGTCGTTCTCATTGATTGGCTGCCCATCAAATCGGAAACGAACTACTTGCATTGACAATCCCTAAGAATAAACATGTATTTATTATTATGCTTTGTTTTTATATATGTATGTATGTGGGAAAAACTTACTGCACGGTCGCAATAGGCGTTCATAAGCTTGCGCAAGGGAGTGTGCTTCTTGATCTTGAACTGGACAACAGCGTTGTCCTGGCCCAAAACCTTTAAGTTAATGTGCTCAGTCTCGGCCTGTTATTGTATATAAAAAAAATTCTTGATTCTAACAACAAAAAATCTCGTAGAAATGGTAATTTTAATTTATAGACAAAGGGTTTTATTAATGGTGCGTATTTGTAGCTGCAGCGTCTCTCGGGCGTCATTTTACGCCGGCCGCTTTGTATATATAATGCCGCATAGTAGCATATACATAACTATGCAACATAAACAGCTATTTTAACACATTGATAAGTTACCTTCTTTTCCTCCGACATTTTGTATTAAAAAAGCGAGCTCTGCAATATAAATATGTATCCGAATGCGGTTTTTTCTGACAGAAATAAACCCCGGCGTTTTCGAGTTAGTCTCTGCGTTGGTGATGGCGGACGCGGCTACCAAAAGTAAACCTTGAAATTTGAACACCACAAGAAGAATACAAGCGAAATCGCGCAGAAAGAATTACTTCACTTTCAATAAACACAACAAAAAAAAATGTTTTTAGTATAGATTTGCCTAATATTGTTCGACCAATTTTTTACTGATGCTGAAACTGTTTCGACATTAGCTATCGAAAAGTTCAAGTTTAGCGATGAACGATATTTTTTCAATTGGGACTTTATAACGAGTATTTTAAAGCAGTGGTAAGGAGCAGAAATGTGCAGAATTATGTGCAGAATTATGTGGAAATGCAAAAATAACACATAAGAATTAATATGTTACTAGCATTACAGTTCACACATTACGTATTGTATTCACATAAATGTGACTACATTTTAAACAAATAATCGATGCGATACCTTTTTAGTTATGATTCCATACTTCATAATTTATTTAATCACCTTCTTCAGATTAAATTATATTGATAAATATATTAACATAGATGTCCTAAGATAATGGCAGCTGCAGTTTATTTAGATTAGTAATGGATTGTAGTAGATAGTTGCTCCATTCAGATTCTGCAGTCTTGTCGTAAATGCGAAATCAAACGAATGCTTTCTTTCGGCCTTGTATCTTATTTGTCTACATTTTAAAGTGGACGGTCCTTTAACTGATTTTGACTTGATATACATACATATTAATGTATATTAATCGATTGAGGATCTACAGGAATATCAATAATGTAACCACAGTAGTTCATCGTTGTGATCTGTTACTTTTGATATTATATCGCAGCTGTTATTTGTGACATTGAAATAGTCGTACTTCACAGAGTGACTGTGACAGCTGAGAAAATCCTTGTGCAGGAGCAGGTACTACGTCGACTACACGCCTAGAATTTACAGTTCGTGCCGTGGAGGCTGGCAAATGGATGACTAAGGAAAGTATTATGAATTCCGACTGCCTGGGCAAATATCACATACCACTTTTGAAGGCAACGGCTCCAGGTAACATACCGGTGCAGCTGAGTACTTCGGCATCCCGGCAAACTGAAGCTTCGCCAACGGAGTTAGTTAACGCATCCGCTGGTGCCGGCATTGATCCATCTTTTGGTAGTCTCCAGGGAAACTTCAGACGTTTCCTACCGCCCTGGAAACATGAAATGGCCTGCCCACCATCGTCGTCTCGCCCTCTCAAGCGTAAACTGGATGAAAAAACTGTCGAAAGCAAAGATGGTAAACATATTGTAATGTTTCCGGGGCGCGATGCGAGTTACCCAGACGAGCTCAATCTGTTAATCCACCCACTGTCTTGCGAGCTTTGCAAAGTGCAGCTTTCATCTATAAGGCACGCCAAGGATCATTATGAGTCCAAGGCACATGATCGTCATATTAGCGCCTGGCTCGCTAAGAACTATACAGATATGGGCTTGCCTTCTCCAGCTATAAAGCGCTTGGTAAAGGTGGGCGCTACTGGACCAAATGCTTTTCACTGTGAGCTCTGTGATTTGAGCTTGACGTCGTTGTCACATGCCCGTCAGCACTATTCCGGCCGTAAGCATAAATTGGTGGAGCAAAAGCGTAGAAAGCCCTCAGGAAGTGGTTTCTACAACTCAGATGGGAAATGGGTGCGTACTAACCCAAAAATCGAGCCCATTACTGCTAACGACGGACGTTTTGGCATTGGCGTCAAATTTGCCAGCAATCCATTGCCAAATTCGGACAGCTCTGAAGTTACAAACGATATTAAGCCGGAATTGGGAAGTGCTTCAGGGAATGGTCCGCCCATCGCCGCCCCATTGGATGATAGTTTATGCTGTAGAATTTGCAATATAAGCGTCACATCGATATCCCAAATGCAAATGCATCTGGATGGCATCAAACATAAGAAGAAACTTCGTAGTGTCAACATTGATCCTGATGCAGAAAAGACCGAGTCCATAGCGGTCAGTATAACTGATCCAAAGGTTGAGGGGGATTTGTCCATGTACCGCACTCCATCAGGTTCGTATTATTGTAAAGTGTGCAATAAACTAATGGATCAAGACTTGATTTTCCAACGACACCTCCAAGGCAAGAAGCACCTGAAAGCTGTTCGCCAACAGACCAACAATTAAAAACAAATGGGAAAGAAAATCTTCAAAATAATAACTCACGAAAGACACATACATACATACATACATTTCATATTTTATAACAAGAACAAACACAGCTCAACGTATCGCTCCGATATCGCAAAAAAAGAAGAAAATTGTAAATCTCATCTACACAGAAAATATATTAGGAACTTACAAGTCACAAAGAAAACCACACACGCACACACAAGCTGTCAGTTTAAATTCCCTAATATAAAACCAAAATACATGATGATAATAATCCCCGAATGATTTGTATTCACATACGAGTACTTAAACATTACAAATTGTATAGGAATGTATAAATCGTAGCTAGAATAATGTGCTTTAGCTTTTTCTGAACTAAAGTATGCACTTTCCCACCAATAATTACAATTATAGATCATTTCAAAGCACAAGGCTTTGAAACGAAAACATATAAAGTCCATTATTTTGTTTTAGTGAATACTTCACTATGTATTAGCTGCGAAGGCAATAGTAATTAATTTAGTCTTAATTGTAATTTTTATACTCTGTACATGAAATGTACAAGAGTATATTAGGTTTGCGGGAGCTGAAAAATGTAACAGGCAGAAGGAGGCGTGGCAGACCCCACAAAGTATATATATTCTTGATCAGCATGACGAGACGAGTCGATCTAGCCCTGTCTGTCTGTCTGTCCGTCTGTCCGTCTGTCCGTCTGTCCGTCTGTCCGTCCGTATGAACACCTGGATCTCAGAGACTATAAGAGATAGAGACACCAAATTTTGCACAAAGATGCGTTATGTGTGTATTCTATACGAGTTTGTTTTATTTTTTTGATTTTCCCCCCCACTTCCCCCCTATGGGGGTTTTCCCGATTTTCCATTCGTATAATCGCCTATATCTCGGAGACTATAAGACCTAGGAACACCAAATTTTAGTCCCAGATGCCTTATGTGAATACGCAGAAAATGTATATTTTGGAATTCCCCTCCCTCCCCCCTCTACCCCGCAAATCGTAACTCTCGTAATTCTTGGAATTTCGAACTAAAATTTTGGAAATACCCCCAGTTGGTTATTATGTGTCCGTATGCCAAATTTCATTATGATAGACCGATTTAACAAGAAGTTATAGCCATAAATATATTTGCTGATGCAGCGCTGCTGCAGCGCTGCTCAAGCGCTGCCCGCGGCTGTTGTTGATGTTGCTGTTTGGTTGACTGCGAAAATGCTTACACAGACACGAATTGATGCGCATAGGCATACATACACTCACACAGACGCAATTGTTATGTAAATGTGCAATTATACACCCTTTACGTGAGTTCGAATACCGAGAGAGGTAAAATCGATCAAATTTTTTTTTTTTATTTTCTTAATTTTTTTATTTTCTATAATTATTGTAAACATATGTACAGAGTATTTCAAAGTCGGGACACCCGACTTTAGCTTTTTTACTTGTTATTATTTTGCAATCCTGTGTTAAAACTAATGCCAGCAATTGGCATTGAAATGATTCAAATTAGTGCGGCAATTGAATTGGTGAACCAAAAAAAAAAAGTAGTGATCTCAAGCTCGTCGATTCGAAAATAATTTTATAATATAAATATGTATAGATCATTAAACAAAAAAAAAAGACAAATTGAACGATGAGACTTTTAGTTTAATGTGCTTAATGGAAAAGTGTGCATAGAAAAATGACATACCATTTATAGGCTTTAATTTATGTATTAAGTCGAGTATTTTAAAAAAATATGTTGTCTATTATATCTACTTTTGTAAATTGGTGGAAGAATTATCGGTCAGTAAAATACTTTTGAGTTATTTGCGCGAACCAAACAAATGGGATATTTGATTGATATTAATTTGCAAAGTGGTACAGGCATTTATATATTTTTTATATACACTTGTACTTGTTTCACAAATAAATGCAATATATATTGTGGTTCTTTTAACACATATACTGTATGTACATACCGACGACAGTTTAGTTTTGTTTATATTCAATTGGATAAGGCGACCCGCAAATATTGCTTCAAGTAAAATGCATTTAAAATTAATTAATTAACTTTACTAACTGTATTCAAATGCAGATATACATAGGTACAAATCTGTAACTTTACGTCTACAACTATTCAACAGTGAAAAAGACTTATATGTATTTTCTCTTTCAACGTTCGTATCGTTTTACAATGATTCTTGTATGTATGTATGTATATATTGTTACAAAAAACATTCCCCATTCTCATTGTGTAGGAGAGAATTCAGTGGGCGCCAGGACACGGCAGTGCATTTCCCGAATCAAAGGCACTGTATAGGCGACGCACTCGTCCCAGCCGGGTGAGCGCCATGCTGCTTCTCTGGTTTCTTTACGATCCTGGAGGGACTTGTAACCTACAAAATTGATTCATTATTTTATTTGTCGGTGCATCTTTTATTTCAAACTTGTCTTACACCAAATGTGATGCACATTATACAGACGTCCGATCTGCGAGAAGAAGCCAGCAAATGCTTCATTATTGTGCTTACGGAAATTTATGGCACGCGCCCAATTATTACCCCATTCAATCATTGTGCCGGGGGTCAGTCGGTAGGAGCTGTGTGAAGTAATTATTATTATTTTCATATTTACATCTTGTTTTCCGCTTGACTTACCGCATTTCATAAATATTTTTACCGCTACGGCTTTCGATTTGCGGCCAATAGCTGAATGCTAACAGGTACTGCAAGTGTCTGGAGCGTAAGAGCTTCGAACGCTCCTTCATAAGACCCAAATATTCGGGATCGTTCCAAAGATCCTCTTTGGCTTGATCGATTTTCTCAAAGCCACCCGTGTATTTCCATAAATGCAAACACTGGTCCATATCACCCACTTGAACGTTCCATGATGCTACCAAATTGCAGGAGAGGTTCGCCTTTTTGTCGTTTATTAAAGCCACAGATGTTTTGCTGTAAAAAATTTGATATTTACTCAATATTTAACCTGAACTTTTAAGTTTCTTCGATTTCATTCAATATTTTATAAGTGTATTATTACATTTAAAAAATACGTATACATATATTCTTGAAAAATTCATAGAACCTATATCACCGTCTAAAGCTATACTAAATACCGTTTGAACATAAAGAAAAGGAGCCCCTTCAGCTGACTTTGGGCTCAATTGTTCTTTTGAAGATTCGAATTTAATAAGATGAAGTAATCGTTTTTTCATTGACACTCACTAGTTATTCAGATATTCAGTCATCGAATCTGGACGTACATTATGCGTGTGTAGTGCATATATTATTTCCTTATCGCTCAACATGCGACTGTGCGGCTCCTTGGTTTGCTCCAATTTCCCTTTCTTCAGTTTTGAGAGCCATGATTCGGAATTATTGCAGCCAGTAGTAACAGTAATGGTGCTGCAAATAAATAAATGCAATTTGAAAAAATGCAAAAATATAATTGTTTGGCTATGAAAGGTAAACAAAAACAAAAACCAAAACACTAACCGGATAACGGTGCGGCCGGTGCTGTTGGGGATGGCCAAAATATTACGTAGTTTCAACATTTGTTTGTTTCCGTTTGTTGTTGGCAGGGGAGCTGTGGGAAATCACAAGTACGTATGTACATAAATACTATAATATTATTATTGTGTTACTGTTATCATCTCAGATTGCAAATTCGCACTGCCATTGCCTCGACCTCGTGTGCACTTTAGTCAAGGTGAAGTCAGAGTCAGATGTACAGAAGTGACAATATTGTTGCTGCTGCTGTTGTTTTTGCTATTTCGCATGCACAATATATTGAGAATACTAATTGGGCGTCTGCTCACTCCCACGCTTTTTTTTATTTCCTTATCTGAACGCATTAATTATTTGTTATAAATTTCCACAGGTGTTTCACCTTCCACTAAATTATCCGAATGATTACCGTGTGGGCCAAAAATATTGAGACTTACGTGAATAATATATGAATATATGTATATACCTAGTATTTGGACAGTTTAGCGCGATATGAAAACAAAAGTAAAAGCTAAACCAAACAAGCTTTCTTCGAGCAAGTAAATGTATTTAGTCTTCTTCATTTATTAATAGCAACAGCAGCTATCGACAAACCGATTTGCAGCTTTGCAATTGCTTATTGGACACAACACCCACCACCACCCAGTGGGTTGTGGTTGCCACATCGTTGGAGTCATGTTTGTGGATCTGGATCAAATTGACGTGGCAAATAAAAAGAGACTTATTTCAATTTAAAAAAATATATATAATTGAACAAAAAGTGGAATATAACGTATTACCTAGGCAATCATCTCAGACACCACTTATGTATGTTTATTACGATTAAATGGAATGCAAAATCTCAGAAAATAATGATAAACTCCAATTTACTTGCAAATGTATTTATTTATTTATTTGCAAATGCTGTGCTGCAATCTGAAATAAAATTATATATGGCATGAGACCGTTTTTCCATTCGAAGGGAAACTGGTCCAACTGTTATTCAATCTAGACATTAGTTCAGAAAAAGAACTGGACTTACCAGAGCTGCCACATCGCACAATATTTAATCTTAAATTCAAATGCAAGCTTAATTTTAACGAGAAGTTAAGGGGAAACTCCTCGCCATGGTGAAATGAAATAGACCATTATCGGTTAGTTTGAAAGTTACATATATGTATTTTGATTTCGCCATGAAATGAGTTCACAATAAGTGCAGTTTAACAATATTGGTGGCTGATTTTAGTTTCATTGATCCGTTCAAGTTGGTTGCCCCCAAATAAATTTTCTAAATAACTTAATTATGTACAATGATTTAACTACACATAATCCACATTTGTGTCGAAGGTTGCCTTAACGCATCAAATAGTGACGCTTGTAATTTTTTCTAAAAAAAAAATTATAAATAATTTAATAACAACTTAAACAAATACATATGAGAGACTCGATGAGCAATGTGTATTTAAGTGAATATTTTCGTTCCATTGTTAAAGAAAGAAACCCGGACATTCCTTTTCAATTCCTCCTTAAATCGGTATACATACGAGTACATACGAGTATATGTATGTATGTACATACATAGGTATGATGTAGTTCCACTTGCATATTTGGAGAGTCTCTGATAAAGGTGTACATAATGCAATTATGTATATTTTGTTTGCATTATATTCAAATAGAACGATGAGTCGGCTTTACTACTTATGTATGTATGTATGCATAGTATATACCCCCACAATAGAGTTGTTCAACTTTACTACATCGAGGAGAAAATGGATGACACGATACATCATACATAAATGTAAATTCATGTAAATTGATATCTAAAATTCCATTATATGTATGAAATCGTTTAACAAGTCGTTCCGTTGCTATTTAGACAGTGTGAAGAGTTAAGGTATGTATGTAGTAATGCTTCCATATATTCATTTACTATGCATGTATGTTTGTATGTGTATGTATATCTGAGTTGTCTGACACCAAATTCCCATCTTTGAGCTGAGAACCTATGTATATATGTATGTATGTATGTATGCCATTTGTATTCAAAATATGCCAAGTAGTGAAACGATGCACAAACAAATCCACAATAAAGGCGGCCACATAGTCGTGCGTATTGGGGCGAAGTTGTGTTGGACAGCTGCGGGTAATTCACCTGGAATGGAGATAATATATATGAGAATATATGGGAGCCATTAAAAAAGGATGAATTGGGATAGACCGCACCTGTTAGAACTTGAACTTGTACGATTACTGTAAAAAGTCTGCCGAGCGAGCAGGAATAGTTTCCACTATCAGAGAGTTTGGCGTCTGGTATAGAAATTCGACTATTAAGCCATTTATCGGAAACGCTGAAAGAGATCCATTTTTATTATTAATTATTCATATTATTTTGTTATGGTTTCTAAGGTTAATAATTACCTTGATCGTTTACTGGTCAGTGCTTGTAGAGGTTCTTCGTCCTTAGCCCATGTGATAAAATTAGTAAAGTACTTTTCCAGTGTCTGGCTTGAAACTTTGGTGTGTGTTTGATTTGTATTGCCGATGAGGCCTAAATCACTGGCTGTATCATTAAGTGCATTCAGGGTTGTGCTATATTTAACAGAGCTCTGGGATTCTGTTGATTTAAGTATATTTATTCGCTCCTTCTGAAAAAAATTTCTCGATACTTGGCACTGCAAGTCCACAGTGCTTCCAGACTTGTAGTAACGGTCGCCCACATCTCGTTCATGCTCATCTATAACCCTTAATGGCGGCTCTGCTCACGAAAATATCATCGTTAGCCTCTGGTTGTTAATAATTTGTTGAAATATTTACCTAATATAGTGAGGTTAGTAGTAAATACCCGGGGAGGGTGTGTGGACACCTGGCACATATAAATGCCAGCATCCTCCCTCCTTGTGGGATTAATCAATAGGCGCCAGTTGTTTGGATATTGAAACTTGACCCGTATTCGAGGATCGCCACTGTAGGTGACATTTCCGACTGTCAGCAGAGAAACCTTCTCCGTGGTGCGCCTCACCCACATAACCTAAGCGATCGAAACGGTTTTAATATTGTCTGCGATAATTCAAGTTTACTTACCGTTTTGTCCTTGAGCATTCCAACGCGGCAGTTGAGCACAGCTTCTGTGAACAGGTGTGCCGAGGACACCAAGTTGTCCCCAGAAGCAGCCGAGTTCAGGGGCTCCTCAAAGAACGGCCCCCAGTGGTGTTCGTGATGATGTTTGCTGCGAAACGTACGTGGTCGCTCAGAGTCCGTAACTGAAACCGAAAGAGTTAACCAAAATCGAATACTTATTCCATTCTATTACATGGCGTGTAATTTGCTTGATTTCTAGGTGACTCTGTAGCTCGTAAAACTTAATTCAAACCTTGTTCTACTGACATTATATTTGATGATTAAGAATATTCACAAAGATAGAGTGTATTGCTAAGAGCTCAAGAACTTTAAATCGAAATAAAATATATGAAGGAGTCAATTTTGTGTTAGTTACTACAGTCAGCGCGTGGGTATATCTTCTGGGGATTACTGTGAAATTGTCTACCTGTCTGTCTGTTTTAATAATTTTGTGGTGTATCTCGGCAATAGTGTCATTTAACAAAAATAAACCTGCACAAATCATATTAATGGAATCTCTGGCGAGGCACCATTTGAAACTCATAAATTAAAAAAAGGCGTTATCCTATTAATAGTAATTATATATACACCTAATTTTGTTTTTACACGGTAGATTGGTTCCAGAAAAAGTCGTGTAAAAAAAAACATGGTGTAACCATATATAAAAATTTTAATTTTCAATCCATGTAAATCAAAACCGTGTAAAAAATGACCGTGTAAAAACAGAATCGGCTGTATATGTAAATGAACTTATTCATAATTCATGGGGCTTCCCATGTATTTTTCTTTAGACTTATAGTAAACCTTAGTGAATAATAATAATAAAAATGCATTTATGAGCACTTTTCACAAATAAATAAGTAATCCACATAAATTGTGTTTATAAATGGGGTCGCTCTACACGAATGAATTCCAAAAAAAAATGCCACAATTCCATTTGATTTCGATACCGCTTGTATGGATAAGTCCATTTGCCAAGTTTTCTTTGTAATGTACGGATATGGTTACATCAATTCGGATCTTTATACAGATCATATATAAATTGGATCTGCCACTGCTCATTACGAGCCGCTTGGGTGCAGAGTATAAAAGTTATATAGCTAAGTAAAACACTCTTTTTTGTTTTTGTCTGTGCTTGTGAATACTGGTCCCATCCACAATTCGCTTGCCATAGGAAAGGTGTTGATAAAAAGTGACGTAATCAGTAAGGTTTGAGTTTGGGTTTGACTCACCTCCCAAAGACCAATGGTTTCTCGAACGTGCAGAATCGATTGGTTCCTTCATGGTGCTTCTAGCACTCTTAAGCGTAGTCGCTGCTGTCGTTAGTCCGGATAGATTCGAGTCCATGGCGCCTGTACTGCCACCCTCAGCATGATCGGTGTGGTCGCTGTCGTCGCTGGGGTTTTTGATTGGTGTGCTGAAGATCGTACTACTACTACTGCTGCTGCTGAGGCTCTCAGAGCCTGCTTGCATTCTCACGGACGTTTTGCGCGGATACTGTTGGTATGAGCGAGTCGAAGTGGTTGGTGTATAGACAAGGAGGGGGGATGTCTGAATTGGTAGGGGAGGTAGTGTTTCTGCCGAAGTTTGAGATCCGGATGCGGATACGGATGCGCTCGTGTTTGTGTTCGTGTTCGTGTGAGCTGCGCTAAAAGCAGTCGATGATATTGTGTGGGTGGTACTGAAGGCATCAAAATACGAACTGTTGTTCTCTGTGTTTGCTGCCGCTAGTGTTGGCTCGGCGAGTCCGGATGCGGGAGCTGTTATGTATAGAACCCAATATTTCTGAATTTATCTGAATCTGTCTGCAAATAGGTCTGCTATGCACTTACTTAGACAGAAAATACAGCGAATTTGCGGACCAATGACCGAGGCAAGAGCTAGCAGCCGTATGAGGCTCAATGTATTCTGAGGATGGTGGGGCAACGATGGCACATGAGGCGTCTGTGCCACGGCTGATGCTGATGATGATGCTCTAAACGCTCTTAGACGCCTCATCCTTTGCACGGGAGGACGTCGCTTACCAGATTTCTTTGATGGACTCCACAAACCTTCATTTTATTCAAGACACGCGCGTTCAGTTCACGTTACCGCTACGGTCCAACGGTTTGACGGTTTAACGATTTACCGAACGGCACCAGATGTATCCGGCTTTTTGTTGATTTTTTATGGGTTTGGATATCTTGTTGTTATTGACTTTAAATTCGCATCGTTTCATTAAGTTGTTGTGCACATATTATTTTACATGATAGTGAGAGACTTATGCCCTTCATAATTAATTTTACAAAAAATATTTGTATGCTCACGGAATATTTTCTGGCTCAGCAACATATTTGCAATTCTAATTTATAAATATTGAATGTCCATATCTGTAAAAAAAAGGGATGTTTGTATAATGGAGAAAAATTAGGCAGCCGTCTTTAAACAAGTATGTATATTGTACATACTTGTATGTACATCCCCAAAGTAAAATTAGTCCTAAATAAATTAGCAAGGGTGTATTTGTACATACAGTCGAACCTCGGTATACGAAATTCTATGTAAAATATGAGTAGATTGCGTTTTCAAATTCGTCAATGTTGCATTCCTATACTTTCCATACTTAAATTGAATAGAGAAAACAGAAATTGTACAGGAAAATATAAATGATAACAAAAAAAAAAAATGAAATCAAATTAATAATTTTATGAACTCACAGCCACCGCTGAAGAATGCAAAAGCCGCAACATACTTATAAATCAAGAAATTATTTTTTTAAAAAGTCTAATTTAATTTAATACATCAATGAAAGCCTTTTTGTCATCAAAAATTAAACTGGAAAAGTAAAAATTTTCATCTACTCCAATAATTAGAATGAAATGATAAATTATTTTTTAAAGAATGTCCAATTTAATTTAATACATCTATGAAAGACTTTTTGTCATAAAAAATTCTCCAATAACTAGATTGAAATGATAAATTATTTTTTAACAAGTGTCTAGTTTAATTTAATACATCAATGAAAGACTTTTTGTCATCAAAAATTAAACTGATACAGAAAATATTCATCTTCTCCAATAATTAGATGGATATGATAAATTATTTTTTTTAGAAATGTTAATTTAATTTAATACATCGATGAAAGCCTTTTTGTCATCAAAAATTCAACTGGAACAGGAAATATTCATCTTCTCCAATAATTAAATTAAAATGATAGCAAAACTAATGTTCATAGTGAAAAGCAATAAAAATGTAATCAACACTTATAAAATATTTATGATTGCCTTATTAAAAGCTTTTTTTAAATGGAAAAGTCTGACTTAATTAGGCCCTACATTATTACATACGTTATGTCCTATGCTTGAATTTAGTATTGGCCTTATGTATAAATAAACATTCAATCGTCCATATTATAGTATTTCTCTGCTACACAAAAACTACCTTTGGTTCGCTTTAAGGGCTGCCCCGATTGTTGTGTGCAACGTTTTCAACATTTTCAACATGCCTAAGAAAACATTTTGCTTTTCATCCATACATACTCGTACCTACTATAGTTTCCTTTTATTGCCAAGCATTTAGCATTTGTTAACGAGGAGCCCACAACCTGTTCTGCCTAGTTGACCTCATCTTTTGCTCTTTACATTTAAAATTATTAAAAGGACAACAATGGGATGCTTAGGTCAGGGTTGGCTTATCATGCAACAATATTTCGGCTTTTATTGTTTCTTTTTCTTGTTACTGCTATGAGGTCTCCTGCAAAGGCAAGAAAGGATGTAAATAAGCCTTTCAATCACGCATCTTAATTGTAAGTCCAAAGACTGTTGAGCCTTTCAAGCCAGCCAACACAAAAAACAAAAAACAAAAATTAAATAAAACAATTGAACGTTTTGTTCTTATCGAGCCGCTTTCGACATAGTTTTGCAAATTAACTTTTTCTGTTTTGGGTTTTTGTTGGCTTTCTTAGAAAGTTCATTGTTGTGAGACTTGCATGTCGACAGGTTAGTTGCGGACTTTGGATAAGTAAATAAATAAACAAATGCCAAGTTTCCTTCAATGTTTCAGAGTCACAGCACTGTTTCATTTTCAGGCCCTGGCCAGCGGCCAGTGGCTCGTCATCTCTGCTGCTAGCCATGTCACGTTCTCCTTGCCCATTTATTTATCTGAACGTTGCCAGTTGGCGTCAACATTTGCTCCTTTAAGCCAACTTGCCTGACGACGATTGCCATTGGCACTGGCACTGGCACTGGCTCTTGATGCTTTATGCTTTAACTCTCGAGTAAACAACAGAATGTGGCAGAGACTTGTGGGAACATGAGAATGGTGATGAGGATGTGGGTGTGGATGGGTATGGGGATGGGGATGGATGGGTATGGAGTTGGCGTCGGAGTCGGGGCTGGGATTGTAGGCGTTGCTGAGGCTGCGGCTCTTGTAGCTCATTGAGTGTGAAACGTGCTTTGTATTTTGTTTTGCGGCCAGGTCGTTCAGAGCCAAATACGCAAAAGTTACAAAGTTGACGAGCTTGCTTTGCATTCATGTGCGCCACAGTCGCTCATTTTGAATCAGACATACGTACATACATATATTCACACACACACACACACGCACACACATATATATACATATCGTATGTTTATGACATACATATGGGGATTGTACATTGTAAGTGAATTAAGCTATTGAAGCTAAAACTTTTAAATTTAGCTTCAGCACGCAAATGGATTATACGCCCCTCTGCATACAGCAGGTTTTTCTTCGGTCGCCTCGTCCCACTTTTCACTTCCCACTTCCTGTTTCCAAATTTGGCAACTTTTTAAAAAATATACATGCATATAAAACGAAAGTTCGGGAACCAATTTAAGCTCAGCTTTAGCGGAAGGTGTTTCCGATTTGTCAAAAATCAGCCTTGTCTAAGCTCCATTAAATGCTTTAAAGTCAAAAGACAGAATTGAACAAATTAGAGAAAGGCCTTTATAGCAAAATAAAAATGCGCTATCGACCTTGATTATTTTTGACAACTTTCCGCAAAGAGTCAAACACTTTAATAATTTAACTCAAAAGCAAATAAAAATGCCTATAAACATTTGAATTAATGAATTAATAAATTAATAATAATAATATAAATTAATAAATAATTAATTTAATTAATTAATTTCTCGAACTTTCCCCTTTCTGTTCCAGAACCAAATTGCCGAGCATTTAACTAAATGCTGAAGCTTTTAAAGGCCACATTCGCAAGGTTAATTCTTGCTTTAAGATTATTAAATTATTGTAGCCATGAACAATTGAAAAATTAACACAGTAATGAGCACATTAATGAACGTTAGTTTCTGCCTGTACAAATAAAATCACTTCTTTATTAAAACGTTTTTATATTCGACAATCAAATGATAACAAAAGAATAGAAGGCGCTCATCTGTTAAATACCTTTTTACTTCCTTCATTTATTAAAAAAACAAAATTGTTCCCTATTAAAATATTTTGCAATTCCTTCGAAAGATTTATATGTATAACAATAATACACGTACACACACACATACATACATTCCTTCAATTGCATAAATCGCTTCTGTGTTCATGATTCTGTTTGTAGAGCGGACTTGAACCGAAACAGCAACAACAACAACAGCTGCTGTATGGCCATAACTTTCGAGTTTTTCAATCAGTATAAAACGAGGCTCACACAGAACAAAGCTCAACAAAATTGTGATTGCAAGAAATGTAAAAAAGGAATTTCCCGGAACTACGGAAGTTGCAATAAAACTCGAATAATAAACAACACAAACACACCTGCTTAGCTCTTTGAGGAATATGTATACAAAGTTTAATTAGTTTTAATGTCTACAGTTTTTGAGATCCTTGCGTTGATACAGACGACAGACAGAGAGATGGGAATGACTAATCTGGCCACTAAACAATCCTTTGACGCTTTGGCATAAAGGGCATATTTAGTGCAAATGTTTTGCATGTGTTAACCTAGTTTTTTCATTTTAGAAACGCATTTTAAAAAGTTACTGCATTTTAAAACGTTTTTATTTGCTTTTACTATTTTGTTTTGTTTTGTTTTGTTTTAATGTTGACACTTAAAAAGCTTAATTGTTCAGCAGTTCTCTAGTTATTTCTACTGCAACTTGTTTCATTTATATCAGTCTTTGTATACCGCATTTTTATGAAACTTTCTGAAAGGTTGAAACTTTATATTGTTTAAATCAAATCAGGCATATAATACCTTTACGTACAAATTTGTTTTGTTTCGCTCGTTGCTTAGTGTCTTTTATTAAAACGCACTTTTGTTTTTCCCCCCAATACAAAAAATGTAGACTAACACGGATTTATGAATGTTTTCCTCGTTCCTGGCATTCTAGCTGAATTTTGTAACCAAAAATTTCTCATTTATATTGTGAATGGCAGTCGTAGTTGCTATGAAAAAATATTGTTTATAAAGTAATATTAATAGTGATAATAATACTTATTTTTTATGCTATTGTGGTTAAAAGGAAAAAAACAAAAGCTTGATTGGCAAATATCAAAATATGTGCACAGGCAAGCGAGCTAATTAATCCTGTTTGAACACCCAGTACCAATAACAATATGTGGCAGATGAATCAGAAAGGAATTGCTTGCCACAAAACGAACTCTGATCTATTACAAACACGCAAGGAGATGTGGGTAAGTATGTATGTTTGTATGCATGGGTGTGTGTATGTAGGAAAGTGTAGCATGCTTTTTGGGGCAGCTGGTGACAATTTACTCTAAAGGTGGATTTCGGATTTGGATACGCCCCCAAATGTGAGCGTGACTGAGATGTTGGTCCACGGCATAAATAAATGGCTGTAATAAAAAAAGTATGCTAAGCCAACGCACTTGTGCCTAAGAAAATGGATGGAATGCCAAAAAAGTTTGCGGTTGTGTGAAATGAATAAGTTTTGCTCCTTTTTGGTTTGTTGTTGTTTCTGTTCTGTTATGTTCTGTTCTGTTTTTTGTGTCTTTGGGGAAATGCCAACAAGGCAAAGAACGGGAACGTCGCCAAACTGGTACACACACACCCAGCAGGAAATCACAAAATTAAACTTATGGTTGTGGGGGTCCTGGTAAGGGGAGTAGGCGAGTGAGGAGTGTGGTTGTAGGTGGCGATAAAGACGAGATGGCCTGCAGCTCTCTTCGACTCTATCTTGATTCAATCATAATAACTTGAAGCACGATATTAACAAAAATAAAAACTAGGTGAAGAAAAATGATGCCTAGTTTTCAAAGACTAACTAGCAAGCAATTTATTTTGTGGCAGAGCACTCTCGCAATTTAACTCGATTGCTTCTGATACAAACAGAGTTACATATACACACACACACACACACAGACACACAATATAATACATACAATGTATGCTTGTTGGCTTGTAGATGCATGTATGTACTTGTATGTACATACTCGTATGTGTGTGTGTGTGTGTTGTTGCTCTTGTCTTTTGGTTTGATTTAGCCGCCATTTGTGGTTTACTCTACCCCATAGAAAGTTTGTCTGCCCGCACTTTCACATCCTCCATGCACACATACATACATAATACCCACCATGTACGTATGTATCGTATTTGTTAGCTTTCTTTGTTTTTATTTTGCCCTTCGAACGGCTTGTCTTGCCTTGTCTTATCAGCATCAGACTTCAATGGCTGATGAAATTGATATTGGCGCCGATTGCAAATTCGTTAATAAAATATCTGCTGCTCCTTTCTCGTCTGCACCCCATTTTATTTTTATTTTTTACTGTTTGTCAAGTGTGTAAAGAATTGGTTTGGGCCTTCCCCTCAAAATTTAAAGATGTGCCAAACAGGGGCATCTGTCTATAAAAATATACATATAGTAGTATCTTTGAATATATGTATGTATGTATTTATGTGCGTGCCCTCGAATATTTACTGCTCGTGAACTTTGTTAACAGTTAATGTTTGCGCTTTTCCAGCGCACGTCGAAGCATATCAATCGTGTGTACGCTTGCCTTAACCTTAACCCCCTATTAACCCCACAAGCGTCCCCCACAGCCCACAGTACATAGCCCACAGGCATCAGTCCTCAGTCCTCATTCACAGGCTCAGTCAACTTCCTTGTTAATGCGCTGTGGCTGATTTGTAGCGTCAGCGATTTGTGTTTTCTCTCAAACCCATCAGCAAAAAGGACTCGCGCTCAGTCGTGCATCACAGAAGCTCGAACAAAATCAGCCCACTCTAATGGTCAGCTGAATTTTAATGTGCATGGCAACGTTCTGATACTTAGTCATAGGACATGGCTCGTACATCATCTACCCTAATGCTGTAGGCGTTCTATGGAGCTGGCTATTAAATGCACCTGTTGACCTAATGAGCCTACTGATTGCCTATGATGATGAATCGCCAACTAATAATAAAGGGCTAATGGCTGGCATTTTCAAAGCTAAGCGCACACGCAAACACACACGTTTCCGTCATGCATCGAACAAGCATGGTATTTCGCTTTTCAATTTAAAGAGTGATTGATTTTATTTAAACCAACAAAAAAAAAAAAAAAAAAAAACCAAAAACATCTTTAACATGAATTTCAATTGAATATTTAATATTAATATTGATCCAAATATATTATTATTGTTACAAGTAAAAACAACATTCTGAAAACGAATGGATTAATATTCGTTCTTCTAATTTTTTTTTGTAGGGGGGAATTGCATTTTTCAAAGAAATAATAAAATTTATTTATTTAATTTAACGTCTGTAACTTAGAATTAATCCTGAATCACAGAATTTTATACATATAAAAGTATATGTATAGCCAGAGCAACGAATGCCTTTAGGCAGAAATAATAAAAAACACAATTTCAAAAATAGACTCCCAAAACATAATACCTGTATTTAATGTCAACTCCTGGTGGAAACTCCTGGTATTGCACACTGTTAAGAAGCAGATGGCAAAACTGTATGCGCTTGTAGTACTTCTTATAATTTGATTTGATTTAATATCTCACGTACGAATCTTCAGATTCCAAACATAACTTGCACTTATCTGAATTATGCATCAGGGCTCACATGCCAAATGAAAAAAATTTAAAAAAAGAGAGCGGCTTTTAGTGCGCTTGTTTTATTTTTTAATATTTAACAAGACGTATGGCAAACAAACAAAAAATTGTGACAAGGACTGCATTTTAATGCCACGACACACACGCGCAAATTCTTTGGCTAATTTTTGGTCGGCGTTTCGCGAATATGTCTTGATGGACCAAAATCGAGGACTACGACAATGTCGACGACGACGAGAAAGGGCGACACTGTCGATGGCGATGCCGACGACGATGACGACTTTTTAAGTTCTAGGCTCTGGTTTTGTTTTTTCGCTCTGCCATCAAGTGGGCATCGCTTATCCTTGAAAACAGTAATGAACTGTCGTTCGGAAAATTACAGAGACATCGCTAAGCATCCAAATGGACAGCTCCAGGAGCTTTGAGCAAAAGCTGATGTCCTCGCTGCACACTCGCAATTCCGCTCACATTTTCACTCACTTCTATCCAACTTGCGCTCAAGCTAGGGGTCCTGTTTTTCACCACACTCAGGCGCTCCCGCGAATTTTGCCAGAGTAACGAAACAGTTGGATAATGTAGGTAGTTTAAAATATCATATAACTCATAGTTTCTGTACAATCAACTTTTTCAGATTCGGGTGATAATTTATTCCTTTGAATTTGCTCACTTAATAATTGCATAATTAATTAACTGGCAAGCAGTGAAGTTAAATATAAGTATCCCGTTATTTGTTCTTATTTGTAACCACCCCTAACAGTATTTTGTCCCAATTCTGCTTTAGTGTTCCTACCCCTAACTTAACGGACATTGTAAAAACTCACCATAGAGCTTTTGCTGTGCTCGCACCATAATATCCTGCCACCATAATGCCTCTATTATATCGTAAGTCGATATTCCGTTTTATCGTATTTATTAGCATGAAGGGATTTTTATGGTTCAGTGAAATTCTTTACTATACAGCCAGTTTTATAACGTAGGACATATATACATAGGTATGGATAAGGTTCTAGGGAAATTTCAAAAGTTCGTATGTTGTCCGTACAACAGAAATCTGGCTTGCTTTATTTAAAACATAAAAAAAATAGAAACTCGCTGAACAAATTGATCGATAAATAAATGCATATTCTTCAGTCATACGATAGGCAGAGAATCCACATGGAAGTAAAATTAAATTGAAATTGAATTAACATAAAAAGCGAGTAGTCCAAAAGCTTCGAAGCCGACTAGCGCCATGATTGAACTGCTTTTTTAAAAGCCTTTTTAGCAAAATAGGATTTCAAAGCACAACTGCTTGGCGGAAAACTCCACATTGATGCACAGGGCCCCCGTTTTAAGGAACTCAATAAATAAAGTGAAAAAAATACTCATAGTTGAAGAAATGTGAATGGTTCCAGTCCATGTTGAAACGAAAATCATTATTTGTTCAGCTTTTAAAGCTTGAGTTATTCCACAGAAGTTTCTAGGCTTAACACATCTGACTTCGTCATACTTTGAAATGTTGTTTAAAGCGCTTGCAAAATATTCAAAATATTCATATTCATTCATGTACATACATACATATGTATCTATGATATGTATAGACATTATTGAAGGCCTTTATTTGTATGGAAATGTACACATTCTTTGTTTGGCGGTATCAGCTTTCTCCATAGACCTTTTGTGCGAAATACATTTTCCGCTAGTTAAAGAGGCAGCTTCGCCTTTCAGAGAAACAAGTTTACTTGTACATTATTTATTCAGGTGTTATATGGGAGTACCAAGACCTATGTATGGACATACATACATATATTACGACCCCTCCTTTGAAGGAAAATAAAAATTCAACATATACTTTCACATCTTCCAATGTATCGTATGCATGTATTTCTGTTACTTTTAAGATGTTTCAGACAAACTTTCTATTTTAATATGTACAGCGAAATATATATGTATATATATTTGTTAATGAACTACAATCAGTAAATTTTACATAAATTTTAAATAATTTGAGTTAAAATCACTAGGACTAAAGTTTTTATTATTATTTTTATGTCACTACCGATCGATTGGTAATGCGTGTATATGTGTGTGTGTGGAGAAACTGATGTCAATATGTTTGTATGTAGGTTTTTTTATGTGTTGTGAGTCTTTGCATTATTTCTGCATCGCATTTCCATTTCCACATTAATTTGTAATTCTGTATGCCTAAATTAAAACAAACCAAATTTAATTAAGCTGCAGTGCTTTTATGCGCAATTTAAACCCATCCATTTGGTGTTTTTATGCGCTATCTATTAAATATATATATATATATATATATATATATATATATATATATATATATATATGTATGTATTATATATATATATATATATATATGTATGTATTATATATATATATATATAAATATATATATCATATATATTAAAGTACTGATCAAGCAAAAAAAAAAGGGAAAGAATATTGAAAACCATAATTATAATCAGACACTACGCTGCTTTTCGTGCTGCACGATTATTCATAATCTGTTTCACGAGCCCAGCAAAATACTCGACTGGTTGCTTCAACGAGCACTTCGAGTCGGGATAAATATTTTAGGTTTTCTTTTTTCTTTTTCTTGTTTTAGTTGTGCACAGCGGCTGAGGAATGTTGGATACTACGCTCAAATTCTTCCAAGCTAAGCGCTTGATTTATATTTAAATGCGGCAATTTGCCAGCAGTTGCCCTGGCGAGCAGATCGGGCCCTAACCATTGCGACAACTGGTTCGTTGTGGGCGACAAACGATCCTCGCGAAGATAGTTGAGCGGACCAAGATTATTGTTCTTACTCAAGTTTCCAGCATCAGTGCTGTCGGGGACACCTATTTAGAAGAGGGAACACATATTATTAGCTTTGGTTCAGTTAAAAGTATTTACAAAATATGTATATTCTAACAATTACCCGGAGTCGTAGATTTCATGGGTAGATTCGCTTGTTGACGATTATCGCCAATGTGTACTTGCAGCATTATATGCCTAGCCTGTTGGCGCTGCTGCTGCTGCTGTTGCTGCTGTTGCTGCAAGAAATGCTGATGTTGTTGTTGCTGTTGCAATTGGGGTACACCGTCCGCAAAGCCAAAGTTCTGTGGATGCGGGGGTGGTGCAGCATGTAGGTGCTCATTTCGTTGTTCTGTTCCTTGTGTAGCTTTGAGTCTTTGCTGATGCATTTGCTGCATATCCAACTTGGATGCAAATGCTAGGGGCATTTGTTGCGAAACAGAAGTAACAGGTCCTTTGAGTATGGGACGACCTAAAAAATGGATGTGATAATTGCAAGAGAGGAATTAAAATATTGTAAATGTTTATACTTGTAATATAATTTATGTGAATACACTTGTGTGGACAGACATAAAAGGAGTTGCACAAAACAAGATTGATGTTACAAAGCCATGTACTCTTCGAAGGAGTAAGAGAGAGAGAGAGAGAGAGATATGTTTATCCAAAGAAATTGTCAGATCAATGCCATAAAAAAAGGGCATGGCGTGTACTGACGAGACCAGTCCAAAGCATACTTAGCTTGGAGTGCCAATTGCAATAGAACGGCAACAGTGCGATGGAGGAAGAATAATTTTGTCCCATATTAGTATGAAACATTTAGGCAAAATAACTTAAGCTACCCTAAAATGTATGTTAGTCTATTTAATTGCTGCTCTTACCCAATGATTTTGGTGGTGCTGCATGTGCATTAACATTTGCTGGCCATTTCATTGCCTGGTTGCGTGCTTGTGCCATTTGTGGCAACAATTTTGGTGAAATCTGAGGGCTGTTGGCATTGAACGGATGTTGCTGCTGTTGTTGTTGCTGTTGTTGCATGGCATAGTTGCCACCCAAAATCATGCGTGGTTGCATGTTCAGTGCTGGTGTTGGCTGCGCTGCATTCGCCATATTATGTGAAGCAATAAGTTTATTCTGTTGGGCACCAAACTGATAATGATACTGCGGATTGTTGGCATTATTGGCGTGCGAGGGTGTTGCAGCATCTTTATCAGCTGTCATTTTGCGTAGCACCGCAGTGGGTGTAAAGGCCAAGGGCGTCGGCGAATTTGTATGACGGAGCTGCTGACTTAAGCCTTGGCACGGAGCATTTGGTGGCGGCATTTCTAAGATATCACCAATTAATAAAAACAAATTTATTCAGAGATTGAGATGTTTTGATTACCTTCGGGCACATTTGGACACACATTCTGCTGTTGAAATGCCGCTTGATTTGCCACCAAATTATGATGACCCAGATCGTTTAGTGACTTCTGATATGTTAGTTTTTGCTGAACAGAATTTCTACCACATTCACGTAGAGCATGTCCAATTATTTCCTTCACATGCGCCGAAGTATTCGGATTATGAATCTCTTGTTCCAAAAACTCAATAGGAACCTCGCCACGAGCAATATCTAGAAACCAAAAGTAAACAAGTGCAAATGTATGACAGAGTCTCTTCTAAATTTCCCAATCACAAATAATATGTGAAGAAATTGGTATTTAATTTCCTTGCGGATAATTAACAAATAGTTCATTACTCACTTTGAATCAAATTTTGAATTTCAATTCGTTTCTGGTTTTGAATTACTTGGAGATTAGATGCAGTGGGCTCGTGCACGTTATGGGCCATTGCATTTGGGATCAGATGAAATTGTGGGTGGGGAATGGGTGATGGGCCCTGGGCAACAAAATCCATATTCCGTTGTTGCATACGCTCGTTTTGTTTCATTTGCTGTTGTTGTTGCTGCTGCTGCTGTTGTTGGTGCTGCAGCTGCTGCTGTTGTTGTTGCTGCATTTGTTGATATGATTTCTTTTGTAAATCATCGTCTTTTAGAAGAGCTTCGTTTATCGGGCACAAATTATGTTGGGGTTCAATCATATGGGCGCGATTTGGATGGAATTTCGGCAATGCTGATGTATTTATAGTCAACTGGTATAATACAGTTGGAGGTTGAAGGGGTTGGTTCTGGGTGCGCAACTGCTGTAAGAGTTTTTTGAAACCCTCAGTGTCTCGTGGAACTGGTTTCTCCGCATGTTCCTTGTGATGCACCTGAACGTCTGCCATTGGATTGTTATAGCCCATTGCGCTTTCAGGCCGTAGATCTACTTTAGTCATTTGTGCCTCCAAATCTTTTACGCTAGGAATAGCTGCAGATTAAATAAATGAAATGTAAAATAGCGCATAATACTTATTTAAATAATGTATAGAAGTTTCTTACAGTGAGCATTTAGTACGTTCGAATCGCTCGCAGGCAATGCATCGGCATTATTCGGATTAACTTTGTTGTCAAACCAACGACTAAAACGCGATGTTCCTCCCATCTCACCTTGCAGCTCATTATCGTTGCCCTAAAAATAAGTGAATATTTAAAACAGAGACAGTTTAAGAAGTTTCTTTTAATTGTAGATGCGTGATACTAACCATAAGATTATGATCCATTGGGTCCAAGTTGAGGAATGCGTCAAAGTTGAATTCAACCTCCGAATTGGCGGCAGGATTTAAGCTGTTAGTCGGCTTATTTGACCCAAAATTAGTCATCGCATTTTTATCACACTCGTCTTTGTCACTTGTGGGCTTAAATGCCAAGTTGCCCTGAACTTGTTGATCAGATACATTTTCAGTGCTGCTGCTTCGTGACGCCGTTGCCGGAACTTCAGTTGCTTGATTTTCTTTCTGCGAAATTGTTTTGCTTTCCGAATTTACGGTATTCTCAAGTTCGCCACGTTCGTCAGTACTTTCTAGGTCATCAAAGCCATGTAAGTCGATAGTTTCCAACTGCGAAGTGGGCCCAGCGCTGAACCACTCTGGCTCTTCGTGACGATCGTGCATATGATAGTTGTTGGAACGCTTTCCTCGTCCCTGGTTGCCACCACCATCCCCAAAATTGAATTTATCCTTGCTTTGGGTTCGACGCTGGCCTTGTACAGTCCTTTTATTTTCATATTGTTCTCGGCCATCTACTGGACGACGTCCCTCACTGACGCGGCGATCCGTCATGTTGTCATTGGACCGCTCCATGTGTCTACCACTGAAGGTGCGTTGTCGCTGATGCACACTATTTCCATGCTGAGCCCCCCTTTCTTTTTCCTGTATGGAGGAGGACTCTGCGTCCTGATTTTTATACTCCCAATTAGCATCGCGCGGCAAAAGCCTACCACTACCTATGCGTCGCTCTGGCATATTGAGATTACCATGACGCGTGGCTGAGAATGTGGGCGACGGGGCCGAAGATTGTTCGTAGTCTTGTTGATTTGAAACGCGCTTATCCGAACGTTCCCATTCCGATGAACCAGCACCCTTTCGAATGGGTGAAAGTGAAACCAATGAACTACCAGGAGGGCGAACATGACTCTTTAATTGTTGCTGTTGTTCCGAATTTGCTGGAGTTACGCTTCCATTACGTTCCTTTGCAACACTGCCGCCAGAGTTCGGGCCATCATCTTCACAATTAGACAAAGTGTCGGATTTTTCATTTTGTAGCTCATTGGCCTCAGCTGAAACACCTGATGTTGCTGCAAAACGACGCTTGGCGAACGCTGGCATTAAATGCGATGAAGACATACTCCGATGATCAATATTGGACGATTTATATGGGGTGTTCAGGGTGCTGTTGCTGCTAGTGTTGTTGTTGCTTGTTGTCGATGCCAAACTTGTTTGCATCGTCGGCTCTTCACTGTAGCCAGAAACAAAACGTTGATAGTAGTTGTTGGCACGTTCGCGATTTCGTACGGAACGTCGAGAACTTGCCAACCCATTCGAATTGGCCAGGCTCGAATTATCCGTTTCGGTTGTTGCACAATTTTTATTCTCATTGTTGCTGGGTACCCAATTTTGCGGAATGACGTTTATTTTCCAAAAATTCAATTTTTGCAATTCCGTTCGGTTTGAACAATTGGGACGCTGGCGAGAGCAGTCGTCGTATCGCATCGCAAGCAAATCGGCCCGTGTATATGTATGTTTCTGAGTACGTCCATAATTTTCACTATTGGGTCCGTTCAACTCCCGACCAGTATGATGGCTCATTATTTAAATATATATCAACTGAAAATTAAAAAGAATATGATTTTTCCATTATTTGCACATCATTTTTCCTTGCGACTTTCAATCCACATACCACAGAAACTGACTAACACTAACAACATGCGCACATCTGTATGTGCAAGCACATACGTTGTATATATGTATAGTATATATATATATATATATATCTATGTATGTATATGTATGCAGGTAGCGCTGTAGATGGTATTTGGTTAATCTGCACTTTTTTTAGGAAAGATTAAACAGCGCAGCACACAAATTCGCAACTATACACTAAAAATTTTGCGACCTCAGGACGTTTTCAGGTCTTTAATTAACGCTACAAATTAAATATTTAAAAAGGAAAGACAATTATAATTTACGATTACCACGGCAAATTTCGATAGCACGCAAATTATGGCAGAGGTGGCACTTGGGCTGATTTTCGCTAGTGATGGTACATTGACCAAATTAATAAATCAGTATGGAACATTTGCGTACTCGACTTTTTCTGTGTGATTGAGCTGCCAACTCTTTGGACTTTTAATGAATGCAGTAAAGCTCATTTATTATAATATTCAAATCAAATTAGGTTGATTATATATATTATATATAGACTTTTAACGTTATTCTGTAAAAAAAACGCTTCATATTTTACAGCTATATTAATTAATTTTGATAAAAATATAAGCCCAAAAGTATTCTATTGGTGACTGAGATAAAGTCAATAACAATTCAAATCGGCTAATTATAACGCTTAAAAGCGATTATCCGCAATGAACATTTGTATCGAATATTTCTAATTGCGTTTATTGAATGGAATGTGAGTACTGTTTTTCATATTAGACGTTGCTGTAAAGACAATATTATTATGAACACGATTTGTGAATTTATATTTTCTCTATGTCCGCTTAAAATAACAATTATTTAGTCTATTTTCTATATACATACATACATGTGTACACGTTTTCAATTTTTATTTCCATTGCGTATTAATAAGAAACTGTTTTTTTGCATTATGTCATTTATATATAACATTATATTGTATAAATAAAATTTTATTATCAGCATTATATCTGTGTATGCTCTGCCGCGGTTAACATATCTAAGCAACTAACAGTTAATTTATGGGGGCACATATAGCATTCAAATTATCGGTAATCGGACATTGAGAAAATAAGATTCACAAAAATTGGAAGTGACAATACAATTTATCGAACAGCTTCATTCCACAGTGTGACTAGACAGCTTTCGGAAAATACGCTGACACAATTTGCTAACACGAAATCAACTCAATGGTCGATTTGTATTATTTATTACGATAGTTTTTTTCGTTGCAGAACATATTTTAGCCACCTCAAAATACGCTCACGCAATTCGCTAACACGGAATCAACTCAATGGCCGATTTGTATATCATTTATTACGTAGCCCTTTTCGTTGCAGAACATATTTTATTCCATTCACCAAGCAAAGTATACTCGAAAATATTTATTTTCATTTGATTGCGCATTTTATTTGTACACCTTAGAAAAGGAGTCATAACTTATTAAAATTTTACTTTTATTAATCTATTTAAAATTTTGACTAATTTATAACGGACATTAAGTAACTGAACATTGGAATACAACACAAACAATCGTGCTTCCGTTTCCGCAAATCGCTGTGATTTGCTTAAGGATGGAGGTTTTTATAATTTATAAATTAATTTAAAGATACCTTTTTAAAATCATAGTTAGGTACCTGGATGTATATAGTGATATTGAAATGTTGCTGAGAAGAAGACAATTATAGCTATATATGTATATGAAAATGCATGTCACGAGCGAAATCAAAATATTACCGATTTTCATATGCTCTAGGTTTGTTGAAGCTAGCAAAAAGCGTGAGTAAGAGGAAGATAAATAGTACAGGCAGTAGTTTTAATCAGTGGCTGATACTAGTCTTAAACCAATATGCACAGTCATATTACTTGAAAGCGCAACTTAATTTCGAATGTTGAGCTTATGAAAAAAGCCATATATTTTAAAGTAACAAAACCAGTAAAAAGAAAATTTAAATATAATTAAAACTGATTAGCATAAGATACCTATGCTTAACAACCTTTTATTAAGGGATAAGCTGAAAGTTCAATGTCGCACATTGATGCATTTTAATTTAAAATCGCAAAAATAAATGCATCGATTTATCCAAGAAGTTTTCGATAAAGTATACATAGCTTTCGATTAAGCGCCAAATGCATTTATGAACAGCAAAAGCTGTACAAAATGTGCGAAGCACATTAAAATTGAAACTTAAAATCAAATAAAATATCTTTTAAAGTAGTTATATTGCTAATAAATTTATAAGTGGGAGGGATTGTTATTGATTGGGAAGAGCGTCTTTTACATACATACATATTTACATAACACCTGTGAAGTTGCAATTTATGTGCACATAACTTTCATGCGCTAAACTTACTTTCAAATTTACTTTTTAATTCCAAACATAATTTAAACAAGAAAAAAAACCGAAGGCATTGATGGATTATTTATTTAATTTACCATTACCGATTATTATTTTATAGCAATTTTCTTAAATTTTTATTACATTTATATATATGTATATATATCATCAGAAGACCAAACTAACGCCCATCATGATGTTGCTACTGATTCTTATAGCTTATTATGTAATTCTTTATTGCAGTTCTATTTAATTCAACTCCGGGCCATTTTCATTAGAAGTGGTTTCGTAACAATAAAATTGCCTAATATTGCCCATCGGATAGCTGTAGCTCCATTTGCTTGTAGAGTCGCCCAATGAATTGGGACTTGGCTGGCGTTGGTGATGCTGACGAATACTAGTCATTTGTGACTTTAAAAATACTGGAAATGTGACACGCTGTAAGTTAGGTTTCGCAGATGTCACAATTTTGGAAAACATTTTATCGTTTATTACTTTAGTTGAACCTTTTTTTTTGGAGATTTGTCGTTCTGTTTGTTGATTGGAGCCCTTTTTTTTGGCTAGCTTTCGTATGTGTCCATTCAATTCATTGGCATCCTGAAAAAGACATAAAGTACTTTTATTAAAGAAAAAACAACATAATTATGTATATTTAAAACAATATCCTAGGAACTAAGAGTTGCACAGGTGGCTTTCCTTCTATTATATTAGGGATATGTCTGCAAGGGATTTAGATTTGCAATATATCAAATATGTATTTATAATAGCCTTAAATACACCCAATCATACTTTGCTTTGAATCAAATGAGAGATGGCGAAGCAATGTTTCGGAGAGATAACGGACAAAAAGCCATAGAATTGATATTATTTTTATTAATTGTGTATTTTTAAAAGGCGGTGAATGTAAAAAGCGATTTGCATGTACATTCAGGAATACCATTATTTTTGAGGTTCTATTTCAATTAGGGTTTTAAGAGTACAACCGATGGCATTTTGTTAAATGGTGTCTTATTTTTAGGTGAACAAAATTGTAATTATTCAAAATGATTTTGATAGATACAAAATCAGCAAAAATTTAAAAACGGAACATATTACTTTTGCAGCTCATATTGCAGTTTCAAGGACAATTTGATAGCTTTAAATTAATAATACATTGCATTCGAAAAACCTAAACAAATTGCTATTATTTTAAAAGCGGAATGTTGCTGATGCATTATGGGATTTAAGGATTGTAATACCCTAAGGAGATAGATGGGGAACGGTTCAACCAATCTTTAGTTTTTGTGTTTTAGTTTTGTGGACTTTGAAATAATGATGACACTGCAAACAATAAAAAAGGCGGAACATGCAAATAGTATATGAATTTGGAATATGTGATTATTTTGTTAATATAGTAACAAATATTTTTGGTTTTTTTTTACCTCAGTGGACTTGGATTCGTTGCTGGCGTCCAAAGGCAACATTTCATCCTCCATGTTAACTTCGTTTGATGGCGTTATAAATTTATCTTTATCATTATTGCATACCTTAAAGTAAGAGCGACTGATCTTGTTATCATATGAGCAAATATTCGATTTTAAATCAAACTGATCCTCAGCATCCGTGGTGAAGCCATCGATATCGATTGGGCTCTCAGAATGGCTGCCGCTATGGGATGATGTTTCTACGGGTGAGCGGGGGCAAACGCTATATGGCTCCATGATAGTTATAGGCGTTTCATCCTCAGTTGTCTCGATATCGACGACCTCATCATCATCGTCATCATCATCTGTGTGCTTATAAACACTGTCCGATACTGATTCGGACGATAGTGACTTATCAGCATTGCCTATATTGCTCTTCTTAATTGCAACTGAGGACAAATGTGTGGTTTCGAATTCGGAAAACTCGGCTTGTTCGCTTTCCAAACTCGATTGCATCGAGTCCAGGATGGGGGAGAAAGTACTTGAAGCGGATCGGAAAATTGCACTGGTTGGCAAGCGGTTCGTTGTTGCCGTAACGGTATTATGTGTCAACACTGTTGTTGTTCTTGTCGATTGAGCGGGACTTATGTAGACATTGCTGTTCGAGTCACTTGAACGCGCGGCATAAAGAGACGTAGATACGATGGCCGCCGAGGCAACCACCGGCTTGAACGCAGAGGAATTGAATACCGACGGAATATTGCAATCCTGCAGTTCCCCGCCACCACCCGCGCTATTATTATTGGCGTTGGCATTGCCGTTGCCCCCACTGCAATTATTGCTGCTGCTAATATCAGGTAGCTTACGATTTTTGAATATACCACAAATGGCGGAATGGGCCTCGTTCTTCACATTGAACGGCTGCTGGTGGTGGTGCATGAGTCGCAAAGTATTTGATGCGCTCGATGTGGCATTCAAATCGGGTCTCACCCAAGGTATGGGACACGTCTCAAAGCTGTGGGCCGTCGCCTCGCCGGCTTTCTTCGAGTTCTGCTGCTGCTGCCACATATAATCGACGACAAAGTTACGCGATAGTGGCATTATTGACAGATCGTGCTCATTCCGCAACGGCTGCAGTGGCGATAATACCGATGAGCGATGTAAGTTGAATGGCACGCCCACTGTGGCCGCCGCCACGGCCGTTACACCCACAACAGCAGCTGCCGCCGCCACAGTGCTGTAGTTGTATTGGTGATCTGTGGGGCGTTTCGTGCAGGGACTTTCATCGCAGAGTTGCATTTTCTCATCGCTCTCACTGGGAGAGTTGCATGTGCTGCCTATCACGTTGTTGTGGTTGTTGTTGCTGTGGTTTATTGTCGCCGACGAGTTCGGTGAGTTTTGATTCCCGTTACTATTGCTGCTGCTGCTCACAAGTCGCTTCCTGGTTCCGCCATTAAACATCGCCTTGACGTCCTCCCATGCATGAATTATTTCCTCGTGCGGCTGCCCGCTCAGCATCATGTGACGCCGCCAGGAGTTGAAATTCGCGGCATCAGGCTGCACATAACGGTCATTAGTCGATATGCGATGCGAATGAAATATGAATTTGTTCGGTGAAAAAAACATTCCACAATATGTACACTTAATGCACTTGGCCCGCGAGGAATTGTAGCGGGAAGGCAAGAACGATCCACGACAGCCCCAGGCGCACTTGTGCTGCACATTAAATGCAAAATCATCTGGCAATCTGGGCGGCGTATTATCACCCAGGAAGCTCTTACATAGACGCTCCGCCTCCCTGCGCGTTATCATGCCACAGCGTCGGGAGCTTACAGGCATGGCGCCGGCCCTCCGCAGGATTTCCAATTGGACGGGCGTGCATTGGACACAGGTGATGCCCAATGCTACCCGTCGGTTGTGTATCTCATTGTAGCTGAACTGCTTCAGCAGCGTATTGGAGATCTGAGCCAGACACAGGCGCTCTTGGCCCTCGATGTACAAAGACACAATCGGTATTCCATAAAGCAGGACTGAGCTAACCTGAAACAAAAATATCCCCTTCTCTGTAGTCATACAATTAATTTTCGTGAATACTTTTAAAATACAAGACTTTTACATTTTCATAAGTATGGTTGTATAAACAAAAGTATAGTTTTATACGCGGAAATGTAGCCAACAATTAAATTCAATTAAATACTTTTTAAGAGTGAATAATTAAGAGTATAGAGTTATTATTGCCTTTGGTAAAGTGACATTCCAATGCTGACTTACGTTTAAAATATGAATCAGTTGTGCGCAAATAATTTTCAATTTTGTAAACGGCTTAAGACCCACTTAAAATTTTTATATTAAACGTATAGCAACAATTTATTGACCAACTAATTGCGCCTTCAATAGCAAATTTATTAAAAAAGAGAATGTGTTGTGAGCGAATAATTAAATTGACGGTCAAACAGGCAAACATTGTACAAGAAAGCCATTAAAAATAAACTCCAAATAGAAAAATTCTTTGTTGAAAAATTCACTGTTTGTACATCAGATAAAATCAATATTCAAATGATGAATTCCTTTTGAAATTCGACAACGTTCTTGTACGAATTAATAAGCTACTGCCAGACATGCAGACGATTTACACAGAAAATTGTGCTTTTCAGAAATGGATCCTAATAATTAAATACCCAAGGATGGTTTATTTTAACAGAAAAATTTATTTATTTTGCGTTTTTCTTCTGGGTTTCTTTTTGATTATTGATTATTATTGCGTCTGCGAGTTGTTGAGGCTGTTTTTAATTTAGTTTAATAATTTAAACTAAATTAATAACATAATTTCTCCGTTAATCAACAAAGTTTTTTTCTATAATTAGTGCATTTGGTAAATTGTTGGCATCAGCTCTACAACTATACAGCAACTTTTGTTCTTTGATTTGTCGATAATCGAATTGGCTTATAAAATTAATTTGTTTTCTGGCTTATGGGCAGTCTGGTCATAGCTTAAAAATAATTGGTTTTAAAAGAATAAAAAGTATTTATATTACCTTAGATATCATAGTTCCTAACACCATGCATAAGAAAAATAGTCAAAAGCAGCTGTATCAGTTAGTCGCATGATAATTATTATCAATACTTTTTTTTTTATATGAGACCTACAAATTAATGTACAAATGGAAATGGTATGCTTAATCGCAATTGATTCCCGATTACCTTTAATCTTCTCTAAATCTGCTATACGTTTTTTAAATTTTCAATCGAAATTCATAGGATGGTGTATCTGGGAAGATCAAAACGTATTTTCAATAGAAGTTACACTATCTATAAGATAGTTCAAGTGTTCTGCAACATTTCGAATTTTGCACAACTATCAGTTACAATATATCCCCTAATATACGACTAGTTACTAACTGTCTTTGGCGAGTTGAAAAGAAAGAAGCCATCTTGTCCCAAGCCCCCCACTCACGTATTTGAAAACAACGCAAACATTTTTAAGATACTGCACAGGCGCCTCTCTACCCTAAACTCCCAATCTTCACCGAAATAAAAGAACATATGAAGAAGCGTTTAAACGAGTTCCACCCAATTGCACAAAACGCTACAAAGATAAATTACAGTTTTGAATGGCACGTAGTTATGTTGCTTGTTACTAAAGTTGGAAACAGCGTCTTTGTCTCTAATAAAAAAGCACAGCACGTAAACTACAATACCTCTGGGGGAACATTTGTCTACTTCAGATTTATTTTTGTTTGCCACTTGCGATTTAAGGACACACCCCCGAAATGCGTTCTATTCGTGTTTGTTGAACACGGCTTGCAAAAGTTTTTAAAACCGAATCAATACCTACTTACTACTAATTGCTCTTCTTTTTGAATGAATTTGTGACGGTGAAGAGATTGCCTTTTTTCAAATTTCAAGTAGCAGCAGTCTAATGTTAATTTATCCAGCTTACAATTTGCCTGCCTTAATGAGACGAACAAGAACTTAGAAGCCACTAAAGCTGCAGCCCAGAGTTTACCTTCGAGAATATACTAGGGGCTTGTTTCTAGAGTGTTGGTTTGGGGAACTTTAATTAAGAACGCTATCTAAAGAAATCGAAACTAAAGTGTCTTATTTTTTGCAGGTAATTTGTATATTCATTTGTACATTTATTTTAGTAGATGATCGGAACACACATTGATTAGGTTTCAGGATCCTAAAGACACATGTCTTAAGGACAACGGACTTACGTGATTTGACCTTTGAGTAATGGGCATTTGATCGTTTTCCATTCCATTGGGTGGTGTTGCGCTTCTAATTGATCTTTGCGAGGACTCGGGAAAATCCATTGAATCCTAATTCTGGAAGATAACATGGAGAAATCAAAACTATTTAAAAAATCAATACAAATATAAGGATTGCCATTAAAGACCATAAAAGACTAAAAAACTAATAGCATAATGTTATAGATTCATTGTTTGTCAACATGTTTTGTTATTTTATTATATGTTTAATATATTTTATTATGTTTATCTTCTATATATATATATATATATATATATTGTGTATATTATGATGAGATTCTGAACAAATTATCTGCAGGGCTCTACCACATTTTATTAACATCACACCCCAAATTATTGCGTTTTCAATTATCATCGCCACATGTCAAAATATGATTTAATTTTCAATGCTTGGGAGTATATGAATGGTAAAATACTTTCACAATATGAATTCAACTTTAGTGGATGCCTCAGAAGGATAAGTTGTGAATTTCAAGTACCTTTCCATGCAGTTCCTTTCAATTTCCAATTTGTGGTTCCCCTTTGGCGGCCAACAGCATGCTAGCCATTTTGTGGGGGTGTGATAAAAGAAACTTTCGGCAATTTCAGACACATTGTTACATGTGTATGCCCTTTTGTTATCCCATCTGTGAAAATCTTTGTCTAATATATATTTTATACAATATTAATTTCGTAACAAATTTATTCAATCTAACTGGCATTCCGCCCCCTTGTGTGCAGAAAGGACCTTATTCAATTATATTATGCGTGTGAATGGCATAATTGAAAAGGAGATTGTCCCTAGAGACAATTCGTTAAAGATAATAAGGTTAGCAAAAAGATATAAAGTACAGATTGTTAAGTTTAATGCCACTGTTATTACATACTTACGCTTAAAACGCAAAACGAAAAGCGAAAAAGCAAAACAAATGATTACAAGACTTCTTAACTTTCGAAGGGAGCTGAGCCGGCCCAGAGGGTTGAACGAATTACAAACCAGTGAGGTAAATAATGACAAAATTATGTTGGTGTTTAGAAAAAACAGCAGATTGCAACAATCTGGCAGATGTACTTAGCTAGTCAGTAAAAATAGAAGGGGGATGATTGCCTGAGGTTAGGGAATTTTGAACGGGGTGGTTTTCGTTAACTGCTTCATCAAAAAAAAAACAACAACAAAAAAGAAGCCCACCGAGAACAGTGAAAAGCTGACAATGCCAAAAGCCAAATGCCCCACACAGTTGCGGATTGCGGAGATTTGTCTGCCAGCCCGGCACATACTAATTTAGTTCTTCGTTTTAATTGATTTCTTTTTTGCAACTCTCAACGAGTGGGAATTAACGTATCGGATTAGCAATGCATCGTTGGATTCCCTCATATAGCAAGCCTGCTCGTGGCCATATACACTTGAGTATTTATGAGTTCAAATTTCTAAGCTTCTCCAGCCCCCCGTACATAACAGATTCATAGAGCAGTGCTGGGCCCAAGTCTATTATTGAAAGTATTACTTATCAAATCTTTTTATTCCTTATTGTTTTTTCCGCATAACTTGTTGCCCAAAATCATCTCTATTATTCTTGTCATTATGTTTTAGCTGAACTGAACTTTTTCCATGCATTTATGTTTTATATAGAATACATCTTAATACAATACAAGTGCATGTAGCTGTGCTATCCGTTCAACCTATTCAAAACTTTGTATTTGTGAGATCTTTTCGAAAATTGCAAGCAAACAAAAATTGTATTAGTGTATAAAAGGGTGAATAAAATGATTCAAAATATATTATTTGTTTGTTGGAATTATTGATCGAAGAAGAATATTTTTTTAATTTTAGATATTAAAACAGTACTAATTTAAAGCAATAAAAAGTAAGGACTATAAGTAGTAAGTCTTTGATCTTTTGATAAACGCATGGACCGCGGAACTTGAGAATTTCCCAAACTATACTTACATACAAGTATGATTATAGAAAAAGCCAAAGTATTACCGCAATACTTTCTTCTATTTTACTGATGTAGTCGTATATAAAAAGTTATAATGCTGTGCAATCAGTATCTGAGGATTTGTCATAAGCAGCGAACATTCATTATTATCGCCCTAGTATTTGACTACAAGTATTTGACTCCTTGAGGCAAAGCCAGTCCAATCTAAACCTGTATACTCGTATATGTATTCATGTTTAAAAATGACGTTTATATACTTTTGAATAGGCGTTACTGATCCAATAACATTGACAATTGACTGGATCAGACCACGCACTTATCATTTACCTTATTTACATTAACAATATGTGTACAAAAACTATATTTCTATATTAACATATGAAACTTAAAAATATATAGTAGTGTGTTTCGAATTGCTGTATTATTGTGTAACGAGAAATATCTCTTTTTTATGGCAACAACAGGGTCTCTCAATAACAATAATATTGATTCCGTGTATTGTTTTCTAACAAATTCAGATTTGTTTACCAACATCATAGGCATTTTATAATATTTGTGATTTCTGGAGGCGGATGGAATAATATTGGTTGCAAAAAAGTGCGGACACTTATTTAATATGAGTAAGTAATGATTCGATATTATAGTTTCTGATGATTCCTTTTTTAGTGATATTTGGAAAATCAATAATACTAACTTTGTTTCTATTGATATCTGATCTATCTAGGTTTTTGATTTTGATTTTGTTGCCATTCTTTATCTAATATTGTAGCTTTTCCAGTTTTGTATGTTCTAGATCCTTTTTTGTTTGTTTTGTAGCCGTATTTAGTAGATAAATGACTCATAGAGTCCTAACTATTTTCAATAGCCTAAATTTGACTAAAAACTGTGCATTTCATTTGTATCTACAAGTACGTATACAAGTATGCTACTATGGTACAGGAGTATGCACCTGAACAACGTTTTTTTAGATGTACAATTACAAGTGAATTATTTTATGGCCATACTGCATTTAAATGAAATGGCAAACATGCAAAAATATCATTTGTGATTGATGATGTCCTGGCACACACCACACACAAAAAGTATCCACGAATGCCATGAATATTTTAAAAATGATTCAATTTTTTCCATTCATATGCATATACATTTGTGTCTGTCCTCTAATTGACACACACACAAGCACACGCACACACACACACACACACACACACAGTGTGACAGAGGAGGGGCGTACGCAACTCAATTTGAATCAACACGATTGCGATGCCAATGCAATTACCTCAAATTAATTTGAGTGCTTTGTTTATATAAGGCGTGCTGTATGCTGTCACTGTCACTTCGGCTGTGGCCATGGCTGTGACTGTGACGGTGACGGTGACTGTAGCTGTGGCTGTGGCTGCCCACTCAGATTCTCATATTTCAGAGTTTGAGTTTTGAACGAATACACACACACACACCTCCGCCCCCACATAAATGTAGAAATGTAAGAATGTTCGTATGTACATATGGTTGGGCGGCTATTGAAATCGAAAACGATTACAGCAGAGCTCAGTATAATAGTACAGTGGAGCAGAATAGAGCAGAAGACTCGTTTGTACGAGTATGTACTCGTAAATGCCAGAAGGGTGGTTGAAATTTGAAAGCATATGCCCTTTTGACGAATATATAGAGGCAGATAAAGACTAAAATACCCACTGATGAGTTGGCAATAATTCGGTTGAGTGGTTACTGTCAACAGGCAAATAATAGGTGTTCGTTCGTGTTCATTCTCTCGACGATGGGCGGGCGTTCGTCATGGGTATTCCACGGTTGCTGTTGCCGTAGCTGGTGCCGTAGCTGGTGCTGGTACTGTTGCCGGTGCCGGTGCCGGTGGCGCTGCCGGTGATGGCCTTTTGTTTACACGTAAAACACCATACATATTTAATTGGGTTAAATTGCTTGACGATTAACATTTTGGGAATGAAATGCGCGGATAATTGAGTTTACTTTGTCTAATTAGAACTGGTTTTTTTTTCTTCTTCTTTTCCACCCACCGTATATATGTATATATATTTTTTTTTACTCTGACTGTTCGCTTGTGATTTCTGAAAATATTATTTAAAGCTTTTGTCATGGATAAACAATTTCTAAAATTTACAATGCATTGCATATCCGGTGCGTCCATGCCTTGATTCCGCATAAAATTGATTTATTCTTACTGTGAGAATTGTGAAGCGGAAATTCCACAATCTTTTTTCTAAAATTAAAACGTCAGTCAAACCCAATCCGATTTATTTAAAACAAACTTGTTTGTGTCAGCTTGTCACTGCAGCCTAGGTTGTTGTGTTGCTAATGTTGCATTGAGGGTGGCAGCAGTGGCTGTGGTAGTGCCAGATAGGAAACCACGTCTTTTGCCAGTCTTGTTCTCCTCCTCCTCCACCGCCTCCGCCTCCGCCTCCTCCTGCCCATTCCTATTCCCGTTCCTGTACCCGTGCCCGTGCCCGTGTTTTGAACTCCCGTGGGCAGTGCAGCAGGGCGTGTCACGTTTGCCGACGCCAACCTAAATGAAATGACACCATCCTCTTCCCAACTGTTGAGCGCCCAGTACAGAGAGTCGATGGCTGCCGACGCATTGCCTGAAACGCTCCCTCAAGCCAACGAGCCCACGAGCGTGGATTGGAGTTAATTAATTATAATAGGACCCCTACCCCAAGAGCCGTGTATAAAGGCAAATGCGATTTGCTATGACAATTTACTGTACATTAGCGTTTGAGTCTGTCTCTAGGATTAAAAGTGCTTTTCAACAAAGGTTACGAGTACGAACAGAAAAGACGGTCGCATATGTATGTTACTCTACAACTTATATGTTTTTTATTAAATACCCAATTAACAAATGTTTGTTTTATTCAATAGCGGGCACACACATCATTCATTTATATGTACTTGTGGTACGTTTGTATAAATGATTGTATAATCATATTCAAAGGAAAAGTTGTGTAAAGACATAGCCAAGTCATCAGAGATTCTCAGACAGGCAAATAATTTGCAGACAAATTTGTAGAATTTCACAGATATGCCATTTAAAGAATGTTCTTTTAATAAAAGCCATTAAGAACCGTAGCCTTTAGCTTTAAAGAAAGAATTGTTGTTTGAATTGTCAGTTTTTAAAACCTTATTTACTATCTGAACAATCGCAATATGTTGAAAATTCGTCACATAGTTGTAAGGAACTTATAAATATTGAGGCGCAAAGAAATCACCTGGAAGTGTAAGTCTTTCATAAATAGTCGTATTTTTCGCAGTTTTCTATACAGTTGAGAATCTATAGGCCTATAATGAGCTTTAGAGGAACAGCGCTCGGCAAACGTGACCGTTGATTCGATATTAATGGAGCCTTTGTATTCACTAAAAATTTTTGTCCAATCCATGCAATTTTTAAAAAAAACTTTAGATGAATAAAATCCCCTTGAAGTTGGCAATGTGGTTCTAATTCAGACAAATGTTGGATCTCAAGAATCAAATGAATCTACCGATTTGACTTATATAAGTATTTATAGTTGTAAAGCTTCAGTTCATGAAATGCTTCTTGAGAAGGAACATCTTTAGATTTCCCCTAATGTGAAAACGAATATAGTCAAAAAATAAACAAATTTTATGAATGCGTACTATATATAGTATGTATACCTATTGTCCGTATTCGTCGTATCACTGCAGTTGATGGATTCTATTGCAAAATTTTTTCATTTAACATATCAGGTAAGGTATACGCATATAAACAATACTATCATTAGCGCACCGTAGCTTACATACTCTTTCCAATCCATTATCCAGCAGCAATCAGGATGTTTCTTATTTATGATTAAAAATTATATCTTACAATATATATATATGTATATATAACATTGATCGTTGATAAAGATAAAAAAAAATACACTCACTCACTGCAGATGCTGCAGGTTGAATTTGCAAGGTTGTTTTGGAACAATTACCATTTTACAAGTGTAAAAAAATAATAAAAAAAATTTGCTTGGGGCGATAGTTCTATGCAAGATAGTTCCCAGGCATTCTCGAATTTCAGCGAATAGTTCCTAGGGAAATTACATAAGTTATGTGTATGTATGTATGCATATACATATGTATGTATGGATGCTAGCCACATATGCTATAGAAATTTCTTGGCTAAGATCTGTCCATATTCAATTTTTATAGATACCAACGACAGCCAACGAAACAATGTCGTTTTAACATTCCACATACATTTTGTGATAAGTTTTCAAGACAATCAACTATGCTTGATTACAACTATCTTGATTACATATATAATTATAGACATACATACATACATATGTGCTTTGATACATTTTCTTTTTAATTGTACCTATTCAAGTAGTCCAAAGTTTCGGTATTTGTCTTGTTAAAGACACGGTGACAATGCGTTATCAACTTTTATTTGAAAAAAAAAAAAACACATATAGTTGTATCAATTTATTGATCGTTAGTTTTTAGTCTGAAGTATTGCTTCTTAAACGAGATAGTGTTGATGATATTTTTTCGGAAAACATTTTAGCACTCCTAAAATAGCGCGATATCGTCGAATTGCGCGGCATGGAATGTTAGCGAAAACTGAATAACAAAGTTCCGATTTTACCCACAGCTTACTAAATAGCCAAAGCCAGGCCAAGGAACGGAGGTCGTCCACAATACCACTTGGGGTGTCCAATAAACGCACGCCAGTCTCACCGAACAGCCAATGAGGGAAGACCACAAAAAGGCAACGATCACGATTCAATGGGCACGACCGAAAACTGGGTATGTCCTGTGTGGTAGCTGAGCGAATCGCAGGGCTTCTCGCTAACAATATGGGCGTGGCCAAGCGATGCGCCTGCGCCCCAACTGCACAATTGCCGTTGTGTGAGTAATATGTGTGCCGTTAGAAGGCGTCTGAAGCAGCCCTCAGCAACATTCAGTATTCCACTCACCTTATACAATCATTTTTTTCACATACCCGTGTCCGTACAAATGCCTGCACAGGAGACCCCAAAAATACATATACTCGTTGTATGTATGTACATGTATATATATGTATATCAACACAGAAGCAAATACATTTTGGCACATAACACGTATTTTGTATTTTGAACTCAACGAACTGTGAATATTGCTTTTAATTTAATTAACTTTTCCAACAAAATTGTGGCATGAAAATTAAATTAAGCGATTGGGAGTTGGAGAATTACCATCATGTTATACCTATTTGAGTGTCTGAGTGCGGAGGAATGCATTTACATATAAATGTGTCTGCCGACTTACTTCGATTTTAATTGTTTTTGAACAAGAGCATTGATATTAGGCTTGCCCTAGCCACTTATGTATGTATATATGAGTAAGTATGTGGACATAATCAATCGTTCATACTCGCAAAGCCGTTAAAGGATCCATTTGTATTATGTGCCTACTTTTGATGGGATTACGGCGTACGCTAACTTTGACCTCACGCTCCAAAAAACTATAGAAATATTTATTTAAGCATCTTATACCACGGCGTAAGCAGCATAATTTGCAACTCCACACAGATTGCGGCCTTTCCGCAGCTTCATGTAGCCTCTCTCGCCCCATTTCTCGCCCCACCAATTCTTCAGAATCCAGTAGTCCTTGCCATAGCCTATCACTAACATGGCATGATTCACAGTATCCGAACTACAAGCGGGATCATCGTAGACGCCATCACTGCAAAATAGTAAAGGACATAACTTTTCGTTTATTATCCGCTCGAGAACGATTAAAAAGTGTTGCATACCTGCGAGGCGCAAGATTTCATAAAACACACTTATAGAGGTGTAATTTTGGATTCCTGAACACCTTTTATCGCATTCGATTAAGCAAAGATACACATTGAAAATGGTTGACAAGCTTAATCGTTGAGATTAATTCCGATATTGTTTTCAAAAATATCAAGAAGCAATTTTCGATTTTCAAACAAGGCTAGTCAGCAGTAAGTCTTCTATCTAGCTAATTATCTAGTAATAGCTTATTTATAAACAGATATAAGATACATTGCAATATATTAGTTAAAATAATTTATCTATATAAATAGTTTGGCGAGCGGGAAAATTTATAAGTCTATGTTTAAAAATCGAAACTGTTTTGATTTTAAAACTATGAAAAGATAAACGGACATTTTAAAGTATACTAACAAATGCAACTCATGATTATACCACCAGCTCGTCACTTTATTTTGCTATTTAGAATTAAATCAATAACTTTTGCTGATATTCAAAATTAGTTCAGCGGAAAGCTTATTGTTTGAAGGCACATAAGTACTAAATAAAAATAACAATATAGAAAATAAAATAAGAACAATAAAAAAACAAACCGAAAAAAATCGCATTTGCAGTATTTGCTTAATGTTTCAAATCAACTTGGAAATCAAAAATTCAAACTCTTACCGATTGTTTTTATTTAATGTCACAACTCATATTATTAAATATTTATACGATTTAATTTAAAAACCAACCCTCCTCAGGCTTCTCATACGACGAACCTAACTTTAAGCAACAATATTTGACTTATTCGCATTAATATAGTAGCATAAAGTTATACAAAAAAATCTTACAATAATAAAAGGCACAGCCTCCTCCGGGCTTCTTACATGAAGCACCTTACCGGCTTATATAGTCGACTTTATTACTTACTACTTTATTACAAATAATGATGATGTTACTGTTTTAATTTAAATAAATAAATATTGTTGCCGTACCAATTAATAATGGTCAAAAATATTTCGTGTATTAAGAAAGTTGTCTAATTTAAATTGCTTATTAAACTTTTTTTTATGAAACGTGTGTATGTTTCGATATGAAATTAAAGGTAATTAAATTATATTTTTTAAATACATATACATGTACTCGTATGTATGTAAATAGAGGACATTGAAAGTTGCACTATCAAAAACTTAATTGTGGTTAGGGCTCGTATGTTTACTATACTTGTATATTGGTAATTTGATGAATGGAAAACCACGTCCCTCCACATAATTGAAGTCCAAAAGCTGTCAACATTTTATTGGTGATAAAGGGATAAAGGGGATGGTTGAATTTTTGACTTGATAAAACAAATGAATTAATTTCATTCTTTCTGACGGTAGTAAAGAATATTTGAAATGTATTTACTTTAAATAGGAAAAATAAATTAGGTGGCTTAGTTCGTATCTAAAAGGAAGTACTTCTTTCTTATCAATAATAAATCCCGCTAAAGATGGCTTTAATATCTATTCAGCTATACAAAGAAGCATGAGCACATAAAATACAATTATACATGCGAAACTGATAAACCAGGTTGTGTTAAGGAACTTGAGGCCTACTGAAGCGAAAATGACGAGCACTAGTCGGGAATGTAATAAATAATATCATTGATGAAAGAATATAAATAAATAAATGGACCGCAAATAAGAGTAGTTTAAAAAATGTTCATAGTTGCTTTGCTGGCGTGAATTGTAAAGGGATTTAAAACATGCTTGTAAAAAAATAAACCATGAAGGAGTAACCTCGTTCAAAATGTTAGACGTCATGAATTTCTGACAAAATAGAACCCAAAAATCTGACCCTCTATTGTCTTACTTCTCCTCTCGCGATTATTGGATTGCATTTTGTGATTCTGTGTGTGGGTTTTCAAATTCGCTTTTGTTATTAACACATAGTATGTATTGTAAGATTGTTTCCTCCTACGCGTTTCGTTCGCGTATATTAAAATAATTTCTGTTGCTTATCAATCTTTCTCTTTTTCTGTTGCTCTATCTCTATTTCCTTCTTTCTTTTTCTCTTTCTCGTTCTACTTCGTACTTCCTCTAATTAGTTGTTGAATAGAATTCATTTTCCACCTTTATCTACTTTTTGTATAGTTTTTTAGGTCTTTAATGTCTCTGACCACATATGGCTGTGAATCGGGGCATAGCTGGCCAATTGGCAAATAAAATTCCCCCAACGTGTCGGAGGCATTAATAGACGTCATTGTACAGCTTTGTGTTAAGCGTTCTTATCTTTTAAATGTAGTTTAAATTGTTATAAAAATAAAATAAATAATAAAAATAATAAACATAAAGCTTTCTTGGGCACAAATTGTCTTGTTGTATAAGACCTATTCAAGGCTACATCTGTATGAAAGGAAGGAAATTTTGAAATAAAAACAAAGAAGTACTTATGTTTGGTTTTGGATGATTGTAAATGCACTTCTCCGCTTCTAAATAATATATAATCATAACATTTCAATAGCAAATACATTTACACCTATTTATTTATATTTATGCATATAGTCCATTCCGATTTAGACTTTCAAAAATTATTTGTTGTAACAAAACACTCTTCAATATCAGATATCTTTGTAAACAAACAAGTTAGTCATACATAAACTTCTTAAACCTGATAATGGTAGTCCTATTTGGACCTTATTCGAGTATATTTTGTAAATTTTCAATGCGACAGCTTTATAGCCAAGAAATTAGTTTGCATACTATAAATGAGATGTAACACATCTACGTTAAAAATACCGGCATGCTATACACTCGCAGTTAATATCTATGAACTATTGTACTATTTCCATATTCAGTAATGCCAAGAGCTTAACAAAAAAAAAGTAGTGCCATAGCAATTACTTACCTATATAACTGAAAAGTTTTCGGAGTTGCATTAATGGAGACTGCGACGGGACCAATATGAGTAACGGCAGCTTGGATGGCGTTTTCATCATTTGGTGGCAAAATAGCCCAAGAAGTAACATTGACGACGGCCAGTTCTCTAACGAATTGGCATCTTCCTTTCTGCAGAAAACATATTTAAAGTAGCTATTCATTTATATTGTAGTATATAAGCATGTATATGTAGTATGTGTGTGTATATAAAATTGCAATTACCCTTGCTGTATATTTGTAGTCTTTTGATCTCATAATGCCGCCAGTGCTCTGTAAATATCTCAGAGTATTGCGCAAAGAGCCACCAGTACATCCTTGATTGCCAAAAGAGACGCTGCAGTCCACAATTTGTTGTACACTCAGACTCAATATGCGTCCTGTCCGCTTAAAAACCTGCCCCTCAATGCTTTGTGCTATGCTGAAGGCATAGCAGGAACCACAACTTTGCTGATTCTGAGGCTCTGTAACAAAGCCTTTGGTGCGCCAATCCAGACTTTCGGGCAAGTTGCTCATCAACGGTGATCCCACAATGTCTGCAGCATTCTCTTCAGTGGAATTCGGTTGGCGTTGACTCTTCAGTAGTCGTAGGTATCCCTTGAGGTATGAGTCGGTGTTCTGGCAGTAATATATTGTATAAATAAATTATGCCCATCATTTTCCAACATATCTGTCCACCTACCATATCAGCCAGCGTATTTGTGGCCAATCTGAAACTGCATTCTCCACTTTGAAAACGTTTGTTGTGCTCCTCCACCACCTTCTGGTTCTCTTCATAGGCCTTATAGCTACGGATTTCGTCATAGACGCGAGCATAGTTCTTGTTGTTGGCTTTCTGAAGTGAACAGAATTCAGATAATGTGGGTATTACGAGTATTCAACAGCAGTTTCGCACCTTAAAATTTTCAAAACCCTCATCGGTAATTATCTCAGATTCGCTGCTGTCTGAGTTAATGGCTGATATACAGAAAATGCTAAATATAATTACAAGTCTCCACATTGTTCCCGTCATTTCAGCAATGACATTAATAAATGCATTTCAATATAAACTTTGTGCGCAATGCCATTGCTGAATTGTTGCAATTCAGCAAATTTGTATGCACTGTCCGCTCACTCGGCGAATGCCCGTACAACGAGTGACGGGTGCACGATTTAATGGGGCATATTGATTGAATTCAATTATATGTGACGCCATAATATAGTTGATGTAGCGGGCTTTTAATTGGATGCCTCTTAAGTGCAGATTCATATTCCGTGCATTTATTTAAGGCAATTAAAAAATCGTGTACAATGATTCCCATAGCAACTACATACATACGTGTATAAGAACAGTTTTATTGATTATAGTTAGTTCACTTAGTATTCAGCTTAGCTATGTACTCGTACATACATACACTTAATACTACGTACTTATATAAGTAGATACATTTTCTTAAGAATACTGTGCAATCACACAAGCTTTGTGGAAAAAAGTCTCCGTTAAAAGCAGTGTGGGCGCACGGCTTAGAAATGCGTATATTTTCCATTGCAATCATTTCCACTGCAACTCACTTCAGTTGGGAAAAGGCTTGTGAAAGAGCATTTAATCTGCGCTATGCAGATAATAGCAATATAAATAATTTCATTTCGACTATATACAAAGGCAGTGCAGTAGCGGAGTGTTCCGCGGGCTCACTCGACCATGCGTCGCATGCGATATATACATACAAGCAGATAAGTATACTTATATATGAATGTTTCTTTCTATATTTAAATTTAAGTTGAAGTTAAGAAACAAGTCCACATACATATATACATACATTAATATCAAGGGCGTAGGTAGCTTTTACCAAAGGGGGGGAGCCAAAATATGAAAATTTTGATTAAATAATGCACGATGTATTTAAAAATAACTTATGCATATGATCAATGAAAAAACTTCAACAAATCCAACTCAGATCCATTTTAAGGCGAAATAGTGCTTCATAAAAATGAACGTGTGGTCGACTTTAAATGGCAAAATTTTTTGTGAAGGGGGGCGTTGCCCCCCCTTGCCTACGCCCTTGATTAATATCGTAATATATACATATATGTACATGTATGAATTTTTAATGTTATGTACAGACATCTATGTATGATTATATGCGTTTTTATTTTGATTCACTCCATCCGAAGGCTGAAAAGATAGGCCTGAGTTTGTTGAAATTTGCAGCATTCATTTGAAATATCTGGTATTAATATCTAAATGTTTATTTAACCTATGCACTATAGCATATGTATAGATATTCTATGAGTTCTTGTACTTAACAAAAACAATTAAAACGAGAGGGTTACAGTCGAGGAAGCCTGACAATGAAACTCCATGTACCCTAAACTCAATTCCGCCGCAGTGTTTTAAAACCCACCTGAAGAACGAAACCGTTGCTGCTGAAATCGGGAGTGCAGACAAACCATATACATATATATACATAAGTGTACTGTTATTATTATTTATTTACATATATATAATAATGTAATATATATATTACATTATTATATATATATATATATTATTTTATTTAGCCGATATAGTATCAATCGGCATTTTAACTTTGCTGTTCAATAAGTTAACGTCATCAGATTTTGTATTTAAATATGAGTTTTTCAAAATGTCTCACAATATTCTTGCTTTCTAATTGACCGTTACATACTATATGCATCATTAATGATATTTTGTTTTTTGCAAATCAAATCTATTGATTTCTTTTTGAAAATAAAAACCTAATTCAAAGTATGAAAATGAATTAGTTTTGTATACATTTCTGATTTTTTACTTCTATTAAGCTCTGGGTGGCCATAGAAACTAATAGTAGAAAAAATCTTTGTTGAAAAAGTCCAATCAAAGGCATTACAACAAAAATTAAAAGATTTTTCAAAAAAGAATAATTTCTTTATGATAAATCATGTTTAATGGGGATGATAGAGTATCTGCAGCCCAAATGCACGCGCTTTTTTGTCTATCATTCTCATCCTTCATAATTGTTTTTGGGACAATCGTGCCGACAACATTTGCTACAACGCTAACTTTTAATGATGGGGCGTTGATAAATTTAATACTCAGCACACGACCCAAATTACATTTAATAACCAATTAAAGGTATTACAAGGTCATTTGTTACACTGTTGACTTTTTACAATACATACATACGTACATACATACGTACATACATACGTACATACATACGTACATACATACGTACATACATATGTACATCAATGTAGTTGGCCGTGCCGTGCGAAAAGTGTCTCAGCTCACAAAACTACCCCAGCGAGCAAGCAATATGGATGTGTGTGTAGGCGCTTTATACATAATTACATACATACATATATACGAACATATGTATGTAGGTGTGTTGTCGCTTTCAAAGCTAACTCGATACTCATTTTGGCACCCTTAATAACGAAGACCATCACCATTGTGTCTATCGTGGTTTGTACATATACATACATACATACATTGTATTTCTGTGTGGTTCACAATCCATTCGAATTTACGTTACAAACGGCTCAATGAAATTCCTTTTCGAGACTTGATACCCATAATTGATTCCCACAAGTCGTCGACTGACCGTTATTGCCAGGTAATAAAAAAGTACAGGGTGAGCAGCATTTACATATGTATATGTGCCTATATCTGTGTGTATGTATGTATATATACACATACATATGTTGTTGATTCTATTAATTTGTCAAACTAACCGTACATTCAAACCTATTCACAAATGTGGAACCAAAGCAATCAAAAATCTTTCATAATTACATCCACGTGTATGCAAATCTTTAACGTATTCCTCGTGACTTCCATACAAATGTGTATGCATGTATGTATGTATGTATCTATAAACTGCATGTGCATGTCATCTCGTATTACCTTTTGTAAATCACTCCATTTATAAAAAGTAAGAAGACAAAAACGACAAAGTTTCGCACCAGTGATTTAGTTTATTAGCATTCCATTTTACTATATTGTACAAAATACTAACGTAACGATTTCTATTGTGTATAAGTACGTACATACAACAAGTTAAGTATAATTACATGTATAGGCATACATATATGTATTCTTTATATAGTAAAGTAGTGTCACATTAAGGCTTGGGAATGATATTTATGTCTTCGTTCGCATTTTTTAGTATTTCGCTTTCTTCTTCCAACTGATCGTTAACAGGTCTCGGGGCATTCCAAGGCTGTACTTCTGCAGTGGCAAATATCTGATAAACAACGTAGGTCGCACCACCAATTATTGAAGCAATTATAAAGACTGTACGCCATTGCTCAATGGATGTCTGTCGGAAGATAAATAAACCAAATCCATAATCATATTAGTATGTAATTTGTAAAAATGTTTCTTTAAACTTACCTCATCTGTGACCACCTGTCCAACGGCCAGTGGTGACAGGAAGGATGCTGACATATGTACTGTCTGACAAAATGCTAGAACAGGTCCAGCGAAATTTGGTGATAAGTCAACAATATTTGCCATAGCTCCTGCATAGGATGCCGTTATAAATATGACGGCTATAAACCAAATTAATAACAATAGTGTTACGTTTTGAATATATCCTAACCATGCTAATAGTAGACCAGGAATAACCTGTGATAGTGCCGTAAATAGCTTTCTCACATTTGTTAAACTAAACAGTTTATGTAATAACATTTTATCGGCAATATAACAAAATAACACCGATGAAAAATATGAGCAAATGAAGGGCATGCCCGACAAAAATCCATTAGTTTGATATTCTAGTTTTAGAATTTTTTCCATGAACGTTGGTCCGCTCACAATGAATATGTAATGTATCCAAATTCGTCCGAACGTTGTAATTCCTATCGCCCAAGCTGGCATGGACGTAAATATTCGCATCCATGGCACTTTCATGCCATACGATTGTCTTAGTTCTGCGCTTACACTAAGTTCAATATAATTAAGTTCTTCCTGCGTTATTCGAGGGTGCTCCTGTGGAGTGTTGTACGCTAGCAAATACCAAATGATACACCACGTAACTCCTAAGCTACCAGTGGTATAAAAAATATATGGCCATCCAAATTTGTTTATCAGAAATCCACATAGTGGATATGTCAATCCAATTCCGATACTGAATCCCTGGAAACTGGACATAAAACGCGAACGTTCCGTCAAAGGTATCCAATAGCCGACCACTGCATACATTGCAGGCCATGTAAGGCCAGAAGCGAATCCCTGAATTGAGCGTAAAGCAATTACAGCTCCGTAGTGTATATCGGCAGCCAAAGGTATTAGCAAGCTGCTTAGTGCCGTGGCCAGCTGAGACCATCCAAAAACACTCTTTGTTCCAAACATTTGAGTCGCAACTCCACCAACAACCTGTGCTAACACATAACACCAATAAAAGGAACCTAGAATCAAGGATTTATCGGCAGAGGACCACGGGTAGCTAGGAGCTCTGGCGTTATCCTAAAAACCATATGAAAAAGCTTATTAGCTGTATTTTGCATGTGTATGTACCTTGGAAAAATTACCGCAACCAAGGGCAAAGACATCGAAATGTTTCCACTCGTCAGCCCATCGGAATTACCCTAAAATCATGCAAACAATTTTTTACTATCTGTACACCATTTACGTTCCCAAATACTAATTACCAAAGGCATCGAAGTGTTTTCATATGCAGCATACCTATTGTCTGTTAAGTTAGTGGGTGTAAAGACGGTTGTATTATTTTCAGGTCGTATCATTGCAACTAAGGCAAAATTAATGTCATTACGCATCACGAACGACACCAGAAAACCAGACCAGGAAAGAAAATATAGCACAAGCCGAGCTGGTACTTTATCTGTAATTCAAAAAAAAAAAAAAATAATAATAATAATAAATTGCAAAAAAAGTTAATGCTGCTAATGCAATGGGCATAAATCATTAATAATGCAACAAATTGAAAATTCACATACCTCCCAGCTTGGAAATAAAAGTCCGCTTTTTGCAAACATTTCTGTTCGCCTCTATTACTATGACTGGGGTTTCCTCCTGGGGTGCAGCATATAAGACATTTGAGCGACGTTTGTCCGTAGAATACATATTTACTTGCGATTTTAAAAGGACCGATGGTATTTATGTATATTTATTTGTGTTATTCATTTTCTTACTGGAATGTCTTGTGAAGCAAAAGCGCCGCGCTTTGTGACAGTTTCAGGTACAAAGGTTCCTTATCGAATCAGTTCTGAAAAACTATTATTCAAATCATATGTGTAGAGCCCATGGCTGATGACTGAACTATCGCACTTTAGCATAGAATTTGATAAACAAGTGTTAATATACACACAAACGCACTTTTCCCACAACATGAGTAATGAGAAATTGACTCCAATGTTACAGTTATTGATTTGTGTCTCTTATCACATACACTCAACTCAGTCAATCAGCCATTTATAAATGCAGCAGCAGTCTCGACTAAGTTTATGGTGGCTTTTAGATGTAGTATTAGATTAGCATTCATACAATACTTACTATATGACAAAAAAACAAAACATATAATAGTTGTAAATATGTACACAGCCGCGGGACTCTTCGCATATTCGTCCAAATTCACAGATAATTTCCAATCTATGTATGCATAAGTGTGTATGAATTTATGCTTATCACGTTAGTGTGGTCCTCTAAAAGAGAGATTTTGTCATGTTGTTAAACCCATGAACCTGCGTCATGAGAACGTTGATCAATTTGTAGCGTCAACTTATTACATTACAACTTATTTTTATTTAAGATATGGGTTCCGTGCTCGCAGCGGCATGTATTATCACTAATTGTAAAAGCTCTGAGCCATTCGGCTTTTAGAGCACTTGTCTTTGACGCTTTCCAGCACTCGCCAAATCATCGCTTTATATCGATAATTTTCCCACATACAGCCCACAATGATGTGCCATCTCAGTCTTATTGCACAGAAAAGACAGAGAGATCGATACTTTGTCCTCTTACTTATCGTTGCCGACGGTCATGGCTGCGAAGCACCATTAACCTCGCAGCGATGCGTTGGCCTTGAAAATATATATCATTGCCTTTTTTGAAACGAGCACTTGACTGTTACTTTTAACATCAATTCAAATTTAAAATTGTAAATGGATTACAAAAAACAACTTTCGAAACTGTACAGAAGAAAGAATTTTTAATGGTTGCCATTAGTTCACAAAGTAAACAACAATTATTAATGAATATGAAAATAGTTCCATTTTTAAAAATAAGTTCAGAAATGCACTTTAAGCTTGACTGAAATTTTGGGATATATCTAGGGCTTGTAAATCCACTATACTAGATCAATTAAGAAAAACTAAAGAAAGAAATGAGTAAGGGGAGTAATGTTCCTCCCACTTTTGCGGTTATAAAAATCTTTCCTAAATTTAAAAATAACATTATTTTCAAGGCATCCGAAATATGTATGTACCTACAATTTGTCGGACCACAGTAGAGGTCAGTACGCCTACAAATACATAACTAATTTATTTACAATTCATACATTTTATTACTATATGTACATATTGTATAATACATTTTTGTTTTTTAATATAACGGTGCAAAACGGTTTTAACGGTAGAATTTAACAAAAATATTGTTTTCGCTGACTTATGCAAACATTTTCAAATAGTCGTTTTAAATGTAGTTATTTTATTTTGATATTTATCTCTGCTGTTAAAGACTATGGATGAATTAATAAAAAAAAATTTTTAAACAAACAAAACTATGTACGATAGCAGGATTCACTCTTACATTAACAGATTTTACAGTAAATTGACGCAAGCTTTGTGGAATTGGAATATATATATATACATATATATGTTTTTTTTTGTTTTTTTTTTTTTTTGACTATTTGACTTAAAGTCGCCCATCGAAATTCCAATGTAAGTTTTTCTTTAATTTCCTATCACACATCACTAACAACGCTAGTGTTGAAACAATCAGTAGCCAATAAATACTTTTGTATATATGTGTTTGTATGTATGCTGTCATGTTTTGGATTTTGAAATATTTTGGGTTTACTCAAGTACAACATATGGCAGAACTATTAGTGGTTCATTATTGTAGGATTGCAGTTGTAGAACTTGATGCCATTCTTTAAACTGTTGTATACGGGGGATGTTTGTGGAGTTTGGGTTTGAGTTATTCTCACTGCTGGCGCTTTGTGCAACAGCTCGCATGCCTGTCTGATACTCTGGGCGTGGCAGCAATATAACTTCCGAGTCAATTTCCGTTAGACTTTGCTCGCTTTTTATGTTATTTAACGCTGTTCTTTCGGAGATATTACTAGTGACGTTTTTGTGAATGTTATCATTAGAGATGAGGCTATCTTTAACTACACTTAAGTTATTGTTATTATAATATAAATTAACATCATCACAATTCTTATTAAGCGGTAGTGTTTGCTTTACTTCGCCAGCCGTGTCATTTGGCTGACGTTCAGTATAAATAGAATTGAATGATGGCAACATACCATTGTTATACATTGGCAATTCTGATCTATGGTAATTAAGTTCGTCCTGTTTTTCCACCTTAATAACATCCTCACTATCGTTACCGTTATCTTGTGGTGCACCAAACTCTTTGTTACTATCGGTATCAGCATCGTCGTCATCATCATCATCAACATCGTTGATCGACGGTAAGTACGAGTCCCCATTAAGGCAATCTTCAAATGTGGCTCCAGCCTCCTTTGATGCCGAGGGGCTGCTCGTATCAGTCTCAATCTTATTGTTTTTCTTATGAAAAACATTCTCCGTTTCCGCTGCTTCTGCTGGCTTTTCGCCTGTATCTTCCGACGAGGAATATTCATCGTGCTCGCTATCACTGTCATAGTTTGAGCAACTGCTGCTACTGCTACTGTAATTTATGATGCGCCTGTTGCGTCCTCTGCTGTCAGGTCGGCATAACTCATCGTGAAAAAATAATTTATGATGTAGTTTGGCTTGCGGTTTGACGGTTTTGTCTATTTCAACAGAATCGTTAAATAAATGTTTTAGCTCTATATCTAAAGTTTGTGGACATATTTTAACTTTTAGACGGCGACGGCGACGACGACGGCGAAAATGCCGCCAAAGATAGTCCAAATTTGTAAGGCAGGTATGTGACATGATAATAGGCTGCTCCGGCGGTTCTTCTTGCTCCTGCTTCACTTGATGGAATTCAATTGCCTCCTCTGTTTGTTTCTTATGCAAATCAAGTCCATTGTCATCACAATCATCAACTTGTGATAATGAAATTGATGCATCAGTACGATCGTTCGAATCAGAACAGTCTTTCTTAGCGGCAGTCGGCGTTAAAGCAGTTGATTGGGCAACGGCTGGTGAGACAGCTGATACGGAATTGGCTGGAGAATTAATCTTACTTGGTGTTTTCTTTATTGTCAACACAATATGATTACTTCCCCCGCCCATGGGTCTTTGAACTATGGCATATTCCTCGTCATCGCTGTTATCGTACTCATTTTCTAAAAGTCCTTCCTCATCCGCTGCAATGCTGTCGATTGTAGTGGAATGACTGCGTGTGGATTCCAACTCATCCTCACTGGGAGAGTTTACTTTGCTTTTCGAATCCTCATTGTCTCCCCGGTCACTGGATTCACTATACGTGGCACCATTTTCATCATCACTACTATTATTACTACTACTAATATTTGAAATCTGTCTTTGCGTAGCCACATTGCCGTTGATGGCGATTTTGATGCGCTTTATTCTCGGCCTTGGTTCGATAGGAGCACCAGAATCGTCGAGTTTTTGTTTTCGTCGTTTTTTACGTTTTTTGCCCATAGAACTGCGTTCCTGCTGGGTGATCATAGTGCGCTGGTTTCTTAGTTTCTCATTGATCGAATGTTGGGTTTGCTTTAAACTGGAATTGCTACAACTGCTACTTCGACGACTGTAGCTCCCTTTTTCCTGATTCTCAGATCCCGCAAACGTATGTTCATTACTATCATCTCCAATCTCATCAAAGGCGGTCTGTGTTGATGCTTTATCCTCTTGCTGCTCATCCCTATTAGCCAATTTTAATAAATTATAGCTGAAATGTGTATTATTGTTTTTAGATTTGCCGTCCACTTGAGATTCGCTCAAATACTCCATATCAACGTTTAAAATATCATCAATACCATCCTCAACTTCGACTTTTAGGGGAATCTCCTCCATTTTATGTTGTAAACTATTTGTAAGACTTATAACGCTATTAGTCTCCTCATTTTTAATTGTAAGGAGCGTTGTTTCGCCAAGCGCCTTTGCCTTTGCATCCTTAAGCCTTTTATTCTTTCGGCATGATGGTAGGCATTTGGCAACGCCTAAAAATGGTGTAATATGCATTTTAGGTATTTTAGTTCTGATAGTATTAGGGAATTTTAAGAAACTTAAATCCTTTCTAATGCGCGCATACACGAGCGAACCGTATTTTGGAACAACATCGGCGCCATCTGTAACTGTATACGAATCCAATGTTTCCATAAATTTCGTCACGGTTGTTGTCACTGCAATCGCCGAGTCAATAATATCCCAGTTGCCATTTATATTGGGTATGTAGCAATTATGCAGAGCATTTATGTGAAAACTAGTCACTTCATTGGTTTGTATTTCAAAACGTCGCTTTGCCGCACAATCCGGATCCTCGTGAATGGTGTATATAGGCATTGGTATTGGCATTGGTACTATGGTATCCACAGACTCAGCCTGATGAAAACCGGGATACACTTGCACATTGTTGGTGTCATCGTTCAGTTCACTTTTTACGATGGGTGGAGACACTTTTACTTCTATTTCTGAGACTGACGGCTGAGTTGAAATGCTTTTGGATGGCATCAAATCTTGCATTAGAGAATGTAAAAGATCCTCGTCCTCATCAAAATCTAAATCAAATATAGATTTTTTGGGCTTTTGTGGGACTGGTGGTGGAGGTTCTTCTACTGTAGAGCTTTCCGGTTTAATTTTATCCTCCGGTTTATCGACTTTCACAGCTACATCACAATACTGACTATTCTGCTCATTTTCTTCGACTACTTGATGACTTGCATTATTTTCATCCGTCGGCACATCAAGCAGCTCTTCTAAAATCACGCAGGTACATGGCACAATTTCCGCCTGGTAAGATTCTTCAGCTTCAAATATTGTTCGCGGACTTTTCAAATTGTGAACCAGATGCATTAATTGTGAGCATACATCATCCTGAATTGCTGGGGTTGAGGTGCCTGTTGTTTTTGCTGATGACGTTGGAAAAGAATTACTATTGCTATCCAGAGAGGTACTACGTTTAATTTCTCGAGACTTAGGGCTATCATGCGATGGTTCTGAAGTACCAGTATCACTATCAGTTTGAACGGTATCTGTAATAACATTTCGAAAAGTAAATATAAAAATAAAATTTATCGTATTTTCATTTGATTTATGTGGGAAATGCAATTATATTGAGGGAATACATTTTAAATAATATATAGATTTAGAAAAAATGCATACCTTCAACCCTATTTGAAAATTTATCAGTTGCTGTTAAGGTAACATTTGCGGAATTGTCATCCAACATTTGCGGGGAGTGCATTGAAGTTTCTAATAATAAAAAATAAAATTATATCCGTTTTTGAAGAACTAATGATTAGGGTATACCTGAGCATGATGAGGTTGGCCTAGATAATAAAGTGCGCGATTGCTGTGCTCGATGTGTGGCAATGCTGGGATCCTTAACAGCTGATGATGCCGACTCACTTCGGTTTGAAGAATCGCTAAGTTTGCGATTCTGTATTTCATTAAAGAGTTCTTTCGTGGTTTTAACTTTTTTAACACCACTGCCAAATAAAATCTGCTGAGAAAGTGACTCTTTCGCAATGACGGAGTCTACGCCTTTAGAACCTTTCTTTCGGCCACGTTTCTTAGGAACTTGAGCGAGGGCATTTTCAGAAGGGTCGTCGGTTTTAATCACTTCATATATAGGATCATTTTGTTGTTCTTTTGATGCTGCATCAACATCCTCAAATAATTTTGATTGAGTACGGTTTTGTTTTGAGTCAACTTCCTCAAATGGAGATAATCGACTGCAAGAGGTGCTTGTATCATTTGTAAAAAAATCGCCTTCATATCCACTTCTCGTTTCATGCGCATTTATAAATAACGCTTTCTGGCCATTGGCCAAAGCTTCGTTATCATGATTTACAGTAGTAATTGTAGCAGTAGTATTAGAAATAGTATCTCCTTGGCTGGCGGATTTGAACCTGCCCGCAAATGTCAAATCCGCAGCATTTCGAGCTTTTGCCAATGAATTCCCAGTCGATGTTTCGAAAGATAGCAATGAGCTCATTGAGCTATTTGACAGTGAGAGAATTTCTAATGCAAGAGTAATAAAATGTAAATTATTACAATTTAAGTTTTTAAAATATAAATCAAAAACTCACCTGACACTGCTGGGATAGTCGATTGCAATTTTGGATCTTTAGCCGGAATGATATTTGTATCTTTAACCTGCGCTGGAGGAGGAGGGACAATGGGATTCAATAAAAAAGAGGACTTTGTGCGGCCATCCTTTTCTTTCCGCTTCTTTTCTTTCTTCATTTTCTTAGGTTTTGGATAGGCTACAGGAGGAAGAGCAAGCGAAGATGGGGTTGATACTGTCTTAGCCTTCTCCTGATTGCCCGATTCGTAATCATCCGAATCGGAGACTATATCGATAACAATTGCCGTTTCGTTTATCTTTTCACTTCCAACGGCGAAATTTGATGTAGAATTTGATGAATGCTCATACATATGTGCAGCCAAATGTTTGGATAGATTTTTTCTCTGTGATTTTACTACCCTATCTTTGTTGCTTTCACCACTATTGGATTTGTTAAAGAAACTGGGTGAAGAATCGTGGAAATTGTGAACAGATACTACGCAGGAAGGTTGTTCAGTATGCGAATCGGGCAAATAATTTCGATTTGGTGTAACTTGCGAATTGGCATTATGTGTAGTGTTCCAAGCATGAGGAGCCGTCAAAATAGTTTTGAACATGGCGGTATTAACACCTTCCGTGCCAGCGTTCTGTTCCAGCGGTTGTGGAGAAGATGACTGCGAGTATTGGAGGGTATTTGCTACTGTTTCAGCTGTGCTTTGTTCTGTTGTTGTGGGTATTCCAATTGCTGGCTTTTGGGTCAATTGTTGTGGCTGTTGTAATTGCTGCATCTGCTGAGAATCATTTGATGTTTGCTGAATTCCCACCATCTCGCGCCATTTCTTTAGAAGCGATTTAGCGCGTCGTGCTAACTGCTCATTTTGGGTTCGACGCCTCAGTTGATTTATATATTTGGCCAATCTGGTGGCTTCCAATTGTTCTTTCGTGATCGTTGTGCCCTCCAATGCAGATATAACGGCGAGAACCGCATCCATATTAACGACCTATAAAAAATATGTTTTGGAATGCAAACGAAACTATACAAAATGCGTTTTCCACTTACATCGTAGTTTTGATCGAGTGCCTGTGATAGGTGTGAGGTCAATTGTTGGATTTGGTTTTGGTTCATTTATACAAATGTAACCAACTCCGCCTGATCCACGGAACGCCAAGAACGTAGATGTCGCACGCACGCACTCACGACGCACACTCAGAAAATTACATTAGCTGGGGAGGGGAAAGACAATGTGATGAGCAACTAGTATGTGAGTCCTTGAAATCAAACGAGGGTTAAATTCCCTGATTCTACAAAACGAATACGACTTATTTATAGAAATTTTGCTTATAACAAAAAAGAATGCAATTTATTGCAATGTGACAGCTAAATGAAAAATTATCGGGAAGTTACCCCCATTGAAACATCCTTACCTTCTATGTGACCAAATGCTAACTCGCAAATGCCACAACTAACCCACCACTAAAAGGATTTTTAACGTTTATTAACATGCACTTAAATGCCTACCAACATCAGAAATATGTCATTTGCAAGACGAACTCGTAGCTCTGGCTGTTTTTGCTACATGTGCATATGTATATAGGTAGTACATATGTACATATGTTTTCTTGTATGTATTAACCACTACGTGGTGCGTAACACAATTCAATTTAAAAATCCAAGTTAATCATTATAAAACACACAATTGGTCCTGCGTTTTATGGTTAGCAAGTACCGTTAGACATTAAGTGATTTTTTGACTGTTTTAAAACAATATTAGAGTCCAATATATTACCATTGAGATTAAGAAATTTTTCCTACCGTGAAACGAATTGTCACCGAGACGAACAAGTTTTGATGCTATTTTGCTGCTTTATTCATCAAAATAAACTGTCGACAGCCCGAGTTGCGGTAAGACCAGTCGAATCAATAGCAATGTTGCAAATACCACGATTATTGGGTGTTTTTAACAATTACTTCAATTTTTGATCTATGAAGTACCACAAGCGAGCAGCAAAATGGAGAATAGTTTAATGCTGCCAACCGTCTCCGAATGCTTATGCCAGAGCTGCCTTAGAACGCACAGTCGCATATCGATAGCAGTTTTCGACAGTGCTGCTTTAAAAATAGTGCATGATATACGGTATCGATTCTTTCTTACTTGTCTGCTCAAAGCACGTGTTTATGGAATTGTTTTCCTCCCGGTTTTGTTTGGACGCTGTCATTTATTTTAATTAGAAAGAATGGGTTTTGGACGTCCTGGACGAGGAGGTGGTGGGGGAGGACGCGGTGGAGGTAGGGACAAATAAGTCGGAGTGTACTATGGCTTGCGGCTCAAACATTAATTTAATATTTTTGTTTTTAGGCTTTAGGAGCGGTGGTGGAGGCGGTGGTGGCGGCGGCGGCGGTCGAGGATTTGGCGGAGGACGTGGTGGCGGCGGTGGTCGTAGTGGTGGTGGTGGTGGTGGAGGCGGGTTTAGAGGAGGACGCAACAATTTCGATCAAGGGCCGCCAGAGCGTGTTATTCCCTTGGGAGAATTCACCTACACATGCCAAAACGATCTTGTTTGTAAAGTTGGCATCGATGATGTGCCGTACTTTAATGCACCAATATTCCTTGAAAATAAAGAACAAATTGGCAAGATTGATGAGATATTCGGCACAGTTCGCGACTATTCGGTGTCGATAAAGCTCTCAGAGAATGTGCAAGCCCACAGTTTTAAGCCAAATCAGAAGCTATTCATCGATCCTGGTAAACTTTTACCAATTGCACGGTTCCTTCCCAAACCACCACAGCCAAAAGGTGCTAAGAGAAAGGGTCCTGCAGGTGGAGTTGGTGGTGGAAGAGGACGCGGTGGTGGCGGTTTCGGTAAGTACAAAAGCAAACAGGAAGATACTCATATGTATCGCAATCTTTAATCAATTTTTCGTTTCAGGTGGTGGTCGTGGTGGAGGCGGTGGTCGTAATAGCTTTGGTGGCGGTGGCGGCGGCGGTGGAGGAGGATTTAGAAGTGGTGGTGGCCGCAGCGGTGGTGGAGGATTCGGCAGAGGACGCGGGGGAGGAGGAGGCGGCGGCGGCGGTGGAGGTCGTCCCCGTTGGTAATTCCAGACTATAATTTAAGCATTTACAAATATGTACGTATTGACTGTAACTCGACTAAAGATGATTAAAAGGCGCTGTCGCTGATAACAAATTGAATTGAATTTTTAAACGAGTTTAGTTTATTAGTGCAGCTGCTTGTCAATGTCTCAATTTTCTGAAGAGAAAACTGCTATTTTATTCATCTGATTTCTTAGGGTATATGTATGTATGTAGGTATATATTTTCGTGCCCTCTACTATTGCACATTTTATGTTCATTATTATTATTATTAAATAGTAATGCCAATGATTAAAACATGGAGGATTTATAGCCCTTTAAATTCTGTACCATTCATATTAATTACATACTTATGATTCGTTTTAGTTGCCGTCGCGCCTGTTTCAGATATAAGATGAGAATTATTCTTTAGATTTAATCTACCGAGCTCTAAAGAGTTGAAAATCTCTTTCCTCTTGGATATATTTGCATGTTCAGCTGTATTTCCGTTATTTTTATAACTGCGATCGCTGTGATTCGAATGGTAGACGAAGGATCGGCTATATATTGCCTCTTGCCAGTGTTGAACACTTTTTTGTCTTTGTCCTTCAGCATGGATTATATGCTAGAACGAAACGTGAAAAATTATAGTATAGTTTAGATATTGATGATCAAATTTTAAATGGGTGATACCATAATTTTTTTACAAAAGCAAGAGTGTTTGTATGTATATATCTTACCGAAATGCCCGTTCCATCAGTAAATGCTGCACTGTTCCTTATAATGTCATCGGAATGATGATGGTAATAATATTGTGGCTTCTGCGTTTGGGAATATTTACGACTGCTGCTGCTGCTTATAACATCTCCAGATGGATGTCCAATGTTGCTATTTGTGGCACTACCATAGCTATTGCCGAACACATCCCCAAAGTTAAATGTGCTAAACTCACTGGGGAATATGTAGAACGTAGCCAGCAGGACCGAGTACACAAACACATGGAACATAATGCACGTCCAAATGAGATTTATCTGGGAAATACAAGCGAGGAAAATGTAAATCACTAAGAACACGATGCTCAAGTTGCTTTAGCTCTGTAGAATTCACCTTTTTCCTCCGGCCATATTTGGTGAAACTTGCGAAGGGCACCAAAGACACAGTCAGGAAAGCACCGCAGGCCACACCAGCAAGCAAACCAGCAAAATTGAGCTGATATGGCAAAGTGCCGATGCCAAAGAGGACGGCACACAATACCACCAACTTGAATAATGCTAAATGGGGCTTATGTAAATGCTTCCAATGCATTAATATAAGCAATGCAACCAATGAAGATATCACTCCACAAAGCGAAGCTGAAGGGCCGACCTGCAAAAATCATGCCATCGCAAATAATTTCAAACTTAATCATTTGTATGCCAGATTTCACAGATCATACCTCAGGTCTATGCGGTACTAAAACAGCGCTCGTCAGATTACCAGCTAAGCCCGATCCAATATAGACAACAGCTGTGCGTATGGGTCCAATCAATCGCTCCAAGTCAGCAAGAAACAAATGCTGGAAGATAAGTGTTATTGCCAAGTGTAGGACACCAGCATGCATGCAGAGTGATGTTAACAGTCTATAAAACTGATCTGGAATTTCCACGGAGAAGAATGGAAACATGCCGCATACATTGTTCAGGCACGATATCTGTAAAATCGAACAATTTTAGTTATGTTCCAGTTCTGTTTCTTTACAAATTTGACATACTTGTGAGCAAAGCGACGCTTCCTCGTGGAAATAGCCATTTACAAAGTCGCAGTACTCCCTAGTGGTTATGCGACATTCACCATATACTCCTGTACAGCACGGATGGCCGATTACTTCACAGACCATATGTTCGGCAGTGTGATCCTTATAGCGATAGCGCTGTGAAAACGAATTGGTTTTACGGCAAATCGGCCACTTAGTTATATCGTCTGGCCATTCATAAGGCGCTATAGAAGCCGGGGCGTCGCAAAACTTTGGATCTAGACCACATACTGAGCCAGAAATACGACCACCTGGCCCTGATTCGCCTGGTGACCATTTCTTCCACGTAGATATGGATTTCTGCAAATTACAAAAAACAATAATAAAGTGAAGTTGTATTCCTTCTTCAATTATTCTTGTTCTTGAATGGAAATTAATTTAATTTTTATATTCCTCATATCTATTAAATTGTTAAGACAATTTAAGGATGTACTTTAACCAATTTTTGTTATAATTGTTAATCTTGTAGTAAATTTTACTTACCGTCGGATATAGACCACGTATAGAACAATCGGCTTGCGAGCTTTGCACACACCCCGAATCATCGTTTCGTATGCAACATGCCGTTTCACGCTCCTGCCTCCTGGTCTTGGTAACCACATCAATAATTTTCATATCCCTTCGCATGCATGCCGCAAACTTGGCGCCCATATGCACCAGATCATTATTTCGTGGTCCGATCCAAAAGTTTCGCTGCTCCACATGCTGTACTGTTTGTAGACTGAGACTGGTGACTAGAACCTGTCCAGTCTTTTGCTCGGTTCCGAACCCTATCGGTGCAATGCCATAACAGACGATCGACAGAAATAAGACCACAGTTTGGACCGTATTTATCCAGTATGTGAAGAAAGGTCGGTGATCCGAGCGATCGTCCAGATCATTCACACTGAAATACTTGATACGACGTGCCGGTGGTCTTCTGGAATTCTCCAGGACACCATCAAGCAATTGGGCTGCTATCCGAGTGCCACGACCCGAACTCGCTACACCACGCACCACTGGCTGTCCCTGACCAGAGCTGCTGCCCTGATGCAGATTTGCCTGCTGGGCGACGTTCATACGTGGGTTTTGATCAGCAATCAAAATATCACTATTGATGCCATTTAGCGCCGAAGTCCGCCAGCCATGATGTCGTTCTCCTATGTAGACACCAACACCTACAGAGCTGCCAGCAGCTGCATTTTGTTTATTCGGCTGCCGCAAGAGATCCCCGTTCTCTTCGTTTACATTGTTCGTGGCCGTAGATGTTGTTGGCTCGCATGGATTATCGAAGAACACTTCTTCGGCGACAAGCGCTGCCAGTCCATCGGCAATGGCCCCATCCTCCAGTTCCTGTTCGCCATGCTGGGAAGCTCGTCTCACATGCATCGGCGCAAAGCTGCGCGACCATTGACGCTGCCTTCGATTGCCATAGGCAGATGGTCGCTTATTGAATATATTTATTAAATAACTAATGCTAGTCATCATCATGTGCGCCACAGACGCCTTGCGCTCCACATAATCACCCGTGTGGAAATCATTGTTATTGGAATACAGTTTTCGTCTTCGGCCGTGCAGCCCCATGTCCACATTTTGTGCGTCGTGAGCAGGCAAAATATCTGGACGATCCGGTGCATAATAATTCTGATGGAATTGTGGCATATTGGCATTCAGCTCCAAATTGGGACGCACATCCCGACTCATGGGCACATTATAATCAATTTCCGAGTCCAGCGCCCCAAAGCGTCGTATGGCAAAACGACGATGTCTTCCAGTCCATATCGCAAAATCTTCAGCCTCAGTGCTCGCTTCCACGCCGAAGAAACGTGAAACCTCTTTCCTCAAATAAAAGCTGATCCGCTTTTTGCATGAGTACCGATGCGATTGTTGTTGTTGCGGCAACACCTGAACCGATTGTTGTTGCGGCTGCACATGCATGTGATGCAGCTGTTGCGGCTGCTGTTGTTGCTGTTGCTGCTGCTGCTGCTGCTGCTGCTGCTGTTGTTGTTGATGCTGCTGCTGCTGAAGACGCGGTGAGTTGGCTGTTGACATCATCGAGGGGCCACCATTTGTAGACTGTGGTGTAAACAATTGTTGCTGATGCTGCTGTTGTTGCTGTTGCTGTTGCTGATGCTGTTGTTGCTGATTTTGATTTTGTTGACTTTGATTCTGACAATGAAATTGCATGTTGTTGCTGTCTACTAATTTTGCCTGTTGGTGTTGCTGCTGCTGTTGTTGCTGTTGCTGTTGTTGCATTTGTTGTGTGGGTGACAGCTGCAGGACATTCGATTCAACTGTGGAGGGCGATAGGGTGACAATGTTCGAGTGGTCGTGACCATTGCTGGCAGCTGCTGCGCAATAAGTTTGCTTGGAGATAGACGTCTCGCTGCCGATCGGCTGTTGGGAGATGGGCACGGGACTGATGGGACCCGTGGTTTGTGTGGTCTGATGCACACCAGTGGTGCGACGGGCAGTGTTGCAATGCAGACAAGTGCCAGCTGAGGCACCCGGTGTAATTACCGAATCGGCATCTTCGGGCGTGGTCAGGCGCGCATTATTTGGACACACCACTGACTTCTCATATTGCTCCCCAACGAGTGGTAAACTGTGCAATCCCATGCCGTTTTGACCGACCGTCGGCCGATTTGCCTTGCATAGGCCCGTTGTCATAACGGGCGAGCATGTGGAGGCTGCCGAAAAGGTCACCGACATCCCCGACGATGATAGGCCAGGCGAGGGGCAGGATGCGTTTATTAGATTGAACGTTTGTGCGCTCTTATTGAAGCTGTTTTGAGCATCGACTGCGTCATTGTGACAGCATTTGCTGGAACGATAGCCATAAGGCATGGTGTTCACATACTGAGCTGTCGCCGAGCCCCCATTGGAGACACTGGAGGCTACTGCTGGAAGGCTACTGCCCAGATCCGTGTACAGATCACTTGCTGGCGGTGGAGTGGGCACATAACGTTTCACCGGTGTATGCACTGTAGAGGCCAGATAGCCATACGTATCACACTGCACCAGGGGCAAGGGTGCATTTGGAGGTAAGAAGAGACGCGTTGACGACGAAGTTGAGGGCGACGGTGAGGTTGTGCTAATGTTCTCCAACATTTTTACCTTCTTTGTTTGTTGCGGCTCGCGATAGCGATCTAAACGGTATCGAGAGTTTGGCGACAACGCTCGTTGGGAGCACCCACTCATCGAATATTTACCGACCATCGCATTCTTGTTGGCCGTGGAAGCTGAGTTGTCGGGCTTGACCCCACCCGAGGATTGGGTGCTACCCGAATTTGTGCATAGCGATGATGTGGAGTTCGATGATGAGAGGGGATAGGGTTGTGAGTGCTGATAATGGTTGAGCTGTTGCTGCATTTGCATTTGGTTGCTGCCATTACCATTGGCATTTATAGACTGGGTTTGTCCAATGTCGGCGGCAAAGCGATCGCTATTTGGTGCAGGTGACGGTGGTGGCAGACAACAGGTGACCGAATCATCAAATTTCTCCAATGGCGGCACGGTCAGTTTACCAGCCTGCTGTAAAAATATCTCATTGGGATGCGGACTAAAGCGTCCACCGGCAGTGGAGCAGAGAATCGTGTCATCGCAATTTGATTTGTGACTGAACTGAAGCTGGGGCTGATAGTTTAGGGATTTGCGACGACTGGTGCCATTGTGATTGCCAGTATTTACCATACCACTGCCATTGTTTAGGTTGCCGTTGCGTCGTTGATTGCTAGTACCGCCGACCTGCAAATCTCCACCGACGGAATGCATTTTTTCGGTGCTATTTTTGTAGATATCTGCAAGAGATGCGTGTCCAAAAAACATTTTTCTTTATTAATAAACTAATAATACAAATTTGAGCATTTTTTTCTTAAACCAACCCAACAGTTAATTAGCTGAGACACAAACCATTAAAACTGATCAGAAATTTTCATCTAAGTGTGCTGGCATTTAAATTTCATGTGTGTATAACAGCTGTTAAGGATAAACACGGGAGTGTTTTTTTTTGCTAATAGCGCTCGTCCCACTGGTCCACTAAAATAGAAAGCGTGTGGAACAACCCCAAAGTTCGTATACATGTAAATGTGTATATATATATATACAAGTATATACATACATATATAAAAACTTAAAACGCCTTAATAAATGTTTAAAACAAGCCAAATTCGATGGTAAAAACTTTGATTTCCGCGTCTTATAAAAAGGTGTCGAGGCCAAGTTTAATGACTTTCAACTTTTGTAGGCACTAAGATATACAGACCGACATAACTGTATACACTTTTTAACACAAATCATTGAGCACAGGACACAGAGATATTTTAAAGCGGAAATAGATTAGGAGTTGGTATATAAAACTATAGAATAAAATATCTTAAACGCACAAACGTTTATTCACTAAACTTTAAAATATTATGTACTTACATTAAAAGTTTCTCAACGATTTTGGCATTGCCTACGAATAATACATACATACTTTATATCGATTTTTCGCACAAACAAACACACACAAAATCTATTTTGGCGCTACTCCTTTTAACCATTTTAATCAAATATTCGTATCATTTTGAGCTTTTTTCTTATACATTATAGCCATGCTCTTTCACACTTTTATTTAATATAATTTTTGGTAAACTTTTCCCCTATTTGTTTTTACTTTTGAAGTTTGAATACGTTTTTCCAGGACAACGATTAGACCTTTTTACCAATGTATTGTGCCATTCGCACAAATGTGGGACATTCGCATTCGCTAAAGAGCGCGTCCAGGGCTACACAACTTTCGCGCTTGCGCAAATTCAAATATTGAAAATCAAATAAAAATCGACGATAGTATCGACTGCACCTTATCGATATTTGTTTTGCTAATCGGTGCAGCTACATAAGTTTCATCTAGTTTCTCTCTCGCTTTATTTGAAATTGTTCAAAAGACCACAAAAAAAAACATATCACTTTAATCAAAGGTCACAAGGATTGAGCACAACTTAGTGCAGACTTCACCTGGAAATCTTTTCAGAACACTGTACTTAAGTTGAAATCATGAGCAACATTTATATTCAAGAGCCACAGACGACCGGCAAAGTACTGCTGAAGACAACAGTTGGCGACATTGATATCGAATTATGGGCCAGGGAGTGCCCCAAGACATGTCGGAACTTTGTGCAGCTATGTCTAGAAAAATACTATAACAATACAGTCTTCCACCGAGTGGTCAAGGGATTTATAGTGCAAGGTGGTGATCCGAATGGCGATGGTACGGGCGGTGAATCCATCTACGGCCAGCCTTTTAAAGATGAATTCCACTCCCGACTGCGCTACACCAGGCGCGGGCTGGTGGGAATGGCAAACAGCAAAACCGATGACAATGCATCCCAATTCTTCTTCACATTTGCGGCCACGCCGGAACTGCAAAATAAAAATACACTTTTTGGCAAGGTTACCGGTGATACAATTTACAATATGCTGAAGCTGGAGGAAGGCTTAGTGGATCACCAGGAGCGGCCAATGCACACACATCGCATAATTAGTACGCAAGTGCTAAGCAATCCCTTTGATGACATTGTGCCGCGAGAGCTGGCTAAACCTATGAAGAAAACTAAAAAGAAAGAAAAAAAGGGTGTCAAGTAGGTTTAAATTAGGGATTTCCCAACTAAAAAGTTTCATTCTGAATTACACACATTTTAGAAACTTCGGACTGTTATCCTTTGGTGAAGAAGCGGAAGGCGATGAGCAGGAAACAACTCAATTTGTTAAACAAAATGCTGGCAAAGCGAAATCCCTGCATGATGCAGGTGATGATCCAAATCTAAGCAAAGAACCTATCAGTGTACCTACTAGAGAAAAAGTTGAGGGTGAAGAGAATTTGTCAGAGGACTGTAGTGACGATGAGGCTCCGGCTACTATCTCCAAAACAGCTTCGAGTGCCTCGGAACTGATAAAAATGAAACTTGCTGCAGGTTCAAGTCGGTCGGGGGGTCGAGAAAAACGTTTAGCCCCACCACCAGCAGAATCTAAAGATTTGGATGAGGATTTGGAGGAATTAGATGACGTTTTAATGACACGGGAAAAGGAGAAATCACTAAAAATCTCACAGGAAAAGTAAGTATGAAGGTGTTAAAAAAAACGCGAATTTACTTTTCAATGTACTTACAACTTTCGTGCATTCTATGAATGAAGAATGAGATAGGGCTATCTGAGCTCTAAATTTAAATGGAGGATAGTAAGGGATAGCACTATACTCTATGTCACGTATTTAAACATGTGAAACGTATATTTTTAATGTTAATGCTTTTATTTATCTGTGTATACATTTTTGTTACAGGTCCAAAATCCGTGAAGAAATCGCCTCTCTAAAGAAGCAATATCAAATGGATAAAGCAACGAAAGAAAAGCTACTCTCAAATGATAAAGAGGATGATAAAAAATCAAACAAAAATCCCATAAAAGAAACCGGCGATAATCATTATATCGATGAGTTTCTAGAATCCAAAGAAAAATATTCAGCGAAAACAAAACAGCTCAAAGGACAAGCTAGGTAGGTGTTTACGAATGATAAATAATTATATGAACCTTTAGATAAACAAATACTTTTAAATAGGGAGGAGTTTACGCTGCAATTACTGTCCAAGTTCCGATCCAAGTTGGACACACTTAAGCAAACGCCCAGCACTCCAACTAATCAGGCGGAAGAGGAGCAACCAGAGGATGCTGTAGTGGAAAAAGAAATTCGCGGCGATGAATGGCTGGTGCACACCTTAAATTTCAATACTGCTGTGCCAGTATTAGCGAAGGATGCGTCTACCAAAGGTGATAACTGGTATGGTGATGATGTTTACGATCCGCGCAATCCGTTAAATAAACGAAAAAGAGCAGGGAATACGAACACTTCAAATAAATTCAAACGTAGTACTTGATTTTATTGTCATGACTATAAAAAATAAAAGCTATTATGTCTCTAATAACATGCAATGTGTAGTTTGTGTCAAACCATACCTTTATTATGTTACAATGCTAAAGATAAACTAATCTTAAAGTTAGTTTAAAATTCATAACGAATTTTGTAACCTTTTTGCTATAAATGATTGTAGGTTGGATCGCGCCAAAACGGCATATGTACATACATACATACATACATATGTATGCTTAATCACATACATATACACCTAAATATTTATGTACATATACACATACAGAGAGTATAAACACAACCTTTAAACATTGCCGACCAAGAAATCAAGAGTGAATGTCAACAGCTCTGCAGCATGCTGAGGTTTGATGAATAATATTTACGTAGCTACATGCCTTCATGTTTATACAGATTGTATATATGTACAAACAATATGTTCATCCATATGTACTCATGAATATTCACAAAATGTAGTGAAGTTCAATTTTTTAGAAATTGTACAATACAATGTCATACTATAGAACGGCAAAATCAAATAGCCTATTTTATTTATGTTCAATGCTAATAAGTTTGTGTTTAAAATGAATTAGTACCTCATGTACTGCTGACCACAATTGTACTGCAACTACTCCCTAAATACATGCATATGTATGTATGTATGTATGTATGTCTGTCTGTCCATATATTACATTGTATCTACTGGCAGACATGTGTACATACATGGGTAGATAACAAGCTAAATGCGCATATGAAGAAGAATTTGTCTGGCCGACTGACTACTGGCTACACAGCAAGAAATGTATATCGGTCCAAAGCAGTCAATGGGAGCGGTCACTGGATAGTTAATGCAATTGAATGGAGTAGTGGAGTACGAACATAGCACGCATTCAATTGAAATTTAAAGAAACAAAAAGGGGGTTACAATAACTAGTAATTAATCAATTTAATTACATTTGGGCAACGGCTGCTCGACTATTCGGCCAGTTGTCTAATTGGCACCATTACCACTAATGGAGCAGGGTAATAAATACTCGGTAGAGCCGACCACAATACCAAACTACCGAACCAAACTACTACTACTTGTATGCTTTGTTTTCTAGAGTTTTATCTACGATAATCCCCAACCACTGTAGCCGCCCGCGCAGCTTGCGATCGCGCTTCTCTTGCTCTTGTCTGTATCTGTAATAGTATCTGTATCTGTGGCACTCACGACGCACCACAAAAACTTACGAGCGTGATTCTTATTTACTAAGCGCGCGCCGGCAGGTCGTCAGTTGCAAGGCAGCCTTCCAACGCACCAACACAAATCGGCGGAGACGAAGACGACAGCGGTCGCCCACACATATAACAAATAAATAATAAAACCCTTGATGAATTCTTAACTGAGCATCGGCATGGCTGCATTGACTGGACAAGCCTATGGCATTGGTATATATATTATATTCGTTGTAATTCTGGGCAACAGTATTGGGTCCACACTGGCAGATGGTAAGTGAACAAGTAGTAGTGTTAAATTAAGCTATAACTTATTATTTCATATTGATCGGCTTAATTGTTTTGTAATTGAAATCCTTAAGAATTTATGAGTACTCCAGTTCTTTTTATCCTTAAGGATTTTTTATTTTAAGAACTACGATTATTCAGCACAATCTGCGAATATTTCGCTATTGTTGCTATCTCAAATAATTGAGCGCAATTTTTGAACTGTTAATTGCTCAAATATTTCCTTAAGAGAAGCAAACATTTAATGACATGTTTGCAAGTTTGTATTCATATCTGAAAATTTCGAAGCAAAAATGTGTATAAAAGGCCTTGCACGCATTTTCCTAAATAAAGATAAGACTGCAAAGCTATCAACAGGTTGAACATACATATTTATCTTGCAGAAGATAAGACAATCTGATAGCTATAATGTAGGATGACTACAGCACTATCTTAGGAGAATCATTCGCCAAAATCTACATTAAGTTGAAATTGAGATAACAAATCCCGAATAGATATCCCCATTTAACATTCTTGCATGTGTTCCCAAGAAAATATCTCCGACTATATAAGAAAATGTTGCATCAGCGGCATTAGACACGCGGTCAAGTCAACCACCACATGCGAGAATTCCGAAGAGGTGTCCATCACTCCGACTTTGTGGCTGGGCCTGTGCCATTCTGCCTTCGGTGTCTGTTGTTCTCGGGAGATTGACAAACAAAATTGTGAGTTGGGCCGCTTGGCCGCCTTGGAGGGCGCACGTTGTGATAAGATATCTAATTCGACCTCGTATGCGGACTGCTGTCGGGCTTGTCAGGTTGGACTGGCAGTCAAGGCCAGCAAGCAAAGCTGTAAAGACTCGCTCTTCTCATATTTCTCGGCCATCAAGTCCTACCAATTATGTTGTAACGATAAAAGTTTCGACGGCTCCGAAGAGATCGATTATGGTAAGTCGAAGGGAGAACTCAGCATTGTGGCTGATGATGATGATGGTGACGATTTTGTCGATCAAATAAAACACGACGAGGAAGACGAGGAAGAAGGCACTATAGTTGAAGATGGTAAGTTGCTTTTCCCAATTTCCTATTTTTCAATTTTCGCATCAGGTTTAAGCTTAAATACTTATAGGCGATGTTTGTCGTCAGATACCAAACCTTTGCGCCCACATATGTGTGAATACGGATGAATCCTATCGCTGTGAGTGCCGCCCTGGCTACGCATTGGATGAAAATTTGGTAACGTGCTCGCACACCGGAGAAGGCGAAATAGATAAAGTAGGCACAGGTGTTGAAGACAATGTTGCTTCCAACGAGGATGACGAGGAGGATGAAAGCGTTGCTGTTGGCGCTGACAAAGGAGATATAGACGATAAAGACATTTGTCCCAAAGGCTACAAAATGGACGCATTGAGAAAGAAATGTGTCGATATTGATGAGTGCAGTGACAATCTCCACGAATGCAAGGTCACACAGTATTGTCATAACAGCAATGGTGGGTATCATTGCCTCAACATAAAGGCCAAGAGCTGCGAGAAAGGCTATCGCTATGAGCCCACGACTGATAGATGCGACGGTTAGTCCCAGTTTTGTCCATCTATATAGCATTCATTTAGTCAGCTTTTATTTATTTTCCATAAGATTATAACGAATGCGATGATAAGCCGTGCAAGGGCGACGATGAGTGCCTGAACTATCCTGGCGGCTTTGAATGCAAGAAACCCACGGAGAAGCAGTGCGACGAAGGATTTGAGATAAAAGGCGAAAGCTGTGTCGACATTAATGAATGCCTCAAAAAAGATGTTTGCGGAGAGAAGGAAGTGTGCACTAATTCTTTGGGGTCTTTCAAATGCGAATGCGAAGTCGGTTATAACAGGGACGCGACATCTAATAAATGTGTCGGTATGTCAAAAACATCTCTCTGCGCACACATGATCTGATCTTCACATAATTTATATTCCATTAAGACATCAATGAATGCTCCATAAACAATCACAGTTGTCTGTCAACCCAAAGATGCGACAACACTCAAGGCTCATATGTTTGTACGCGTCTTCAGAGCTGCGGAACAGGCTATACGTTGAGTTTTGAAACGGGAAATTGCATGGGTAAGACCCACAAATACTTTGTTTTGAAATGATATTGTTAATAATATTTTTGTGGACCCTCAAGATGACGATGAATGTGCGCTTAACACCCACAATTGTCCCTCGGACTATGAGTGTTATAACACAAAGGGCTCATTTCGTTGCTATAAAAAGACAACAACATCAACAACGACCACTACAACGACAACTACAACAACAACGCCACCACCAACATCTGAAAGTTCCCATCACTACAGCTATGCATCCCGTCAGGGCATCAATCGCTTAGACTACTCTCCCACCTATATTAATGGGGATCCCAACGCCCACTCACGACTGCCCTGCACCACTGGCTTCTACAGGAATAATCTGGGGGCATGCGTGGGTAAGTATGGAGCAACCAGCCTGTGAGAATTTGAAGAGTATTGGGGGTATTTATTTTAGATATAAACGAATGCATTGTCAATAGACCGTGTGGCTCCCACCAGCGCTGCATTAACACAAATGGCTCGTACCGCTGTGAGAATCTGCTGCAATGCCAAGCTGGTTACAAGTCGACGCCGGAGGGTACCTCCTGTATTGGTACGTAGTACAGCCAATATCAGCTCTCAGCTAGATCTACTAAGAAACCTCACTTGAAGCATTAATCTGTGATTAGAGATAGCATTATTTTCGATTTCCCGATTTCCATTTTTACTGCGAATAAATAAGCTACCTACCCATATATGATTAAGACACCTATTATTATCTAAAAATGTTCTTAAGATATATGCAGATGATGAGGTTAATAATTTGATCTTCATCTTTTTAAACTAGACATTGATGAATGCGAGACTGGGGAGCATAACTGCGGCGAGAATCAGATATGTCGCAATCGGAATGGTGGCTACGTCTGCGCCTGCCCCACCGGACATCAGTTGACACATTTGGCAAATGGTGTCAACCGGTGCCTTGATATAAACGAGTGCGCCCAGGATCGAAATAAGCCAGCAGTGTGTCCTTCAAACGCGAACTGCTTCAATACAATAGGATCGTACTACTGCGAGTGCAAATCAGGTTTCCAGAAGAAGGGCAGCGGATCCAGCGACTCATTGAGTCAGGCGGCACATGCGCAGTGCTACGATGTAGACGAGTGTCAGGTTATATCGGGACTTTGTCAACAAAAGTGTGTGAACTTTTGGGGCGGGTATCGGTGCACCTGTAATCCTGGGTATGAGCTCGGCCATGACAATCGCACCTGCAATGACATTGATGAGTGCGAAGTCCATAAGGATTACAAGCTGTGCCAGGGCTACTGTTCGAACACTCCCGGCTCCTATGAATGCACCTGTCCGCGCGGCTATACCCTCGCTGCCGATAGGAACACCTGTCGAGATATTAATGAGTGCGAGACGAACAATGTCTGCACCGGTCGCTCCGATATTTGCACAAATATTCGTGGTAGCTATAAGTGTTATACGATCAACTGTCCCTATGGGTACATCAACGATGCCGATCAAAAGAAGTAAGTAGCGATCAATGCTAATCCTTTATTGGTTCTTATTCCTCATGTTCTATATATAGTCGTTGCCGACAAAAGAATATAGTTTGCATGGGAGAAGAATGCTATACGAAGCCCTCAGCATACACCTACAATTTCATCACATTTGTGTCCAAGTTGATGATCCCACCCGATGGTCGCACAATCTTTACTTTACGTGGACCTATGTGGTATGATGACATTGATTTCGACCTTAACATTGTCAGAGTTCAGGCAGCGGCCAACATAGAGCGTGCGTCCGAGTCCCACTTTGAGTAAGTTAATCCAAAATTTGAATAATGAAAACCCATTCACAATGTGCACAATCCTCCCATATTCATAAAGCACTCATAAGGCCAACAATCAAATGAACTTGTTACTTAAACGGACACTAGAAGGACCGCAGGATGTGGAACTTGAAGTCAGTATGACTGTATTTTCCAATGGTATGCCCCGTGGTAAGAGTGTTGCGAAATTGTTTCTCTATGTGTCCCAATATGGTTTTTAATGGGGTCCAACAGTCCTCCCCAAAAAAAAAAATTCAAAAGCCCAGGGGTCTTGAATAATCTTGCAATTTTTTTGTCATTCACATAAGAATAATAATTATTATTGTTTTAAATTCCAATAAAAAACTCTTAATATTATGTTAATTTTAATGTTATGCAATAAAAGCCACAACTTGAAAAATTCCAAATAAAACCAATATTACTAAACGGGTAGAACGTTAATGTGATGCCATCCCGGTCTAAATACACTGTACCCCCAAAAATTTCCCCGCTATATACGTTACACTAAAATAAGCTTGATTGGACCGATTGTTCCTGCAGCAGCTATATGATATAATATACCGTTGAAATGGCCGAAAAGTTACTTAATTTATTCGTCTCGTCATGTTGATCATATATGTGTCTATGAAATGGGGTCTGACACACCACCTTTAACCCTGCAGGATGTACACATTCATGAACTATAAAACCTCTCTGCGGTAGGTGCTTATGCTTACGTGGAGTATTTTTGTTGTTATTGTCATTTCGCCAGATGGTATTCGTAGCCACCCTGTACTATATTGGATTAATTGAAATTGCGAAATATTTAAAATATTTTATTTACGTAATTTTATTATATTGTTAGTTCGTCAATTGTATAATATATAATGGATAACGACTACACAACGTTAAAATTCGTAAGATTATTGTACATTATGTGGAAATATTTGGTTCAGGAAAACACCATTCTCTTCACAGCCGATTAAATACTATATTTTGAAACTAATTGAGCGCTCAACTAAATAAATTTATGCTCACCAAACATACACAAGCTATGGACCACAGTAGCACCAATGCCAGCCAGATATTGGATTTGAAGGGACTTTCAAATTGGTTTTTCAGGCCACTTCCAAGCAGTTCAATGCACGTGCGCCTGGAGAAATAAACCAGACACACGGGTATGACGTACTGGATGCCAGCGCCGGCATAGCTGCCAGTGAATGCCACTAGGTTAGCCAGACTTTCTGTGAAATATGTAATACAGAATGGTGGCACGATTGTACACAGGGGGAAGAGTATCCGACGTACAAAGAAATTGTACGAATCATAGTGGATAGTGTCAAGAAACAAGGCCTGCAAATTATTTCGCAGTGTTATTGCAACTATCGGGAAACTCGTGGATAGTGTGAATACTGGGAAAAGCGCCAGAAAATAGTCAATGCCGTAAAGCAACACTGAAAAAAAATTCGAGTAATCCACTTTCGATGGTAAAAAATTGAGTGTATAGAGATCCTCTATATGCTCAAATGCAAATATTCCAGTCATGGCTAAGACAATATAGAACGTGCATATGACGATGTAGTCGTATGAAAGTATTTTCACAGCTTTTAATTTGTGTTTAAGCGGAGCCAATAGACTGGGCAGGGAGTGATGGCACATGAAAGAGTAAACACAAGCGCCAAACAGTGATGGAATCCCATAAACATTCACGCTGACCGGATGTCCTTTGGGGCCATTAGTAATCAGTAACTTTAAGGCCAAGCAAATCATGAGCGTAAATGCTGAAAAAATAAAAATAAATTAATTAATCGATATTTACTTTATAAGATCATTGCACGAAAAATTTATAATTAGGTAAAATAACTTGTCGTGCTGATATAAATTTGTAGACTTCCTAGAATTATATTTACTTACCCAACCAACGGAAAGCAGCTGTGGCCATTTGTAAATATTTCGTTTTCTGTACGCTAAATGCAGTGAACGGACCAAAAATCATAACAAATCCAATCAAGAACACCCTATACATGCTTAGGCGTGAAATAGTATGATCCTCCCAGCAGGCATCAATAGCATTATGCTTGAAATCGGCCGGCCAATATAACATATTCGATTGTGAGACATTCGTATTGTTTGTATGGTCACTAAAATGAGAAGAAAGCAAATGTGTTTGATTCAAACTTATATTGAAATATATATAGTATATATATATTGAAATATATATAAGATTTTACAGCCTTTTAATATGCACAATAATATTTGGCAGCGAGATTATGTGATAAGGTAGATAAGTAGGAAAAAGAAGGAAAGGAAAATTGTTTAAATATGAAGTTAGTTTGAGAATTTGTAATCTTATTTTTGTAATTATGGTCTTCTGAATTAAGAGAGGCTTTGCTATATGGTCAATCAAATTTTTGGTTTTTGGTATTCTACTGGTATTCGTATACAAGATTTCTTAGCATGCCAACTTTCAAGGGTTTTGTGCTTATATTTCCACAGTTTGGTTGATCACGTCTCTGAAAACGCTTAAGACATAGAGATTAGATGCCGCGAATGCACGTCTGTACTCCAAGAAGTTTAGACAGAAAGTAGCAACACAAATATAAACAAAAATTGATAAGCCTACCATACTACGTCCCGCAGACTTCGGGCTACCGCAGCCGAGTAGATGCTCAGATCACCATATAAGTAGATTATAAAGCACATATAGAAGACGATGCGTCCAAAATCGTTGAAAAACAAAGAAGCCATTTCACCCAATTCAAATTTATGGTTAAGCTGATAATAATGGAATTCCGCATTCTGTATGGTCAAGGGCACACGTTCCAGCTCATCACCTCCCCCGACAATCTGATCCTGCAATGAAGCAGCTGGCAACAGAGGAGCATCGACTTCATCATCGTTTACATCGTCCTACATTAAAAAATATTCACAGAATTAGAACAGTTTGTGCAATGTTGTGAAGGCTGTAGGCTTATGGGTTTCTTACGTTGCGACTTATACGTAGGGCTTGTAGATTTTGCCAGTTCCTTACAGCATTCGCGCAGGCCATGGACTCAATCACGTAAGTGACTGTAATGTAACTTATGACAGCTAGTAAAATAATAATTAATAGACTAAGTAGCCATCCTGCTCGAGCAAAAACTCCTGGCAGAGTTAACGCTCCGGTACCGACAATGAGATTGAATATAAAAACAAACCCCACCTGTAAGCAAAAGACAAAGCACGGTGAGTAATTTCGTTATATGTAGATATTCTAAGGAATTCCAATCTTAAGACGAATGTGAATGCACTCAGTTTAGTAATTGCATTTTTGTCCTATAAATATGTACGTATGTACATACATACATGCATATACATACTATATATGATATTGTACTATCTATGAGCTGTATAACATACATAAATACATTCATGTACATACATACATATGTATCCATGGAGGTTTGCAGTACAATGTACATTAACGTTACAACGTTTATTGCGTAGGTAAAATAAATATAAAACCATATATTGTACACTTTTCCTAAAAATACTAATTGTTCAGAATAGTAAGTTTAACTCACCCAGTTCGAGTAGGAAGCCACAGGTGCATCCACAAAATCAACTTCCCCTTGCCTAGGCATCCTCTTCCTATTTATTAATTGTTGAGTTGAGATGACAGTGCTGCCAAGCTGTGCTATCGAAGTAATCGGTACAAGAAATCGATTACACTAAAGAAAAAGCAGCACTGGCATTTGTGGCGCAATCGTTAATTCTCCACATCATATGCTAATGAAGCAGACAATGTTTGAAAATTTTCCGTTTCATTTCCCAAAAAATCATTGCTAAATTAAATGCGCTTTTTCTTGTGAATTTAGTAGTATGTAGTCATTTTATTATTAGCGTTAATTCTCGATTTCATATACATGCGTAATTTATTCATATACATATTTCCCTATAATGCATATGTATGATAAGGGGTTATTTTCCTTTTCGTTTTTATCAAATTCTAAGCATTATATTTTTACTTATTTAATGTGTTCATGTTCATAGTGTTAAGTGTGCATAGTCTGACCAATACTTTAAACGTATTCTTACATTGATTTAAATATGCGTAATTTAAATATTTTTAATGTTAATACGACATCCTAAAAAGCACTGTAAAAGTATAGTTATGAATACATTTATTGTTGATGGATTTAATGTTACATAATACAAATGCAGAAGCCTTATCTAATCAGTACTATTTATGTTTAATTTTAACATTGTGTATTGCCTTTTTTTGTTCTCCAAATATTGTAAATATTTTTTCGTTCATTTTGTTTAACTGTAATAAGTAATTTTACATTTTTCATTGTTTATTTTCTTCTTTTTTTCTATGAGCAGACGAGCATGTCTTGCAGTTGATGTCTCAGTGTTAAAAGGTCGTCCTAATTTTGAGCTGAAGCCAGCGGCTATCTCAAATTGATTATGGCATTTAAGTATTTTATTAAGAGTAAGCCCCCCCCCCCCCCCACTGTGACATAGACCCCTGTTTTTACAAAAGCTGCTCGAGTTTTATTTAAAAGATTTCTGGGTATTTTTAGGAGCGATTTTACTTTTGAAATGGCATGTCCAATTCATTTCAAGGAAGCTTATACTAATATTCAAACATTTCCAAGCACCTTTGGACGTCCCACAATGTTTTGTTCTAGCAATGTGAAGTTCTCCCTTGGCCGTTGCGTTATTTTCGACATGGTTTCTTTTTCTTCTCTATAAATAGATGCCTAAATTACTGAGTATAAATGACAATTATAAACATCGTTAAATGATACTAGTTTTGTTTTTTTGTTTTTTACATCTGGGTCGTTTCCTAGATATATCGCTTTAAATTGCGATCATAAGTTATTTCTCATCTACCATCTATCTAATGAATGTGCTCAATTGAATTTTAGTTTGTCTTAAGTTTGGAAAAGTGTTAACTTCGGAGCAATGAAACTGTAGCGGACAGAGGCCTGTAACTAAGCAAAGGATACACCAAGAGCTGTGCAAATTATAATTTATAACGATATTCCTGCAACCGATTATTTGACTTCCATCTCAATAAAATACAAAACAGAATAATAAAAACAAACAGTTGCAAGAAAATCCTTTATAAATTGTTTCTTTGTACAAAATGTTTAAATTGTAAGCCTTGTGTAAACTCCTAAAAATATTGTAATATGTAACTTTGATGTTTTCTGCATTATTGTCGCCCAAAAAAAAAGAATTAGTTAGTTCAACTAACCTTTGAGCATATTGAACGATTGCCTTTAAATCATTTTACCTCATAAGTTTGTTTGGATATAAATAAAAAAAAAAAAACTGTTGAAATAGTAAACCATAACTTTCTCTTGATCCTAAAACGCTGAAATATACAAGTATTTACATATTTGAAACATTTGGCAAAGTAAACACAATTAAGATACCAAGGCTAAAAGGTCGTAAGGTAATTAGAGTGCAGACTTGAGTCCTAATTATAACAAATTGAATACAAAAAAATTTTCTCTAGCGCTAAAATGTACTTAATTAATGCTTATTCGATATTTTAAGAGCAGGGAACGAATACAAAACAACAACATGAAAGGTACTTTAGAGTGCCCTATATATGCATAATCATTATAATTATTATTATTTTTATCTTTGCAAGTTTCGTTCCCAGTCTAAGATTAATTGGATGTGTTGCTGGACATGGACATATGTACATTGAGTATAATAATTCTGATAAAAATTTATAATAATAATATATACTATATGTTGTTTGTAATAAGTAAAAATGCGTGTGAAAGCATGAGCTGCCTAAAAAAAATAAGTCTTATCGAATATATGTATATATAGTATATATAGATTTATGCAATGTTATCATATATGTGCGTTGTGTGCAAATTATGTACGCAATTTAAAATAAATATTATACATACATCCTACACACAAGCATTCACATATTTCTATGCAACAGTATTTTGTATTTTTTGCTTTAGTTTATGTTGTTGTTTTTTTTTTTTTTTTTTTTTTTGTCTTTAACGAAATTGAGTATGAATATTTTTGCCATTAATTGATTAATTTCAATTTCATTTGTTTTTTTTAATGTTTTGTTATATGTATATCACAAGTTTGAAGAGAGTAGAAAGTGGCGAATTAGCTACAATTGGCAATCGACAGGCAAATTACGGACCGATGATGCTTGCAACACAAAAAAGGATGTGTCTTAGCAATCGATGCCATTCATGCTACTGCAATTTGGGGCTGCTGCTGCTCCTGCAACTGGCGCCGGCGCCGCAGTCGCGCTGCGACTTTGTAAACGCAACGCTGAAGCAGAAGCAGATACCAAAACGGAGGCAGGGTTGGCATGGATGCCCACAGGTGGTGGAGCCCCAGTGGCAGCGACAGCAGCAGTAGCTGCTGAATTATTCATATCCTCTAAAGCGCGAAAGCGCAAGAAACCCTGCTCAGCGACCAGCATGCTGTCCGAGGCACTTGATGCTGTGCACGAATTGGAGGAGTTCGCTGACGAGGAGCCAGCGCTCAGCTCCGTATTTTGTGACGGCTGCTGCTGTTGTTGATTAAATTGCAGATGGACTAATTTTGGATTATTTTGTACATGTTGTAGGTGCGCGTCGTTGCCTTTATTATGCATCAATGCGCCCTTGGCATTCATTTGCATGCCGATGTTGCCTCCATTAGCTGTTGCTGAAGTGGTTGCTGCTGTTGTGAAGCCATCGTCGGTTAGACAAGAACCGTGCTCATTGTTAATTAAATTGGTGCACTCTACATTACTGCCTGATATCATGTCGTCTTCCTCATCCTCCTCAGAGTTATGCTGATAGTGTTGTTGCTGTTGCAGATGTTGCTGTTGCAAGTGTTGTTGCTGCTGCTGTTGTTGTTGCTGTTGATTGAATATCAAATCATTAGGGACTGTCATTCCTCCGCGCCCATTACCACGCCCACTGCGCTGATAATAATGTTGACGTTCGGACAATGTCTGGGCACCCGAAACGCGCTGGCCACCACCGGCATTAGTCGCGGCTGCCATTGCGCGTCCTGGACCCGCATTATTATTGACAATATTATTAAGGGTGCCGCTTTTGCGCACGCCATTATAATAGCCACGATCATAGGAATTATAGCCAGCATAGCGTCCACCACCATTCGACGAGGAGTAGGAATTTGTGGAGTTTGAGCTGCGTCTCTCCGGATTCTCATAGCCACCACGTTCGAGAGTATTATTCTGCTTACGATCTCGACTTTTTGGTGGCTTATGACGCTCTGGCCAGCATTCATCATTGGGTGGGACGCTATTCAACGTTTTCTCTTTGAATACAGGTCGCTCGAAGTTGTTGAACTCATAGCTGGAGTTCTCCTGTAGAGGTTCGGAGTAACAACTATCGCTTTGCAGCAGCAACATTTGTTGTTGTGAGGTGCCCGAGGAGCCGGACCCACCACTACTTAATGCTGTTGTGGAACTAGCCGTGTTCTTACTCAGCTTTTGTATGGTTCCACTGTGACCAGCAGATCCGGCGCCCGAGGAGCTGCCGCCTCGCAAATCAAAATTTGGATTCTCGTAGTGATCAGTTGTGCCATCGGTCATATAATCGGTATATGGGGTCTGATCGTGCGGACGCATGTGATATCGTTGGCCTGGTTGGGTGTTGTATTCGGCAATATTATGGTTGACAGCACTGCGAATAGAGCCCGTATCATATGGTCTCTGGTACATGGGTTCTTGCAGCTGATATTCTGTGCAGGCACCGCCACGCCCACTCTGATGCGCACCTGGTGAGGCACTGGGGCCCAACGAGTTCAGAGCATAGCTATCGTCGTATATCAATTTTCCGGTTCGCATTGTGTATGTGTGGAGATTCGTGTTGGCATTGCAGATGGCTGGATAGTCGGTTTCAAATTGCTCTTGACTTGAACTGGAGGTGCAATTCAAAAAGAATTTGGCCGCGTTTGAATGATGATGTGCTCCATGGTGTTTCTCGCGATCGGCATTCGGTGGTCCCGTACCGGAGCTATAGACACCACCATTGGTTGCACCCAGTCCTAGGCGTGCATCTCCATTCACCGGGGCACCCGAGTTATTGCCCACACTTGTCTTTAATCCGGTGACCCAAGATATTAGTGTAATTATGGCAATCTCAATCAATCGTAACGAGAATTGATAACCCCACTGCAGCCAATCCACCTCAATATTGGCCTGAGTCATTAATGGACGCACCGTGGAGATGCATATGGCTCCAAAGATCTGGAGAGCAGCCAGTAATACAAAGAGTAGGGCTGTGGCAATTGTTATATGTATGGCATAGGAGAGATTCTGATAGCCGTGTATATAGTTTTGAGATTTGCTGCGTAATATGCGCTTCAATATGCGGTAAAGATAGAGATATAGTAAGCCCAAGCTTAGGCATATAAATATATAGATTATCTGGCATATCAGTGTAAGTACGCGAGGCGGGGGAGCAGGATTCGCCAAACTGGCGGCTGGCGACATTGTGGCCTGCAAATAGCTAAATTGTTGCTGTTGTAGCTGCAGCATCTGATGTTGTTGCTGCTGTTGTTGTTGCTGACGTCTATAGAATTGTTGTTGTTGCTGCTGTTGAAAGTATATATGATGATTCTGCAACGTATACGATTCGACATAATGCAGTGTAATGCAGAGCACCACATGGACACCACAGCCCACAACCACCGTTAGGGGTCGTATCAAGGCTGAGTAACGATTGTTCTTGTGGTTCAACGATTTTAAAAACAAAAACAATATCAATACGGAGAAGGATACTGTCAGGAACGTGGCTGGCAAGTTCAGCAACAGCTCGGCGGCAAAAATGTGAAAGCTTCCATGAATATTATACGCATCGAAGCACAAATAGAATATGCGTGTTATGCATATGCTGATCAAGATGAGATGAATACAAACGAAATACGATTGCGAGAATAAATGAGTGAGCTTATTGTAGGTGAGCATTTTGTAGAGTGAATAGACGGCCAATATGGTGAAAAGCACCACCGACAGATAGATGTGTATATTCCAGGCCCAGGTCCACGTGGTGTGTGCTGATGCTGCAGCAGCGGCGGCCGCCGATCCTCCCGCTGCCGTCGAGGACGATGATGAGAGAATATTGCTTGATGATGAGGGTGCATGTTTCGAGTGCCCTGCACTCGTCGTTGCATAGGATGATGATGTGGCCGCTGCCTCACCAATGGCTGCTGCTGCCGATGGTGTTGTAGCCATCTGTTGGCCCCCACCAATGTTATCCATTGCATCGTGCAAATGTGTCGATGATTTGGCCTTAATATTCTGATCGTCGGATACCTGTGCGGGTGTTTGCTTACTCTGATTTATGTTCGGACTTGATGCCAAGTTCTCATCGTCGCCATTGCTCTCCTTCGCTACGTTTTCAATGAGAACTATGGGGGAGGAGGGTGGATGGTGATAGCTTGCCAGGGGTCGTTGTGTGACATGCTTTAGCAACACCTCGGGTATGTCGCTCTTCTTTCCATTGGAGCCGCTCAAAATACGTCGTATATTCGGCAGCACTTCCTGTTGCTTGTTCGGAGATTCACCGTCCTTTGCTGTCGTATCTTGTTGCTTCGAAGTGCCAACACCTGCAACCTGATCATGTGTATAATTTCGATCCGGTTCGCCCTCATTGACGCGCGATGGAGTATTCAGAGCCTTCTTTCGATCCGCATCAAGGGCCCCAAGGGTTGTAGCTGACATTGGCTTTTTAGACTCGACAGCACTCACAAAACTTACATTCACATCGCCATTTCCACCAGAGACACCCAAATCAGGTGGTCGAAATGGGATTCGCTCATGACCGGGCATCAAACTGGGTGGAGGAATGGGGCGTCTATTAATGTTAGTCCCCAAACCTTCGCTGTTCGTGCCACGCAGTGTGGGCTTATCGGCAAATGGATTCTGATATTCCGGTGGCAATGGCGGTGTGAAAAATGAACGTGATGGCGGTGAGTATAAAGGAATGTCGCCTGGATACATAGGAATCGTCGGTGGCTGGCCACTTGTCTTTTTAGGTAAGTTGGGTACTGCAAAAAATTAAGCATAAATGATATAATTTTTACCACTCGATTTAAATTGGATAGACATATATCTACTTACTTGCAGGCATTGGCGTCGAATTGAAAATATGCCGATGGCGATCTCGATCGTGACTATGATGACGATTTGGATTTGGATATGTGGGATTATTGTTGCTCTTTAATATGTCAGCATTTGGTGCTGACGTTGGCAACGCATGATCTCGCTCCAGGTCCAATTCATAGTTTCTGTGACGACTGTTGCTGCTTTGTTGCTGATGCGGCGATTGATACCTAAATAAACCAATAGTTGTCAGTATGTATACTAATAGCTTAATTCTGCCACAAATATTAAATCGTTATATATGTAGTATACCATAACTAAATTATAAAAAAGTGTTATTGTGTGCTTGTAGTGCAAGATGTAGTATTTTTAACCAATTTTTGTATGTATATATGCATCGTAATTACTGAAATATTAATATATTATAAATACAATATCTGGTCATTCAAATGAAAACTTTATACCCTATATCAGCTTAAAATGTAAACTCGATTTTGATTCATTTCTGTTTAATATTTGTATTTGATTTACATTTAACTCTCCTCTGCGCTTGTTTTGAAAAGCAGGTAGAATAGAATGAAACAATTGTTCTTCTTACCTTAGGGTAGTCAACAGGGGCGTCGCCACGGTCGTGAGACCTAGGACATAGCTATTATCGGGAATGCTACGTTTGGTTGTCGAGGTCGTTCCATAGGCCACTTTAATCAACACAGCTGCCACACTTCGCTCCAAATTGTCTAGTTTATCGAAATACCCGTTGGCCGCTACTGCGGATGATGAGGACACACTACCCAAGCCAGCTGAATTAGCCGTATTATTGATTGCCAGTGATGCCGGACTATTTCGTGTGGTGTTATTGGCGTTACTGGAACTACTATGCATGGTATTGCTCTTGAGCAATTCGCTACCAACGCTAGCCACATCCGAATCCTCGACGAGCAGCGCATGATGTGGAGTTATAAGTTGAGAAACCAGAAGCAGGGCGATGACCAGCCGTTGTTGCAAGCTCCTATGCATAATTATAGACTGCAGGGCGGCGACTAAAGCGTGCGTATAGCTCAACGCCTGATTCGCACAAGGGTAAGGGGATCTGCAATTCCTGCCAGTTGAGTTATTGGCACAAATGACTGAAGCGTTCGGGATTGCTTCTTTTGATGTACGTATATATCTGAACTCAGACTTTTGTTTATCCTTAGATTGAGTTAATACTGGTGTACACCACCTCTTGAGTGCTGTCGTAGAAGTGGTGCTTGTTGTATTCGAATTAAAGGCTGCTGTAAATACTCTCCCATCGGAGTCTTTAGTAAATTTATGTTCCAAAATTGTGCGTTCACACTCTGAACCATTTTCTGTGAAAAGAAACATATTTGAGATGGATATTAGAATGCTTTTCAAAATAAAGTCCAATTATTCTACATATCGTGAGTCGATTATTTATATAATGATTATTTATATAATAGAGCCTGGATTATATTTATTATTATTATATATCACATAAAATATTATTTTATACTAACATTCATTCTTATTTAAAACGTGATTGGTTTCAAGCTGTATATTTTGCTTAATAGATACATTTAGAGTTGCGCCTTTTCAGGATAATACAATTATTTTTGATAGTCCAGAATATTACATACATACATACATATAACGAAATTCAACATAAAAAGGTAACAATTGTGAATATGCAGCGTTGTGCTAGTGTGACTGAGCTGCTTTTCGATATTAGTGACCCAATACTTGCCTTTTTCTTTGGCTGCCGCTTCAGATGCTCGATGTTGTAATTCAATGCGGTAGCCATGATTCATTGTGGACATGATGATGCCTCCTGACTTTTACATGTGTATGTTCTTACATACATATATGTATAAGCAATATAGAATCGAAATGGAACCAAATATTTCAATCGCTAATAAAGGCTTGATAGGTTGAATCAGTTTTTGGTTTGGTTTTTATTTATTTTATATGTTATGATCACTAATCTTTGTGAACATATTTAGCTCCAAGTTCATTTTGGCAACATCTCATTTGGGAAATCTGGGCTTGTCCCTGCAAGATAAGCATATTTATTTATGTAAGCTTTACGAAGCTACAAATTCATGGATGTTGGAAAGAAAACACTAATACGTTTGTGTGTGTGGGACAAGTAATTTTCAATTTACATGCTTTAGACTTATATTTTGACTGCACTTTTGCGGCTTGAATACACTTAAAACCAAGCAGCAGGATAATATCGCAAAATGTTGAAGAGGTCATGTCCGTGAGTATGTGCCGAAAGCTGCGATTAAGGAATTGGGGAGTTGTTTCATTCCTTCAACAGAGCAAGTTTTGTTTAAAAGTTGTTAAAAACAACTACATATGTATGAATAATAAACAGCTAAACATAAAAACAAATTGATACAAATGGAGCTGTTGTGGGTTATTTCCCTAGCACTTATTCTTTTCATTCTTCTATGTCGATGGGCACATAATTGCATAAAAAGTGCGATTATGAAGTGAAAACAAACAAGTGTATCAGACATTTAATGGCAGACAACTAACAGAATATTACTCATTATTTACACAATTGTTTGTGTGGTTTTTTGCGTAATTATCATTGTGCAATTTACAAATTCTTTGTTAATAGAACAATAAAAATTGGGGTGCAGCCCTCTTTTTGCTTGCTTGCGACATAAATTTTTCATAGTTTCATTTTCTAATTTAAGCAATTTGTTATGGATGAGGTAGCTTAAAGAAATTATACACACATACACACACTCATAAAAATGTAGTACACTTTCGAAACAGGAGTTACCAAATGCTTTCTTCTTTTTATTCGCGTGATTTTGTTTTAAATTTAGGTATTAAACTTATCTCCAACATTTACTTCTTCAAATAAAATATGGTGAGAGCAGAATACGGCAGAAGCTATCATCGCGTATTTGTTTTAACACGATTTACATAGTGTTGCACACACACACACGATATACACACATGCTCTTCGTACATATACATGTATGTACATATGTAGCACACGAATCGATCGATACCGTACATGTTTTTTCCGCTTTAGTTTATAAATTGTTAAATCGTATTTATTTGATAACTATAGACACTAGCATCACAATATTGCTGCGACATTACTTTGTACAATATACAGTGGTTAAATTTCTTTTCACGTTTATGCTAGAAGAGAGTACAGAGCTAGGGCCAAAGTAGCAGCTAACACGTCTCACTTTCTGCCACAAACCAACCATTTGGTGTGTTTGTGCATTACAGGTATGTGCATTTGTATGTGTGTATACTTGAGAAGATGCATGTGTATGTATGTACGTACATACACATCCATACATACATATCTACCTATTCAGCATGCATTGGGCTTCAACATAAACTCATTTTCTGAATTAAAAAGATTTCGCAATAGAATGAATTAAGCACTGGCAGTCACCAAAGAATAATCAACCATTTCACTTACACATTTATATTATTTTGAACCAAAAACTATCCATTTTTCTCACATCGCGACATGTACATACATTTATATGTTGTATGTATGTACATCAAACAAGTTTCTTGGTTTTACACAATACACATTGCAGCACAATCACAAATTTATAGCTGGGCGTTGGCATTGTTGTTTAAAACATTTTTGATGCACAAAGTACAAAGCTTTTATTAAGTTTTCCAGCTTAAAGTATTTTTTATAGGCTTTTCTTTGTATTGTTGAATTAGAGCAGCACCAACACCAACAACTTAGGTGAAAATACTACAGCAAATTTCTACAAAAAAATCTACAAAATGGCCGATACGGTAAATAGCTGGCAGCACTATTGTAAATTGGTAGCACTTTTAGAGCTGCACATCGTTATCGAATCAAGAGAAGTGCATTTGGAGAGTAGACAAGTCCCTATAATTTGGAGAATAAAACCACTGCAATACTCCTGGAATAGAGATGACTGGTTTCAAACATAATTCGTTCTGGTATGAGGAAATAATATATTTTTAATTGTTATTGTCATTATTAATATAATTAACATTGCATCAGACTTATAACATCTGTAAATTATGTTCTATAATTGCGCCCCGATACAAAATAAGCTAACAATATGAAATTTTTTACGCCGGCTTTTCATATATGTATGTATAGTTATTTAATTTATTTATTTATTAATGGATTTATTGACACTGCGGAATTTTAATGCGGTGTGATTTGTTTCATTAAATATATAAGAGTCGAGAAAGATTACTATTTGTTTTAAATTATTTATTGATTATTAATGCTTTTCAAAATAATAAATTGTACATTGATATATGTACATAAGATATTTAGTACCATATTCAAAATGAACGTTGACATCACAAAAACATCGATATTGGACGTATCGCTGTCTGCAAAATTACATAAATTTGTGAAATATCGGTATATCGATAAAATATCAACAACCCTATTCTGAAATCAAGAATAAGGATATAAAAGTGTGGAGATAAAAATCGAAAAGAAGAAGGAAATATACGTCTGAATTGTTTTAAAAATCTGCAGCCTGCCTTTTTATGTTTGTTACGACAGCGGCGGCAACAAAACTAAACCAGTGAGTGCAACTTACACATATAACATATGTAAATACGGGTAGAAAGCTTGTTTGTGTTGCTTGGTGTTCTACAAATGTTTGTGTGTATGCACATACATATGCACATATACACACGATATAAGCGCAGAATAGCACAAAATACATGTACATATGTGAATACATATGCAAACATATTAAATCGTTTTCTGTGCAGACTGACGCATAAGCGCATCACTTGCATACACATGTATGTATGCATGTGTGTTTTATGTTTATGTGGCGGTAAACATTATGTCAAGACATGACCATATCGAATTATTAATATATATGTCTGTGCGCTTATGGTACATTATACATACATATGTACATACACATGAAAACATCTTTATAATTTGCAAGCTTATAAAACCACGCCCACTCAATGAGTTCTCCACTTAAAGCTGGTCCTGATTTTCAACCCAATTATCTTTGCAGCAAAAGCATTACATATTGATTAACATGTGCTGATGCTGGGGACTAGATTTTTGGATTGGAGGAGTTGGTTAAGTAAAATTAAAGCGCACTACACACCTCACACCTAAAATGGATACGTTTGATGTGTCGGACAAAAGCAGGTGAGCTTTGTTTGCTGATTAGTTTAGCATTGAAGTACATAAATGACGCAGTGAATAATAATTTTATTTTCCTGCCAGTTGGTACTTTGGTTCGATGTCTCGACAAGATGCCACGGAAGTGTTGATGAATGAACGCGAACGTGGAGTTTTTTTGGTCCGCGATAGTAACTCAATAGCTGGGGATTATGTTCTTTGTGTGAGGTAGAAAAATGTAATTTATGTTATTGTTTTCTTGTTAATCAGCGTGTGTATTTTTCTTAAATTTAGAGAAGACGTCAAAGTGAGCAACTACATCATCAACAAAATCCAGCAACAGGACCAAATTGTTTACCGCATAGGAGATCAGTCGTTTGAAAATCTGCCAAAGCTATTGACATTTTACACCTTGCACTACTTGGACACAACACCGCTAAAACGGCCGGCACAAAAACGAGTTGAGAAAGTAATAGGAAAATTCGATTTTGAAGGCAGTGGCGTAAGCATATAAGAACACTGAGATGTTGCTTGCAGCTTATCGGCATTTCGTTTATTCTCACAGGATCAAGATGATTTACCATTCAAAAAGGGTGAAGTTCTCACAATAATTTGTAAAGACGAAGAGCAGTGGTGGACCGCTCGCAATTCCTTAGGCCGAAGTGGACAAATACCGGTTCCTTATGTGCAAAAGGTGCGTTCTAATTTAGTTTAATAGATGGTACACAATTTTGTTTGCCAAACAGAAACCAAGAAATCTCTTATTTATATGTATATTATTTCGTCAACAGTATGATGAGTCCGTGGACGAAGACAGTTTTGATAATTTGCATTCTGGAAACGCTTGCACTAATAATGCGCGCTCGCCGCGTCCCTCGAGCGGTAACTCTGATACACCCACTGTTTCTTCAAACCAGTTTAGCAACACATTAAAAAAGACCGATCTAAATGTAAGTGCAGATGATGAGAATTATTTATTTTCATATTTAAAAATTGATTATTCGTGTTAATTGAAACAGCGCAAGTTGCCAGCATACGCTCGTGTTAAACAATCGCGGGTACCGAATGCCTACGACAAGACTGCGCTAAAACTGGAGATTGGTGACATAATTAAGGTTACTAAAACCAACATTAATGGGCAGTGGGAGGGCGAGCTAAAGGGACGAAAAGGCCATTTTCCATTTACGCACGTTGAGTTTGTCGACGATTGTGATTTAGGCAATAACTGTGCAGACACCGACCCCACGCGATTAAATAACGCCAGCAATGAATGGGGCGAATAATAACAAAATTTCAATGTGTATTTTTTTAAAAATAATTTTAAGCATAAGAATGTATCAAAACGTGTAAGTGGTGCATGCTGATTGTTAAAACATTAAAACATATTAATTGAACAACAACATTTAAGCATTGGACACAACTCTTTCAAAAACTTAAAACTCTTAACAAGCAGCTGGAACGTACAAAATAATAAACTGGACCCACAATATACATATAATATGTATATGCAGATATGCGAATATTTTTATTAGGTTGTACACAGTAGCTGTGCCAATGTCCTATCGTTTTAAAATATTGAAAAACGTTTTTAAAAACGAACAAATGTTGAAATGTTAAGGATGTTATGGAATAGCTAACGCTTTACATATAAAAGATCGCTTTATAATTCAGTAAAATTATAATAAATATATGTAATCATATTAGGGATGTGTTGAAGTGCTTGATAATTGGTCTAGACTAAAACAGAGGACGACCGAGGACCTGTTCAACAATACTTCGTTGTTATTTCTGTACTGAACTTTTAGCTAACGTGGGACTCATGTCGGTCCTCTACCTGAAAGAAATGGGGGTTACAATTTCACAGATAAACAACTTTTTGCAAATACTTTATTTATGATCTTTATTTTTACACTGCGTGCGAATAACTCAATTCTTATTTTTTATTGACCTCTGTCCACAAAACGTAAAACCCAAAAACCCACACATACATACACAAATACATATAATACAGTTATAGTTAGTTATATTATTTGACTGTGACATCGCTCTTCAGTTCCATTAAGGCAGCGTGAATGCGAAAATGAAGCCGAGATTCTAGTGAAAAATGTGAGAACTTTTTCCTGGGGGAATGGGAATTATGAGGATCAATTGAATTGTTAATTTAAGAGATATGTTTAAGATATCCTCACCTAGTATCCTGCAGCATTGCTATTGCTTGTGCTTCGCGATTTTCGAAAGCATGAACCAATGCAGCCTCGCAGTAAGCGTAAGGAATGATAAAAGTATCCTCCTTAATACTGTTCTGTAGTCCAATACATTCTTCCAAGTCCCTACACAGAAAGGAATATCTAAATTATGAGGATATCCCTCAGGTACTGAAAATGCTTAACTTACTGCAGGGCAAGTGCTGGCTTTTCCATTTGACGGAAACAGGCACCACGTAGCAATAAACATAACGCCCGATTATCTGCGTAATATGACTGAAGACTGGCCTCAGTTCGGGCCGTAACAAAAGACAATTCCTTTTCGATCATTTGAAGAATGCCATCGGCAATGTTATAGTTTTTGCTAAAGACTTTAAAAACATTCCACAGGTACATGAGTTCGATGACCGGAAGGATCAACTTCCCATTTTGCGCCGTATAGCGAGCAGCTCTCTTCGCCATAAACTTCTCCATTGGTAGAGATTTTCCCGCGATTCTTTGCCTGCATGTGGGAACATCGCGCATTAGTCCCTCGATTTCCCCGATGTCCGATTGCGAGGGGTTCTTATGCATAAGCTTAATAACAGCTAGCTGATAGGCGTATATAGAACGGGACCAATTACTCTTTTGCAACAAATTTGTGGCATATACATCGGCTTCCTTCCATTTCTTTTGCAAACTAAAACAATAGCCCGAAGGAATCGGGAAAATTAATGTGCTTTCACTAACGTTTTCTCCCACCCCCCTCTCCGTCTCTTAAAATATATGTAAGTTACATAAATCGCATTAGAGGAATATTTACCAATTAAGCCAAAGAAGATCCCAAAAGGTCAGGTGGTGGAATTGTGGCCAAACATCCTGAGAACGCCAAGATTTAATATACCAAGTTTCGCCATCCACAAGATTACCTTTGATAAACTCTAGGCGGCCTTTAAAAAACAGAATCCACACACCATTGGGATACTTTTCTAGCATGGCGGATAGTATATCTTGACATAGTGTCAAATCCCCATGCTGATGACTTAGCATTGCCACCACCATCAAATGATAGCCAAGGAGTGTGAGCGCACAAAGCACTTGACGTAGTCCCGCCTCCTGGTACCCTATGTACAGATCATTTAGACCCGAGTGCTAAAAGCAAAACCGATACAAGCATTGAAGCAAAATGTCCGAATCACCTATATATAATTTGCTATATATTATTCAATTATACCTTATTCGCCGTAAACCCAATAAATTCCAGTATTTTGACAATACGTGCGGGTAGCATGGAGATCATTAGATTGAATGTACCTATGCCCATTCGAACTCCGCTGTCGAAGTGGGATTTCAGTGTCAATGATTCCCACTTGCGTTGCTTCATTATCTGTTCACAGGATCTGTAAAGTACAGAATGTTATAAATAGACGTTACCTAGGATTACGCGCGCAAATGTCACCTACCTATACAAGTTATAGCATTGTCGTACTTTAAGGCTACCGCGGATTAGGCTGCTGAGATTCTCATCCTCAATAAATGTGAGCAGGGCGTTGAGCAACAAGCCTTCGGCCATGCACAGTTCGGCGTGACACTCAAGGTCTGTCATTTGGCTGAAGTTTTTCTAAGCGATCGAGAATATCTATGCAAATATAATTACAAGACCCATAATAAACGTACTAACCTTCTTGAATGTTTGGCCAATTGACTCGGTTATTGTGGTTTTTTTCTTGAAACGCTGACATAGATCAAGGCATTTTTTCAGCTCATCCGATGCCTCTTCAATATGCTCAAAAGTAAGGACTGCCTCTAGGAAAGAGAAAACTGCATAGCCCATAGAGTGATACAGACTGGTATCGGCGAATGGTTTTAATAATGTCCGTGCCTCCTCGAACTTGTTATTAAAAAAATAATTGATTGCTATTTGTGCCTCTTCCAGCGAGGTGTCTAGATCCATTTTCATTCGTGTTTGGTCCAACTGTTGCTCATCCGAGCATGCATCATAAAACTGTTATTTGGATAGTCGAGTGTAAGTCATTTATCATTAAAATTATGTTTTTCATACCTCAACTGAGTCATCATCGTTGGAGTCGCATTCATCGCCCTCCATATTCTTAGCTTGACTACGCCATGCATTTATTTCAGGGCTAGAACTGGAACCTGGACCTGGTCCAGATTCAGAACCGGTTGCCATTGTTAATTATTCTGAATAACATGAAAAAACAAGGTTCTCATTAAAAAAAGTATATATCTATATATGTATATATTTATATATATACATGTCCACATGTACACCTACATACTAAATAAATATGTATCAAAATTTTATTTTATTATTTTATTTTAGGATCGAAGCTATTAATAAATTTTTTTAAAAATAAATTATATATATATATATATATATATATAGATATATATATATATATATATATATATATATATATATATATATATATATATATATATATACATATAATTTATTTTAAAATATATATAATATATATATATATATTTATATATATAAATATAAATATATATATATATATAGAGAGAAGCATTTTTTGACTTTAAATTCTTACTATAGCAATCGTTACTATAACAAAAGATCGTTATCTGTCACATGCAAAGATAGAAACACAAGCACACTCAAATAAATGATGGGACTATATGCACAACGATTCGAAACTAAAGGTTATCCGGGTAATTTGAATGCTTTTGCTTAATCCATTGGAATATTTAGCTCAAAGGTCAAACGCACACCACAGTAGGTCTAGACCTCAGACCCCAGAGTCAAAGCCCAAGTATGATGTTTGCAACCGTGTGGAACTGAAAATTATAATTGTTGCTCACTAGATCGCGTTATGTGGACCGTGGACTCTGACAGCCTTTAGTGCAATGAGTAAATTATACTATATATACTCGTATGTACATCTGTACGTACATAGGTAGTTAAAAGTACGCGACCGGGTACCGCAGCATTATGCACCATAAAACTCTAAACTCATTTTTTATACATACGTGTATATACAAACATATACATACATATGTATATATGTATGTACATATGATTACTATTTTGTAATCCACGTACACACTACACTGAACTAGTATTACATGACATTTAGAATTTAACGACTTTACACATGTGGGAAGACTAATTGAAATTTAGGTGTTTCGGATAAATGTTTATTTCGTTTGAGATTCTCTGATTCTCGGTCAGTAAACAACACCTTTGGGTTACAGCCCTGTAAGGCATTATTATTTTAAGTACGCATGTGTAGATATTGTTTACATTACATCTTTTTTTGCACTTTCAAGGGCCGGTATGTTTATCGAGGTGCATAGTTGAACTTGATTATAATATAACTGAGAACGGTGAGAATGCGAGTGGGAAAATAGACGGCAATTCATATGCAAAAGCTCTGTTGTTCTTGTTCATGATTAAACAATCCATGTTGGACTGCACAGTGGGCCCAAAGGGTTGTGATAAGTAAGTGTGGGTGGTTAGGGGCTGACCCAAGTTTATTTATAATACAATTGATACGAAAACCAGAACTTGCTTTTTACATACAGAAAATGTTTGCATTATCATTCGGTTGGAATATTATTAATAAATGTCCAATTGGTCTGCAATCGTTTGGCTTAGTATTATTTATGCTGGATTCTTCAGCACCAATGTGCCTCATGAAAAGCTTTTGCGTTTCAAACACATTTTATTTCGATTTTAGCAGCCGCAGAAAAGGAAATGAAAAACTAAGCGCAAGTACATTAAGCTTTAAGCTTTTGCGTTGTTCGGTCGTGTTTTTATTGTGCTCCGCATGCATGGAACCACACATATATAAAAAAAAATACTGTTTCTGTTTTGTTGTTGACCTACTATATATACATAAGATAGAAATACATTCAGCAAAGTCTTTTTAAATATCGGGAAACGTGTGCTTATGCTAACTTCAAAAACAACGACACATTAATAGAAGCAACAACTAAAACAGCCGCAGCAGAAATAGAAACAAATCACACAATCATCAAGCTACCGTGTTTACATTTCGATTTCGATTCATTTCGATGGTCGGGCTCGACTGCCTCTGATAATTTGCATGCATCCTACAGATACAGCAACAGACGACGACGACGACAACAATAACAAGAATAAAATTAATAATAGCAGCAACTATACGAGTGCGTCATATTGTTGTGGCTTTGGTGTTTTTACTTCAATTGCGCGTTCGCGTTACTCTAAATTAATTATTTTATGTGTACATTTTGCATTGTTTTGCTTTATTTCGCATTCGCGTCGTGTTTGTCCACGAATGGAGAAGTGTGGGAGCTTTTCTCGTCAAAAGTATTTTGCAATCGCTGGAGTGTGTAGTCACAGCAGTTGCTGTTTGACGACGAATTAAGGTGTAAAGCGAGCAGCGGAACCAGAAGCAGAAGCTCGATAAAGGCGAATACAACAAAAACAACTCAAAGAACGAAACATAAACATCTGAAAAATAAAGTGCGCATAGAATGCGAACATAAAAACAGCTGATCGGGCGCGACAAAAAGCTAACAGCTCCAGCTCCAGCCAAAGAAAGAGAAGGAGGAGAGTGGGAGCACAAAACGACGTGATAAGGAATAGCAATAACAGCAACAGCCATTATGCACTTGCACTTATAAAATGACAAAGTAAATTAAAAAACAACAACAACACCAGTAATAATAATAACAAAAGGAGCGCATGCATATTGCAAATTTTAACAAAGAGAATGCCGTTACTGTCAATTCAACATGTACTCGTATAAGCATGTACACACATTCATACAAACAAACATCCATATATACATACATATGTTTATGTATGTACATACATACATATAATGTATTTGCAATTTAGCAAACAACCTTCACAATACAATTTACCAAAATTTTACAATGTCAAAAACATGAATAATTTGTGAGATGCCAACAAATATACATATTTAATGACACGTATGTATGTATGTACATACTGTATATATGTATGTACGTACATATGTACACACATATGTATGTATGTAGCTCCGCACATCAGCGCACATTCCTCCTTTTTATTGTTCCCACTAAAAGTACATATGTACATACATATATACACTTAAATGTATAATTGTATTTTTTGTGTGATAGAGATTTGCCGAATCATTTGGTTTTCATAAACATCTATACAAATATTTTAGGGCCAAAGTCTTAGTGCAATTGATAATCTATCAAGACTTCCGCGTCAGCTAATCTTCGACCCAATGTGTTTAGCTAGGGGCGAGCTGACCAAGTTGGGGGGTTCTGTGGCGCGGTTCTAATCAGCTCCCCACTTATCTCAAATGAATTTCGTATAGCTTAAAACAAAAATATGTAAATATTAAACTGGTGCGATCCGGAAACTGGTGCGTTTTTTACTTATTTGTTTCTCTAAAAGCAAAAAACCGCCAAGTTTATGTATCCAAAATATTCCGTTTGAGAAAGACATAAATATGTATTTGGTTTGGCATTTAAGATATCATATCTACCTGTCTGCCTTAGATAAAAAACAAGAGCATTTTTAAATTAAAAACAAGAATGCTAGAGTTGAGTGGACTCAACTCTTAAATACCCTGTAACCACTCCCACAAAAACAATATTTTTTATAATAATATATTTTTTTTAGTTAATTTGAAACAAAAATTAAACTAATTAAATAAAATTAACAAAATTAAAAATACATACCACGTACATTTTTGAAAGAGTACATTTGCCTCAATGTTGTGTCTATGTGTGTCAATGCGTGACTCTGTGTTCGTGTGTGTGTGCAGTGCAGAGTTGAGTGAACCAAAGCAGCAACAAAACAACAACAGCTGCGTGCAGAACATGGGCAGATATTGTACTGATAGATTTAACTTTTTTACATTAAACCTATCGTAATGAAACCTATGATGAGGGCACATGGGCACTAAAATAATATAATAGCCAAATTTAAGTAAAAAATTACGGGAGTTATGGAAAATCACTCAAAGTGCGGTATTGATAGACGGTTATTGTTATACAGATCAAGAATATATACTTTAGGGGTCTGCCATGCCTACTTCTGTGTGTTACATACATTCGCACTAAACTAGTATACCCTTCTACCCTTTGTGTACAGGGTATAACAACAGCCTTAGGCCAGACCCCTTAGAGACCGACACTTGGAACAAATACACTAATATAGAGATACCATATAATATTATTATGGAACTGTGTGGCCATGTTCTTCAAGTGTACTTAGTACGATTTCCACTTATTTCCACTGCTTATCTTTTGAACTTTAACTAATCCGATAAAGACTAATTTAATTAAATATTTACTTATCTATTAGTCATTAGTGCGTTGCCCGAAAGAGTAACGAGAATATCATACATTTGCCGCCGATCTCTCTCACTTTACGTACATACTTATGTATAATTCTTAGTAGAATTATTTTGATCGTTTCTTTAGATATCGTTACCCAGAATTCCAAAATCTACTAGTATTGCATCCCATTCATTGTGATGGAAAAGATGAGTCTAAGAATGTGTCATTAGAAAAACAAAGTTTCTTCGTAGTATTCCCCAACAATAGTTCAGTTCAAGTTGCTTTTCGTAACACTCATCAATATGTATAGAAACGATTTCTTCTAATTGATATAAAGTAGAAAAGCATACATATTTTATGTCAGCGCTTCTTTCTATTATTTTTGCCTTTTATTATACCAATTGTAGATTTCAAAACTTTCCTTTGAACACGTCATCTGGAAATAATGATGGAAGTTCAACAATAAAATGATCCCAACTCACATTTTGTAACCTTTAGTATGGTTATGATTGATACTTTTCCTGTTTTATTAATCGCTTCTCGTCAGAACATTAATTGCACGTGTATATACATACATACAAGTATGTATGTACTTTGGATGTCCATGGGTCAATGTCTGCGAGTTTTTCCACGATAGTAATCAACAGCCTTTTATGGCGGCTTTAAAAGTTTTGCGTGTGTATATTGTTGCTACTTGTTCAATTGAGAGATTAATGGTTCAAAGAAAAAGAGCTGTCTCCATGCTGCGATCCTTTGGTATTTAACGTTCGCCTGTATGAGTAACTGGGACAAAAAGGATATACATATATTGATGCGATGAACTTGGAACCATAGTATTACTTCTTATTCATACATAAATAGCTTTTTATATATGTTTATATAAATATATACATATATGCATATACAATATAAATGATTACACAACGCACATGTTTAAAGGTCTGGATAGTGGGATTGTTTGCGAATATGTAATCTAATCCAATTGGAGTTATCAGCGATAGATTAAGCTAATCGTAGGCCCGCAATAGTATCGCTCATTTGCTTGTAGACTGTTTTTTAAGGAGCATTTACTTTTCTCAGTTCAGCAAAAAAAAAAAAAAAAAACGATAACACGCTGGTCTGTAATGTGTTGGTGAATTTATGTCTGGAAAATATAACTATGTGGAGAAGGTGACGGAGACAGAGACCCTTGAAAGTAAAATTTAAACGTGCCACTTACAATAAAGCTTACCATATTGCGAATTTGGAGAGGTTCTCAATAAATTGGTATCGTTATCACAAAATTTCGTATTGCCATGGCCAATGAGGTAACATTGTTACCCAAAGCAACACAAGTATTTCCGTCAAGTGAACCACCACCTTAGGCTATGTCTTAAAGCAGCAAATCGTCTTTGGTTACAATAGTCCAGACTGAAGGTGCGACGAATACGAATCGCACTACGGATGTGCGCAATCTCGAGTGTTATGTGAATAATGTGCAATCTGTAATATCCTTAAGTACGTTTTAAACGACGGTCTTTAAAATGATTTTCTTTTTTTTTTTTATAAAAAATAAGATCTGATAAATTCAGAACAATTAATTATAAAGATTTTTTTCTTGTGTTTTTACAGTGCTAGAACTGATATCCTGCGCACTTAATTGCTCAATGTGAATTAATTTAGATGTGCTAGAATGGCCGTGCTATCAAAATATATAGACCGCATAGCGGAAAAATATGAGCAGACCGGTCTTACAAAGCACGCGTTTAGCTACGCTCTGGTCGGGACCGCCCTTCTGGCCCTCACCATCAAAGTCACCGTACCGTATGTGAAAAACTTGCAAGAGGGCTCAGCGAAGAAGTCTAAAACAAAAGTCAACAATGGGGCACTCACCCCTCTAGTGGCCAGCTCAGACTCGGATGGGACGGATGAGGACTTTAAGTTGGCCGAGGCAGAGAAACTTCTGGTGGCGCAGCAACTGAAGAAGAAGAACAACAAGAATTTGCTGGAGCCCGGTCTTAACAAAGAGTTTTTGAATCAGCTAAGTAGATTGGTTAAAATAATGATACCACAGGCGCTTTGTTATGAGACTGGCCTGCTTAGTGTACACACATTGTGCCTGATATCCCGCACATTCCTGAGCATTTACGTGGCCGCTCTGGAAGGTGCTATCGTCAAGTTCATTGTGCGCAAGGATGTGAAACAGTTCGCCCTTGTGCTGCTCAAGTGGTTCGGAATAGCGATCCCAGCTACATTTATAAACTCGATGATTCGATTTTTGGAGAGCAAGCTGGCTCTGGCCTTCCGGTAAGAATCTTACTCAATTGGTAGTGTTCGGGTCCCTAAATATCATTTTGCCTATTGTCGTTTGAATTTATAGAACACGATTGGTGCGACATTCGTATCGCCTGTATTTCAAAAATCAAAATTACTATAGGGTATCCAATTTAGATGGTCGCATAGAAAACGCAGATCACAGGTGGGTTTATTGAATTGAAAAATAGGGGAAGTGTTTAATTTACATTCCTAATTCCGTTTCATAGACTTACCGAGGACATTTCAGTGTTTGCCAGCTCAGTGGCCCATTTATATAGTAGCTTGACCAAGCCCTGCTTTGATCTGATGCTTATCGGTTTGGCTCTAATGCGGTCATCCCAGAAAATGAAGGCCAACATGCTTTTAGGCAAGTATTAATGAATTAATGAAGACAATTTCGCCTCTTAAAATCGTCTCAATATCGTCTATGATTTCTGCATGTATAGGTCCGGCCTTATCCGTCAGCGTTATATCACTGACGGCTCACATTCTGCGCATTGTCTCGCCAAAATTCGGTCAGTTGGTGTCTGAAGAAGCCAACCGATATGGCTATTTGAGGCACATACACTCGCGTATCATTACCAATGCCGAGGAAATTGCTTTCTATGGTGGTCACAAGGTACATTTTTAAACTACTTTAAATACTATATGTTCGAAATACAAAACTCTTAACGCTTTTCAGGTGGAGATGCAGCAGCTGCGTCAGGCCTACAATCGGCTGGTCAATCAAATGAATAATATTTTCACACAAAAGCTCTGGTTCGTCATGTTGGAGCAATTCTTTATGAAATACGTGTGGTCGGGCACGGGTATGGTCATGGTATCCTTGCCGATTCTAACTGGTGGTGGTGCCTCGGGCAGCTCCAGTGCCGATGGAAATGGCAATGAAGATGGGCAGGGGAACGATTCAAGTTCGAGTGTTAGCGAACGCACACAATATCTGACGACTGCTCGAAATCTTCTGATTTCGGCAGCCGATGCTATAGAACGATTGATGTCGTCATATAAAGAGATTGTAGCTCTGGCTGGGTACACTTACCGGGTAGCCGGTATGCTAGAGGTATTCGAGGAGACTGCACAGGGAATTTATAGCAAGGCAACGGTGGCTGAGAACGATGAGATGAATGGCATTATTGAGTTCCGAGACGGCAAGCCCATAGCCAAGGGTCGCATTATCTACACCGACGATGCTGGCAATATGTCCATTAGCTTGCGAGCAGTTCCAGTTGTGACGCCCAATTGTGATATTGTTGTGCCAAGTCTGACCTTGTGCATTGAGCCGGGTGTACATGTTCTGATAACGGGGCCCAATGGGTGCGGCAAGTCCAGCCTGTTCCGTATTCTGAGTGGACTGTGGCCCATTTATGCGGGAGAGTTGCATATTCCACGACCCGTCGAGGATAAGCCGTGTATGTTCTATATTCCGCAACGGCCGTATATGTCAATTGGTAGTCTGTGTGATCAGATCATATATCCCGATACGCGGGAGGATATGAAGCGCAAGGGCATAACTGACGACGAGTTGAGAAATATTTTGAAAATGGTCAGCTTGGAGCACATCGGGCAACGGTACGTACAACGGAACATGGATGAGAATATAGTTTGAAATTATATGAGAATTCCACCTTCTACCTTTAGTGATAGTTTCGATGTGGTGCGCGACTGGAAGGACATACTATCTGGTGGTGAAAAACAGCGCATGGCAGTTGCTCGCCTCTTCTATCACAAGTGAGTATTTCAAAAACACATTGCCAATTAAAGACTTCACTAATTTCCGATTTCGCTATATCATAGACCGCGATACGCCCTTCTCGACGAGTGCACCAGCGCTGTATCTATTGATGTGGAGAGCTCGATATACGAAGTTGCCAAGAGCATGGGCATCACCTTGCTGACAATAACTCACAGACCTACCCTATGGTGAGATCACATAGATCACATATACAAGTATGCTAAATACTGAATCGCATCTATATTATCGCGTATCTGCTTACAGGAAATTCCATACACACATACTGGAATTCGATGGACAGGGTAGCTGGAGATTCCGAAAAATGGACGCCAATGAGCAGCAGAAAGAAAAGTTCCTTCACTAACTGCCGTTGAGTATTACATATACGTATATTACATACATATATACATACATTACGTATGGAGAGAGTGAAAGAAGGGGAATTAGAAGAATTAAGAGAGAATGGCAAACACAATGCTGCATATAAAATGAAAAATATAGAACACAAATGAAAAATAACATGATGTTTTATCGCTGTATCATTTTAATTGTGGAAATTACACATACGAGTACATCATTAAGTTGTAGCGAGAGCAATCATTTAGAACAATATCGGTTTCAATTGTTGATCGTGTATTTTATTGAAACAATTGCCTCTACAAATTTCTTCTTTGATCGTACATTTTGTTTATTTGTTGTTTAGTTTCGTTTTATCTTTATTATAATACACAATACTTACACATATGATATAGTATATATATAGTGTATATATATATATATATATATATAGTATAGGTTTCACATAACATCTTAAGATACTTTTTCATGTAATATCAATAATATGTTGTTGTTTTTGTGTTCATTTTTAAAACATCAACCATGCGTAGACAATTTCACATTTACTTTTTGTTTTATTTTGTTTGTTTTAGGTTTTGTTTTTTTTTCTGATTATGTGTTTGCTTCATTTCTACTGCTCTAAATATATATATATATTTTTTTTGTTGTTGTTGTTGTATATATGTACATATATTTAAAAACTTGCGTTTCTTTATTGTCACGGAACTACCAATTATTGTCAATCTTATTTATATGAATGTAAGTATGTGTTGTAGTATTCGGGCGATGAGAGCGGGGCCTTTCGATGGGTGGGAATCAGGATTCAATTTAAATACATACACACCCTAAACGAAAATATCACGACCTAATATCTAACGAAACAATATCAATCAAACAATAATAATAATAATATCAAACTAAGTTGGTAAGTGAGTTAAAAGGAACACACAACTAACTGTTCTCCTCCTCTTGATATGGTTTCAAACGACTGTTTGTTCTTCTTGTTGCCTTTGAGTGTAGTAAGTACTGATTGTTTATCGTTTCCTTCTCATTATAAACTTTAGTTAGGGTATGCAGGCACAGGTAAATACATACATGTATGACTATCTAACCTTACGCATGTAAGAACATACATATGTATGTGTGTGTGTGTGTGTGTGTAAGTTAATTCATCGTAGGTACTGATTCATATAAACACTGCGGCTGAGTAAGTGTACGTATATGCATATGTATGTATGTATTGCTGTGATCGTGAGTGTGTGCGATTGAGGTTCAAGTCAAATCTTGCCTCAAATACAAACGTGAATGCGTACCTCCTTACATTCGTTAGTATTCAATATTCAATGTTCAGTGTTCAGTATTAGTTCAATATAATAAGTTGCTTACAGATTCTAATAGAATTCTGATGCTGATTCTCATTCTGATAGAATGCTAAGAGTGAAATGAAATCCTGATTAATCCTTCCAGTCAAAATTTGTAGCTTCGTCCTACGTATCATATCATATATGATTGTTTTGTATCGGAAGCATTTGGTTACTTCTAAGCGAATTAAAAAAAAAAAAAACAATTTTTTATTACAAGAACATATGAAGATATGGCAAATCTTATTATATAGTACATATTCATACACAATAATTTATCATATTTGTTCTTGAAATTTTTGTATCTTTGGATTCATATACATAATAGGTATGTATAAAACGAAAAAGATTAGAAAAAGTAGTACATCTACCTATTTCTGATGTCCTCATAAATAGTAAATATGTATGTTAATATGTGAAGTTACATTTTGTTTTGCATATTCCTTATTATGACTGACTTCTTGGATCGTCTGTGCAAGTAACACCGACTCTGCCGACTGTACTTAAATTTTACATTTCAATTGACAAGCGTTTCTCCTTTTACATTTCATTTGTTTGTTAGATATTCTCAATGAACGTATTGTGTTTTTGTAGTACATGTATTCACTTTTTTTTTTCTTGTATAGTTTCATTTGTTTCCTTGTATTTACATTACCGAAATTCGCCGTACAGGTTCTTAGTAAGCCATTTTCGAGATGGGCACAACACCGTTTATATATGTATGTAGTTGCATTACACGATTTCTATACAAAAATCTTTACATAATAAAAATAGTTAGAAGAATATACATAAACCCTAATGTGGAAAGTTTTTAGGTCGAACAGAATAGACAATTCATTTTCGTATAATTATTCTTGTCTTGAACTGGCAGAACAAAAATCGAATCAACTCAAATTTGGATTATGACTTTCATTCAGCCCTTAATAGCCATTGTAGTCGTAGAAATCAAATCCAAATTGGTCAGATTTAAGCTGCTGTGGCGGCGACACAACACCAACATCTCCGCTCTTTTCCTCATCTCCAAAATCTTCCCTGACATAGAGCGGCCCATTGGCTCTCATATTATATTCAATTGGAATTGGATTGAATGGGGATAGGTAGTTTCCATTTAGTTTTGCTCCATCAATATGTAAGCCATTCAAGTTTCTTGCATCTCGCTGGAAATAGTCGCTAGGAGAGTGCTTTTAAGGGGTATGGGGAAATGTATTAATATATGATTATTTTCATGTAATTACTTATAATTGGCAACTAACTACTTGTATTAATAAGCCGTAACTCACCTGTTTTAGTAGTGAGCGATTTCTTTCTCTGAAATGCGATTGTCGCAACGGATATGTCCTTGGTATGCCTATAACTGCCTGATCTCTATCTGAGAGCTCTGAGCCTGAGTTGAACCCAGTTGCAGGAAGCTTTATGCGAGCCGCCCGCCCCGATTGTCCTGCGGCCGAGTTACCCGAAAATATATTTCCCGCTGCCGAGGCATGCCCCATGCGGCTCGAATAGCTGCGGGCCGATGCGCGGGCTCCTCCATTTCTGTGCTCATTCTTGCCATTGGGGCCAAAGGCTTGTCCATCAGCAATCGGCACTCGTCCATCGTCCATATATTGCCCAACACTGCCGTCGGGACTTCGATTCTCATCCATCAATATTGAGTCGGATTTCGAGAGAAATGGTGGCTTGTAAGACGACTGTATGCTGTGAATCAGATCAGAGGTAATATAGCTATGTATATTGGATATATTTCTTGAAGGTCGCCCAACAAGTTGGGGGCCTTTGAAAGAACTACTTTAAAATGAAATCTATCATAAGTCTCCGAATCACTTAAGAGATTACGGGCATTTAAGAATTATGGAGCTGTTGCAATATTTTATTCCTCCGAATGAACTTACTTTTGGCCGTTTGTTATCTCTTTAAGAACTGCCGCTCGTGCTGCCAATTCTTCGGCTCGACGCTGCTGTGTTAGTTCCTTTGCCCGCTCTGTCCAAATGAGCTCCTTCAGTTTTTGGAAGCTGCCTTGCACAGCAACGGAATTCGGATTACCTCCGCTGTTAGAAGTAGTCACTGAGCTATTGGGACCGCCGACATATCGATTTTGGGTGGATCTGCGCGAGGATGGACCGTTCGAAGGTCGGGTTTCGGCGCCGTAGAATCTTGTCATGCCACCTCCATCGACTAGTCGCTGACGTTGTCCATAAGATACACGTTGGGGAACAATGGGCTCCCGACTGACAACTCGGCCGAAGACGGGGGAACGGGAACGCTCCCTTGTCCCCATTCTAAGGCTGAAATGTTTCATTTCGTTTCAATTTAGATTTGTTTCTTCTTTTTTTTAGCTTAAACTTCTGCTGCTACTTACGAGCCCATGGTCCGCGAGTTGGAATATAGAGGCTCCCACACATTGTATGTAAAAGGGTCGCGATATGTTGGTATTTCATTTGTTATCTCTGCTGCACGAGATTGTCTCTTGGAAAAGCTGTGCGAGAGTTAAGGTCAAAAGAGAGTAGGGGAATTATAAGTATTTCTAATTTTATTTGTTTCCTAAATTATATAAATTAGTCCCCAAATATCATCCAAATATCTCAACAATAGAGGAAACTTTACCATACTCTACTTTTATTTTATTTTGCGACTCAAAACTATTGCCCCTCGACCCATCGCCTGCGCGACCACAAAAATGTAGATGGGGTCTAGAATTCGTATTTGGATAATGTAAGTATTGTATGACGTTATTGTCTCGATTCTGTTAGGGCTGCGGTATTCGCTCAGGCGAGGAATATCCTCCCAGCATTGGTCTTACAATCTAAACTAATCTTTATAGGATATGAAGTAAAACTTACATCCACATCGCACGTAGTTGCTCACATGTTGGTTCCTGGGAACTGAGTGGAAATGTTTTTGGAACAAAAACTTCTCCGACAGCACTCACATCGCTGCCCTCGACCAGGCCATTGCCTGCAGTGGGAGCACCGTCTACGCCCTTGACTCCATTCTCTGTATCCGTATTTCTCTGAGATGCATAGTCACGGCTACGAGCATTTAGGAAGTTGCCATTTCCGTGTGTTAAGCATATCAAAATAACCAATATATCTATTTGTACGTATTTGTTCTGAAACGCAAAAGGATTATACATATTACAGCTGATGGATGAGCTCCAAGGTCTCGTTTCTTCCACTGACCACTTGGTTGGCTTAGGTGGTAATCAGAAAAATATAGGAATGTTGTACCTACCAATATACGGTTACAAAGCATCTTCGTCAAAAAACTTAGATTGAATCCAATGATTTGCATAAATCATATAACGATTTCCAAAACTGGTTCTGGATCCTTCGTTATTGTAACAATTTCGGTAGCTTCTCTTCTTAGGCTGATATGATCTGGATATGTATTTAAATAGTGTTGATCTGCTAATTGTGGGAGAGAATAAAACGCTATTTTAAATTTTGTAATTTTAAGTTTTGTTCATAAAGGCATGCACTGTTTACAGGAAAATCAGCAAATTAGAATTCTATATAAAAAAGAACATATGTAAGTAAGTTGTACGAGTGTAAAGGAAACCCTTTACTGTGAGTTTTTATCAAATTCAGAAAGGTGGTAGAAAGTTGTATTTTATCAAAATTAAACTGATAGATTTGTAAAGTAGACTAAAAGGTGCTCTATTTCGTTGATCATGTGCAGGTACCGGTTCGTCTACTCGGTATTACTTACGTCACCATTACCGATACTGAGACACTTCGACACATGAAATTGTTTTGGGAATGTTGTGAGGATTTGTTTCCCCACATTTGCAGAAACATAAATGAAATATCTTTTCGAGTTTTTGATTATCGTTTCTGTTTTGTTCATTGGATGCGAAAATATGTGGTAAAAATGAAATTGTTGTGCCGAATACTCTAATATTCAAATATTAATTATGTAATCGTACTTCGCCTGATTGCTTTACATAAGAAATTAGTATTGCATCGGGGAATTAAAAGCGCTCCCAAAGTACGGTTCGAAGTGGTTAGTTGTAGAAATGTGCTAATGCGATTGAAGAGTAGAAATTATTTGCTTTGTACAACATTACGAGAATACGTATGGTGCAAGTGCTGGACGAACAAATAAATATTGGTGCTTCTATTGTTAAGAGGTGCTGGTGCTTGGTGCATTGGTGCTTGAGTTATTGTTTAAAAGTTGATTTACTTTTCTGCGGTATTTATGAGATTTTCCGATTGCTATGTAGGTGCTCAGGAGTGGCTCTGCCTCGCATTTTTTAGCCACCCACAGTCGCATACAAGTACGTCGTATACGCGATGGATAACCATAACCATAACCAAGGGATTCAGCCATTTTGAGCTGTAGGGGAAATTGTAATTGCACATTCATCATTTTATTCTCGCCTTCTTCCAAATTCCATAGTATTTGAAATGTATTAAAAAAAAAAAATCATGAAGAAATAAAACAAATAGAAAACAGAAAACAATAAGACAAGACAAGCGACAATCGAGTCAATATCTTTGACTCTGACTGACAGCAACAGACAGCTTGATGGACTGGAAACAATCATTTGCGTTGATATATATCATAAGCCATCGATCAATTTATTGAATCAATTTATTGGTGATATTCGTTATATTTTTCACAAGCCACATAAGTACCACAAACAACTTTTTTAATTGGATTTCTCTCTCAGTTCGAAAAGGATGTCGATTGTCGAGTCTCCTCCAGTCCTCCACTCCCCAACTCCTCCACTCACATTTCTTATACGCCTTAAAGCTTTAAAGAAAGCCGACCCACCCAGAAAAATATTCACTCAGGCACGCACACACATGGACATATACATATGTAGGTATATGTATATATACACATGCATGCGTGCATGTATGTATGTATACCGCTCACTCACACTTTGTACATTCATGTGTGTGTGTGTGTGTGTGTGTGTGTGTGAGTGTGTGTTTGTGCTTGTACGTACAGGCAAATCATTTCCCGCGCCCAACTTAAATGGCGAAGGAAAATCAAATTGCAAACACGAACTTAATCCATTTTGTAGGCGAGGTGGCAAAGGTAAAAAGGTCGTCTCGAATGTGTATATATGTATGTATACATATACGTATGTATGTGTGTGTATTTGTGCAGCACCGTTGAGTGTGGCTTAAAAGTTCAGAATTGTTGGCGCTGTATCTCTATAGCTCGTATTTGTGTGTGTGTATTTGTGTGTATGTGTGTGTGTGTTTGTGTGTGTGTGTGCGTGTGTGTGTGGCAGGTGTGTAGTTATATACATATATATGTATGTATACATACCTTAAAGTTGTTGCTCAGCACAAACTCACGGAATAGAAAACGATTTTATAATTTATATATATGTATATATATTTCTGTTTTTAATAAGCGTTTTACGCGTCTACTGATAGTTAAGCATTTTATATTGCATTGATTGGCATTATTGTTGTTGGTATAATTTTTATTGTTTAGAAGGAGTCAGCTAAGACAATAGCAGTACTATGGATGTCCTCTGCCTAGATAACTGCTATTGCCATTGCACTTGATTTTTCCAATGAATTTCTCAATGAACGGAACGTGCAAAAAAATCTTAACTATGCCTATATGCCTGTGTGTATCTCAGGAGCAGTTAGCAATACTGTGGGTCTGTGTTGTTCGTTTGGGCGCTAGTCCTGCGACTATTCCGACACTCTACTTGAACTGAACTAAATGTAGGTGGACTTGAATTGAAACTAAGCAGCCAGCCAGAAGCCAGCAGCCAGCAGCCCCTAGGAGCAAGCGAAAGAAGCTCACACGTATTTAACTTCCTTCCGTTTTGTGTATTCGATTCTCGTTTCGTTTTTGTGAGCTTCAGCATCGGCAACGACAACGGCATCGGTAACGGTAACGGCAACAGCAACAGCCTCGTCGTCGGCTTCGGCGCCTAAAAGCTTACACGTTCGGCCCTTTCATAGGTGTTAAGATGTTTGCGTGTATGTGTGTGACATTTGCGTGGGTGCGGGCGTTTCAATATGCGACTACACATACATACATATTGACCTGGCATCTGCATCTGTGTGTGTATGTGTATGTGCGTGTGTGTGTGTGTAGGTGTGTCTGTGGATGTGTGCGTCACTCACACAATTGCGCTCTGCCATGAATGAAATTTTAGCAGGAACTGTTGCTGGAATTCTCGGCTCGCAGCTCCCGTTATTATAAACTCATCACTCGGCCTGCTTCGGCATCGGCATCGGCATCGGCATCGGCTTTGGATTTCGCTTGCCTCTGTTCGGCCCCTCTGTTCCTGTTCGTGTTGAATTTGGGCTTGGCTGGTTGTGCGAAATTCCTACTGGATATTTTCTCACTGCCTCTCGGTACATATTCTCCCAGGACTTTAGGCTGGACCTATAACTTCTTGTGTGGAATATAACATTTATTTACAAGTATTACTACTAATCTCCTCAAAATAATGTAAAGCCAATTAAATATTTTAGCTAACCAAGCAATTATGCTTGCTTATGCAAAAATATTTAGTTGAATTATCAGTATAAATCTCAATAAATGAACGTGTTTATTAATGAGTTATTGGAATGCCCCTACTACTCGTTGTATCAGAAAATATATCCAGCTCAATCTCATCGAAAACGTAGGCCGTAGGAAACCAGTGTGTGTCAAAGGACTCGCCAAAAGCTGACGCAGTTACGAAGCCATGAATGAATTTGCAAACTTTTCAATGAATGAAAGCAAATCCGCTGAACAGTGGCAAGTAGAAAGCTTCTCTCTCCAGCATATGTGTGTGTGTGTGTGTGTGTGTGTGTGTGTGTCACCGTTCGCCTATGCCTCGCAAATGTCCTTTTTGGGGGCGTAAGTCAAATGCAAGTGACGTACGACGGGCATAACTGTTAAAGGTTACGACTGGGCGTATCAAGTGGCATGACGTGTAACACATGTACATATACAAGTAGTATGTATGTATATAGTACACACAAACATACACACACACATACAGACCAGTATGCAGACAGCTTCAGAGCTCTATTTGACTTGCGAATACATAAATATGTGTATATATGCATAGTATACACATAGGTATGTACACATATAGTATATGACCAACACCCACCTGCGACAACTGCAACAACTAATACGAAATTCTCTAAATAATTAGAGAGTTTCTTAGTCAACTCACTGAAAACTCATTTAAGGTTGTGTCAGCTGGGTTCGTCAGGACTTATATAAGCAATTGAGTATTTCCAATTAATGAATAGCTACCTGCCATGTGTGCGAATTGGTTCTACCGCCAGCTTATATGGCCAAATCACACTTGCGACAACTGCAACAATAATGAGAAATTTTTCTGAACGTATCACCAGAACTTCATCTGAAGTTCGGCAAAGTAGAACCACTCGAGTTTGTGTCGGCTGTATTTCTCTCTCCACTCGCTATTCCACTAACCATAATCATTTGTTCGGTTCGACAATTTCAGTTTACACGAAAGCTGTTGTTCTGGCCTACTAACTCGAGTCGTTCTTCGTTTTTATGGTAGTTTAAGCTCTGCTATTAACTGTGCTACGGTTTCCGCAAGGCGGAACTCGCATTTTTGCGAGTTCAGGAGAAGAGATCTACGTGAAACACACCGAATTCGTTAGATTCTTGCGTTTTGTGTTATGGTCGTAAGTACGCGTATCTTTATACAAAACAATCATTGCTTCTTCTTAAATTTTTTTTAATCTTATAACAAGTTATAATGGAGGCGCAAAACACTACCCCACGCACTGCTGGCGTTATCAAAACACAGTGAAACGCGCTCTCCAAACTTTTCCTCAGCATCACTCTTTGGGTCTTTGTGGAACTGCCAATGGCGGCTCACCGGAATAACCCAACCTGCTAATTATTATTACAGTTATTTCAAAATAGTAAGCCCTATGAGTTATTGGCTACGAGTTTTATTCGATTAAACAACGTTTGAGTTTGTTCAGAATAGCGAATAGTATCTACAATATGTCTTAATAAATAAATGTTTTAACGGCTTAAAAAAGATTGGTTTTCAGTTCAGTTCACACTCAATTCATTTCCAAAATGTAATCTACTGAAAGCATATCAGTCTATATGCACTATATATAACCTTGTTTTGGACCTAAAGAGACAATCTTGCACCCAAATAGTTTAGCCTACGATGGTAGAGAAATCGCGATCAGCTTGTCGCTCATGATCATGTAAATGTGTGTAATGCGTTTGCCAAGATCTGGTGGAAAGTCATGGGTTGGAAGTTGGAAGTCGTATAGCTCTTCTCGCGAAAAGGTATAAAAAGCGTTACCGTTTCGGTTTGCCCCCAAACGCGCGCACCGTTTCGATTCGGTCAGTGTTTATCGTATATTTGATTTTGTTTTTAGTTGAGCAGAGAACGTCGTGTCGAGCGGTATCTATTCCGGCTTTCCAGTGGTCGTTTTTGTTACTGTTGTTGTCGCCGTCGTCTCGCCTCGGACTTCCTACACACATACGTGTCCGTATCCCCATCAAAAATATAAAAAACGAAAAAAAAACAACAACAAAATAAATAAAACAAAAATAAAAAAGAAACAACAGAGCAAAAATAAGGCTGCAGCTGAAATGAAAATGTTTGGCACAAGATAAATTAGTGATGCGAAGTGTGATTTTATTTCACTTTTTATTTATTTTTTTTTTTTGTCTTATCTTTAGAACTATGAATTACGTGCTAACCAGTAAAGTTCACAAGTTAGCAAGTCGTAAGACTGGGCCTAAACGAGTCTCGCAACGCAACAAATTACCGATTGCAGAATCATTCCGACTATGAACTGATCTTAAACAGATATAGCAGCGATTATAAAGAACTTGTGTTTTAATCCTTCCATGATCGCTTTTGATGATTTTTCCTCTTCATAAGTTTTGATAATACATGTACATACTTGTATATACTATGCATATATGGCATTTAATATCTATTCAAATTAAAGACTTATCAATCCATGCTACCGGGCGGTGTCCCACGCTTTTGTTTTTGTTGCGCTTAGCCTTAGACTTGATATACATTTGTGATTAGATCGTTGCTGCTAATTAATTTGGTGTTTTGATACAAACGCGCATCAAGTGCTCCCACAATTTTGAATCAGGTCTAAGCCGGTTAAGATCTCAGCCTATGGTTGTATATGTGTATTTGGAGGTCTCTGGCAGTTGTTGTCATTTTTAGGGCAGCATAGTTGCTGAATTTCAAAAAGAAATCTTAACACCAATCGAAGGTGGTTGAGGTGGTGGCGGAGGTGGTGGTGGTGGTGGTGTCATTTATTGTGGATATGAAAAATTTAGCAAAATGTGAAATTATAATTTATATTGATAAATTATTCGTATTTGTACATATGTATTATATAGTTTGCAGATTGGCATCGGCCCTTGCTGATAATGATAGCCATATCTATGGCAAACTTGCCACCTTCTGTTGCTGTTGCTGTTGGTGTTGGTGTTACTATTGTTGTTGGTGTTGGTGTTTCTGTTGCTGTTGCTTGTACGAATATCTCTTAGTTCACGTAGTATCTAAAATACATGCATGTGTATGAACACCAGCCAGCGTTTTTGTGCATTGAACTTTCTGCAGCAGCGACAACAACAACAGCAACAGCAACAACAGCAACAGTGGCGGTGCCAGAGGCAGAGGCAAAGGCATAGGTAGTCAGCAGAGAAATGAATATTATCTGGGTGCTTGCGTCGAAATAATTATTTATCTATGTACAATATATACAAATATTATCATTGCTGCTGCTGCTGCTGGTGCTGCTGCTGCTGCCGCCGCCGCCGCCGTCGCCGCCGCTTACTTCATATTTATATATTTTCGGCGTTGTTGTCGTAACGTAACCCAACAACACAAGGTCTGGCCACTGTAGCCGCGAAATAACAGAGATTCCGATTCTGATTCCGGCAGGGCGAGCGTTTTATTGTTTTATTGCCAGTCGAAATTCTCATTTGCTGCTTATTATTACTTACTTATTAAAAAAGACAAATTGCAATTGCTTATTAAATGTTCCGGGAAAACAACAACAACAACCACAACAACAACACGTACAACGTACTCATTACGGCCTATTGACACTGCCGCCTACTCGTGGCCGTGCCTGCAGTAAGTTTTTCGCAGAAAGTAAAGGCCTTGATCCCGATAAACTCACTGCGAATGATAAAAATTGAAGATGAAAGATGAAAAATGAATAAAAAAGAATCTGTGAAATATCTCATTTGGCTGACAAAGATAATTAATTGTAGCATGCACATAAAAACAGTCCCTTGAGCTTGTGTTCGTTATCCTTATCTGAGAATCTTTCCACGGCATTGCATAATCCGATATTGGATTGCTTTTCAAATTACAGATAATAGCGACCGCAAGAGACAAGCAACACACCATAAAGCAGCATGTCGCAGCCTTCGGAGAGTTCCGATTCTAAATCGGCTCAAATGGACAGTTCGAATGAGTTCACCTTGTTCCGTAAGTCGCCGGAAAATGCACGAAAAGTCCTTTTCAATAGAAATCGCAGAAATGCTTATTGTCCAGACCACAGGCGTTCCATATCCGAGGCGCAGCCATGCGTGGTTTCACAAAATATTGCCGAGAAGACCAGGACTCAGAGACGAAGCTTAACATCCTTTTCACATCCCGATCTAAACTACGTATTCACGAGTAGCGATATAAACTTATGGTCATCAAAATCGAGGCAGCGTGTTTCAGTAAGACCGACAAAATCAGCCCAAACGCCATCTACACAGAATATAAATGAAAGCCCAACAAGTGAAGTATCGGAAAGTCCCAACACTGGCGACGATTCCGAAATATTTGATAAAGCGTGCTGTGATTTTTTAAACAAGTTCCAGCTCTTCGAGGATTCGAATCCAATATCAGAAGCGCCAGTTCTTGATTGGTGCAATAATTTTGACAGAGCTCAACAGTTTTTCGAAGAAAGTGGAATTTTGGGTCCCACCATGTCCAGCAATTCACTTGATTTAATAAGAAGAACGTCTAAAATACGACAAGATCCAAATGTTAAAAGCCAGGTGAGGACTGATATGAAATGTGAACAAATTGCGATATCTACTCGCATTTTTTTTGTACTATCTTAAACATGATTGATGACGATATACATACATAGATACAAATGTGGATTACAAATGTAAATGGCATTGAAAATACAATTGAATTTTTTCCCCCCATATAGATACGAAAAACATCTCTGACTATGCGATCGAGAATGCCTTCTGAGAAGAGCCCATTGACTATTTCTATGAGCGAGAACCCAGAAATAAAAAGACTGGAGGAGGAAAATGCCTATTTAAGACAAATATTAAGTAATACAGTATTAAAATTTAGGGTGAAACATCAAGAATTGCTTAGATGTAAGGTAAACCAATATACATACATACATACATGCACACATACATATATAGCTGGCATTAAAAACATACAAACAATATAGCTTCAGGCTTTAAAGATATGCATTCTGTTTTTGGATTCTTTTGGTTTCAGAGGGCCTTGAAAGAGGCATACGAGAATATGAAAATCGAAACCGATGACATCAAATCGAAATATCAGAAAGACGAACTACGCGAATACTCTCCACGATACTACGAATTGGACATGATCTTAGCACCGTTTATGAAAAGACAAGGTGTATCAGGAGAAAGCTGTGAAGTGCGCATGCAAAAGTCAACCAAAGTCTCGATACCAAAATACAATAAGGATTTTAGGTAATTTAAATAACCAGTCGTATTTATAAAATTAAGTTAATTAGTAATTAGCACAGTAATTCGTTTCATTTTATACGAAAGCCAAAGTAAATCATAAAGCGCTTTCAATTGTGTGCAAACAATAATTTCACAAATTTCACATCTACTCTACAGATCTAAACAATTGATTAAAGATGCTATAACAGAGAACGATTTCTTGAAGCACATTGACGGTCCATTAATTCGCGAGCTAGCTGACTCCATGTATTCCGTGAATGTGGTCAAGGACGAGTTCGTTATACAAGAGGGGGAACATGGAGCCCATCTCTATGTGTCCGCTGCGGGCTACTTCGATGTGATCAAGAATGGAAAGGTTTTGAATAGGATAAAGCCCGGGGAGGCCTTTGGAGAGCTTGCCATTTTATATAACTGTACCAGAACTGCATCTGTGCGGGCCATAAGTAATGCGACAGTATGGGTTTTGGATCGACGCATATATCAACAGATAATGATGAGAACCGGTTTAGAGCGCATCGAAAATAGTGTTAACTTTTTAAAATCGGTTCCCCTTCTTTCAAATCTGACCGAAGATATACTGGTCAAGATAGCCGATGCCCTTGAAGTGGAGTTCTTTGCAGCAGGAACTTATATCATTAGACAGGGGGCCAACGGCGATACATTCTTCCTGATATCCCAGGGATCTGTAAAAGTAACTCAGAAGAGCCTACCAGCAGCCGGCGAAGTGGAGCTTCGTACACTCTGCCGCGGCGACTACTTTGGGGAACAGGCGCTCATTAACGATGACAAGCGTACCGCCAATATTATTGCGTTGGAACCGGGCGTGGAGTGCCTAACCTTGGATAGGGAGTCGTTTATGCAACTGATTGGCGATCTCTGTGAACTCAAAGAGAAAACTTATAACACAGATGTGCAAATGGCCAACGCACAAAATCCTCTAAACATTTTTGGAGAAAACATCTGTCCTGGTAGGTATAAACATGGCTCTTTTATATATAGGAATGTATGTATACATATTTGCTTCATGCAGCATTTCCAGACATGCAGCTCAAGGATTTGGAGTTTGTCACCACGCTGGGCATGGGTGGATTCGGCCGCGTCGAACTGGTCAAACATAATGATGACGTCTATGCTCTGAAGTGTCTTAAGAAGAAGCATATTATAGATAGCAATCAGCAGGATCATGTTATGAATGAGCGTAACATCTTGCTGTACAGTGACTGTCCCTTTATATGCCGGCTCTACCGCACTTTTCGGGACAGCAAATATGTTTATCTGCTGTTGGAAGCCTGCATGGGTGGAGAGATCTGGACACTGATGCGTAGAGCTGGGGCCTTCCCGGAGGGTGCCGCCCAGTTTATTGTTGCATGTGCGTTGCAGGCATTTGGATACCTGCATGCGCGTGGAATTGTTTATAGAGATCTGAAACCTGAGAATCTGATGATCGATCATAAGGGATATGTAAAGCTGGTATGTCATTCACTCCCATATGTACATACATATGTACTATATACCAAAAATCTTCCTAGAAGAAGAGTGGAAGACAACTAGCCATACTTTTAAGAAAGTTTCATCTAATAGTGTTATTTAAGAGAATACTTATTATACCCTGTACCTGTAGGGTACATATAAAGGGTATATTAGGTTTAGCATCTCCAACCCCATAAACTATATATATTCTTGATCGACGAGACGAATTTAGACATGTCCGTCCGTCCGTCTGTGTGGATGAACGCAAGGATCTCAGAAACTATGGAAGCTGGAATAACCAAAGTTGGTATCCAGATTCTCCTAGGTCCGAGAAAGGACGCATTTAATTTATTTTTTGGAATTTTTCCCCCCTTCCCCCGCTACAGAATTTTGTCAATACTGTCCACATTTCAAACTTTGCACAAATAATCTATATACAATTCTATAGTTTTGTTTTCAATTTCATCCGAATCGGTCAATTCTAAGAAAACTTCTTAGTGAAACCATTTCACTTCAGTACTACGCCCACAAACTGCAGCATCAAGTTCGCTCTTCTTCTTTTTTTTGCTACTGTTATGGGCACATGAGTATAACTCAGTCCCGGAAATTTGTCTGGGTACCGGGTATTACACTGTCCGGCTCGCTCGACTGTAGCGTTCTCTCTTGTTTTCAAAAAATTTCCCTTTTGATGTTTTTGCAATGATAAGATGAATGAGAGTCTAATTATTACATACTTGGGTATATAGCCGAAAAATCACATATTTATGTGGCAGAAGACCCACTTGGGAATTATTTGAATAAATCTCCCATTTAGGCTATAAATTTTTAACTTATGAATAATATTTGTTAATAATAGAATATACTACATGTAGTATTTCTAAATTCAGGGGTAGTTTTAGTTTTATGGATGGATATCTTTTACAATACAGAACATGTTCTTTTTCAAGGTTGACTTCGGATTTGCAAAGTATATTGGCAGTGGTTCCAAAACATGGACTTTCTGCGGCACACCCGAATATGTGTCGCCCGAGGTTATATTGAATAAAGGTCATGACCATGCGGTCGATTATTGGGCTCTTGGCATACTGATATATGAGACTCTGGAGGCTAGGTGAGTAGTTTACTTCAGTTCCATATATTCCGCCATTAAATAAATTACTTCTGCTTTAGACCTCCGTTCTCCGCAAACGATCCATTGAAAACGTACAAGCTAATACTAAAAGGCATTGACATGGTCAGTTTTCCCATTCATATGTCCAGATCTGCAGTACAGCTGGTGAAAAAGCTGTGTCGTCGTAATCCTGTCGAGCGTATTGGATATCAAAAGGGTGGTCTGCAGGATGTCAAAAAGCATAAGTACATCATTTTTCTCTGTCGATTTTTTGTGGATTTAATTGCAATTATATCTGTATTTGGCATAATAAATAGGTGGTTCCTGGGATTCGATTGGGATGGTTTGGAAAATCAAACCCTAAAATCACCGTTCGTGCCGAAGATTTCTTCCCCAACCGATACGAAATATTTCGATGAGTTTCCGAAAGAAACAAATGAGGCGCCCGAGGAGTCCAGTGGCTGGGATGCCGATTTTTAGTCAAGCATGCACCCAAATGTCCCAAATGGATGATAATACCTATGTAATATACAATATACTATACGAATGGAAAAACAAATGCTTGCATGAATAACAATATGTTGTCAGAGTGTAGCAGTAATACTTAGAAGTCACTAGAATGGGTGTATTCATCTGTATCGTCGTTTGTTGTTGTTCTTATGATTTTGTTCGTATGCATGTATGTACATATATATAGATAGATAGATAGATAGCTAGATAGATGGAGAGATAGATGGGTAGGATGTGTAGATTGCAGAGTCGAAATATACTGTAGAATTAATGTTACACTTTATTGAGGTTAATTTGTTCTATTACAAGTTCCACACACATATGCGTATATACAATTAAAGAAATAACCCTTATATCATATATTAAGTTCCTTCTAATGAAATCTTTGGTTTACAAAATATCATCAAAATAAATAGTAGGTAAAATAAACTTAAATTTGTTAGAAAGCACTTTTGTTTTTAAATATGTGTAGTCCCCATGCTGTCGAAAGCAATTAACGCCATTAACGCCGTAACGCCACACCTCAATGTCTATATTATAGTACATATATATTTTTTATAACTGAAACTAATGATCAATTTATAGCGCCATTCATTAAACACCGTCGTTGAACATATGTAATTGTAATCCATACCTGAAGTTCATCATTAATAATGCTTGTCCTTCAACTTTTCTACTTGTGTTTTGTTTTGTTTTTTTTTTTTTTTTTTTTGGTTTTTGTTTGTTTCATTAAATGTTGCTGCTTTATGCTTCTTCTTCTTCTTTCGTGTTTTTTTCTTCAAATCAACTATCTAACGCAACCAATCATCAATATGCTAAAATCTGGTATTCCATTCCATTAAAGAATTCAAAATGTACAATGATTAATGTTTGATATTCACCTAGCAAAGAGCTTCTGCATGTGTAAGAGCTTCTATAGAATTTATTATAACTAGATTATAATAGTCCATAATATTTTATCATCTTCTTTCTTTGTTTGTTATTATTATTATTATTTTCTGTTTTGTTACATAAGACACCGGCCCTTGCAGCAGCTAGCACGCCCAAAGGGTTCTATTTTGTATTTTGTATTTTGTTTATGGCTGGTAGGTAAATAGGGTAATATTTGAGAGAAGGGGTTTTGCGTATGCGCTTAATTTTCGCCGATAGTTGAATGCACTCTGATCCAGATTCTGATACCGAGTCTGAATTCGATTCTGATTGCGTTTTACACCCTTAAAATGGCTCTAAAGCTTACTGCGTAATTGCTCTACAATTTAAATATATATTTATATATATTCTGAACGAGCGAATATGGCTAAGTTTTTGTTGTTTTTTCTTTTTGGTTTTTGTTTTTGTTTGCTTGTATTTAATTTATGTATGTATTTCTATTGCGCTCCTCTAATACGAATATGGCGTGAAACTATTGCTTGCTCGCTATCTTGCTTGCATCGTTATTTATGAAATTATTCTACGTTATGTCTGTATCGTCGTAAGCGTGCACTATTTTCTATTTTTGGATCTCCGGGCGGCGGCGAGATGTCAGTTCGCACTTGGGTATCTATTAAATTTTGATTCCGTGCTATGTTGCCTGATAATGCATCCTCGGTTGGTTGGGAAACGAAAGTAGAGGTAGGTTCTGCTTTGCATGATAAGGTTCCAAAGCCAACAATGTCTGCTGTACCTAAATCCTTGCCGGGCTGATCCTCGCTGTTGTCCGTGGAGTGATCATCAAAGTGGCCGAGCATTGTTGTCGGGATGCCACGCGTCCTATGCATACAGATACATACATACATGTGTTGATTTTAATATGGTTTCCAATAAGAGGCACAATACGAGCACTAAGCTGCTGTACCTACCGACTGGAAGTGCGAGATCGAGGACGTTGAAATCTTAAGTTTAGTTGTGTGGGATCTGTTACGTACTTTCCTTCTGTAGACTCGCGACGACGTCGCAAACCTGCATACAGAGAAACACATAGAGCGGACGAAAGAGAGAGAGAGAGAGAGAGAGAGAGAGAGAGAGAGAGAGAGGGAGAAAGGGAGAGATAGTGAGAGAAAGAGAAGAGAGTGAAATTAGACATGAGTGTAACACACATTTTAAGGCACAAGCATGGACCAATTTGGCATTTAAGGATTTAAGGTTACGAAACGAATAATTAGACTGGTCCACACCACGGCCCAATATTACGTATGTATTTACAATGCCACACACATATGTACTATGTAAGCATGTATGTGAGTTAGAGTACAGAGCACACATCCAGAGCACAAAGCACACATTGAAAGCATTGAAGGCGTAAGCTAACAAAAGGACAAACCTGGTGTTAAGTCCGTAATATTAGGAGGATTTTGTAAAGCACTAGAATAAATGTCATTGCGGCTGGCAATAACGTCCGCGACGCAACTGGGTGTTTGGTGTGGTTGTTGTTGTAGTTGTGGTGGTGGTGGTGGTTGTGGTTGTGGTGGATTCTGAAGTGGTGGTTGTGTTCCCACAGGATTGATAGCACTTATTGTTGCTGCTGTTGTTGCTGCTGCTGCTACTGCTACGGTTGCAGTGTCAACGCCCGCCCAAGAAGCACACTTGGACTGACGCAAATTGGAAGTAAGTACTGGAATCTTACTGGGAGTTGAAATATCGCCGCCACCCACACGACTGACCGAGGCGGTGGCAGTGGCATTGGCATTGGTATTGGTATTGGCATTAGCATTGGCATATTGCGTATTCGAGTCACCTGTTTTGGATTGCGTACCAATTGGAGTGATATTATGGGTACCACCACCATTGCCATTCAACTTAATTTTCATCGGAGCATCGCCCGATGATTGATTGATGCTACAGCAGCTAATCTCATTGGGCGTGGCTGGCAAATCTTTAGTGTTGTTAGTGGGCACATTATTATTAGTTGTAGATGAAGAAATCACTGCTGCTTCTTTGTCATCACAGATTGTTGGCACCTTATCACGTGGCTCTGGACTTTGTGTATAACCAACTACAGCTCCCTTACTAGGAACGGCACCACTCGAGGTTTTGGCAGCGGCTGCTACTGCATCATAGTAGACAGACTCATCAAGGTTCGAGTTTTCTAAACAAAAAGAAATCATCGTTATTTACAATTTACAATTGCAGCGAGTAAGCACCAAGTTTAGTGCGCCCAGCTATAATGGTTTAAAAGTTCTCGATGTTCATACAGACAAACATACAAACAGACTCTGCATTGATTCGTCTGGCTCTGTCCATTTACCAATTCTTTTTTGTCGACCTACCTTTGGGAATGACACGAATTTCAAGTCGTCCACTAACACAGCCATCGTCACCTTGTGTTGTATTGCCACTGGAACCGCCACTGGTGGCCTGTACATGTTGGTTGCATTCCGGCAAATGCGTTTGCAGTCTCTGCATGCTGGGATCTGCGGCGCTCTGTAGAGGTGGCAAATTGCTTCGCTGACAGGAAGTGGTTTGAACACACCAGGGCACGGCCACAATGCTGGCCAAAGCGTCGCCGCCAGTATTCCTAGTCAGCTCCTTGGCCAAATGTTGTTCTTGAACGCCACCAGCATTTAGATGAGTATTTGTATTTATCGCTAATGGCTGCTCATCAAAGATATCAGTCAGGGAAACATTGGGAAGGCTGTTTCGATGTTTGCACATTGTATTCACATTTGCTGGACCATCCACACTTGGCGGCTGATTGTTGGCCGACGGATAGTCGTGCACGTTGGCAGCATCGTCGCTGTCTCTATCTCTGTCTCGGTCTCTTTCTCGGAAGGAGTGCACCGCATAGGCACCGGCAGCCGCCTTCGCATTAAGCAAGGGAGCGATTTCAGAATAGGTTTCGCGCACGCACACATTCCTGGCTATGTCCATCCGATAAACCTTGAAGAGAGGCAGTCGATCAAGCCGGGTGAGATCATTAGATAAATGGTTAAATAATGGATGCATGTGCATTATGTTGGCGGAATGTAAACATTAATTATACGTATTGGTAGCATGTACGCAGAGTAGGTCTACCATATACGTATGTACATATGTAAGTTAAACAGGTCCAGGTTTACACATACTCGTATGTCAGTATGTGTGAGAGTTATTTGCTTTATGAATTAAATGCTTAAAATGTCTCCCAACAGTATCATACCGATCCAATCAAATCAAATCAAATCAAATCAAAATAAACCTGTCGCCATATATTCATTAGTGTATATAGTATGTATGTATGTACGTTCAACTACAATTAAATTACACAGAAATGCGCATGCAGGGCAATTTGTTTGCAAGTTTTTGCTGTGCCATACACGAGACATAGTATGTAATACACACACGCACTCGCATGTATGTTTGTAGAATATATGCGTATGAATAACATGAATATTATATAGTATTTGTATTTGTACATTATTTATGTATGTATATGTATGTATATAGTATGCATGTGCATGACACTGCCTTATAAGAGTAGAAGAGTTGTTACAGAGAGAGAGAGAGAGCTATTAAGATCTCAAAGTAGTATATAAATCGTATGCTTACTGTGTCATCGAAGGCTGCCTGTTGTACAGCAGGTGGCTCTAAATCTTTACGTAATACATTACCCATCGCCGGCTCAGACCAACAGTGCGGTATCGAATTCTGCAGGGTTTCGTAGTTCTCGATGCCGGCTATGTTAAGTGTGTATCTATATGGCAAATGTAGGGGAAATCATCATAATATAACACATGTAAGTATATACTATATGTTCGTGTAGGTGCACCTCATCATAAAACAACATTGCATTTGTAGGTATGTACATTAGACAGGAAACGACATGTACAATAATTCAATATATGTATATGGACTCAATAGACCCAGCCCATGAAAAATCATAAAAACTAACCGTGTCTAACATTTTCTAGTTATTTTTACTTTAAGACAGGATATTCTAGAACTAGACCATGCGGATATTTGGAAACTGTCTCATAGCTTAAAAGTTTCGAAATGTTATTAAATTTCTTAGGCCTTCTTTTGATAATAGTCTTCCATGTTGTAATTAAGTGTTCTTTACTTTTGTTATAACAGTCTTCTAAGAATTCTCGAAACTTTGTAATAATTCTAATATTTAGGAACAAAAACGCATGGGGAAGCAGTTAAGTTTATTAGTCTTCGATGGTATTTATTTGTTAGGGCTGGGTATTTTTCGTATCTCATTAACAAAAACCCTATTTAGTTTATACGAAATCTAAGTAAAGGAGTCTTCAGATTGAGGTTTCGACTTTGTTTTGATGATAACGACGTGTTCGCGTCTCATACATATCTAAATTTACGCTAAAGAGAGAGGCAGTGCCGTCTAACTTATCTTAAATGAATGATCATACTTTTCCAAAGTAGACAATAACAGGAGTAGATACAATAGTACACTTATGCTTAATTGCTTAAACTTTTTTATATTTTTCATTCATTTTTGTCTTCAGTAGAACTTGTTACTCTATTCAGCGCTGTTCTTTGCGCTTCTCATGATTTGGCTTGTTAGCAGGCAAGTTTCTACAATTGCAACCGCAACTTTGTCAATTTGTCTGTTTTAATGTACATAACTAACAAAAGTTGTATAATTAATTAGGTTATACGTTCGATTTGCGGAATCAAACTTAAGAAATCAATCGGAATGCAGGTTAGGTATGAAGAGAACTCACCTCTTTACCCGCTCAGTTCCTTGGGGTCGTTCAGCTGTTTCAGCTTTGCTAGTGCTAGTAGCGATTATGTTGACACTCTCGCTAGGCAATGCCACTTCCGACTTGTTCACGTGCTCCAAATTGGGTTGGGACTGTGAGGCAAGAGGTATATATTTTCGACTTATGATCAAGGCAAATGTACATTTTATATAAAATGTAATACAGATTAAAGAGCCATGTTTCTTGCACATTAATATTAAAAAAAAAGAAAATGAATAAAAACAAATCAACAAACATTAGATTGGCTCTGAAAAAGTGGCTGGAATGGCGCAACATATATACATACGTTCACATAAATTTACATACTAATTGTATGGGATAGCAGAACATTTACATATACACATATATTGGTGAATAACATACATAGATATACATATGTAGTACGCATTCGCAGCACCCATTTGTGGGTAGTTGTGTAGATAGGTAGGTTGTTGTATATATAGTATATGGTATGTGTATATAGAGATATAGTACTATATATATGAAAAAGGTAAACAATTTTTTACGTCTGGACATTTTAAGCATTTACTATAGCATAAGCTTTACTGTGTTGGTATTTGCTATTTAGTTAGTCGTTAGTGGTATTAGTTGGGCTTTACGACGACTTAGACCGAGACGCGGACCCAGTCCCGAACCCGGACCCGTTGCCTTGGCTTGCCTTCGGTGCCCTTGCATTTACCTGTGGCTCTTGTTTCCACTCGTTGTCGGTCGTGTCCTCGGAATCATCGAATTGACTCTTCCATTGTGAGGCCAAAGTTAGTGCGCCACCACCCTTGGTTACCTGCTGCAGTGCCGATACGTTCTCGTCATCAATCAGAGCGAATTGTGTGACGGAATGATCGCCACCCATGCTGCCTCTTGTTGTGCCACCGCTGCTCAGACGTTGCGTTGACCCAGCGCCCGACGAGGGGCGCAAATTGGTCGATGTCGCTGATCGACGATTCGGTGGCGGTCCCCCAGCTATGCAAAAGACCTGACCACGCTGTCCACCCCCAGCTTTAGACGATGGAACAACTGTTCCAGAGGCCACGTTGCCAGCTATCGCATCAAATAGCAAATGGTCCGGATCACGCCCTGTTGAAATTCCATCAGCCCCGGCCCCAGTATTTCCGACAGAGGCCGTGCCGGCACCAACTGTTAAGTCATGCACACTCATTGGAGGTGCTGTCAACACCCGCAAGCGTCCGTATGTTGATTTCTGCTCCTCTGCGCTGCCGGCACCATGGGTTGAATTGCGTTTGCTTTCGGATGATTTTTCAGGCGCCAAAGCGGCTACCAGCTTGGGTCCCACAACATCTGTGGCCGCTAACTCGCCGCCAGTAGTCTGGGCATCGCCTCGCGTTGAGTGACGCTCGCCGCACAGCGATTTGCTGGTGCCGCCCACATCGACAGCATTAAGGCCGTTCTTTTCCTCTAGCACATTTTCCAGAGACACGGAGACTACATCCTCCTTGCGTCCTGCTTCCTTCTGTAACTTAATTGGTAGTAGGGCAGCAATTTTGTCATCAGCGTGCGGATACTGTGGATAATATATATAAGTATATATAATCCCGATAAAGATTGCACAGACTTACGTAAACTGGTGCCGAGTTGTTTTGATTGCTTGCAAATGATTTGCCAAATGTTTGGCCAAGTGCGGCGTTTCCAGCATGTGCCTGGCCACGTTTTGTATGGATGACTGCATGTGGGGATTTGACTTGTGCCGTGGCGGAAGCTTCATGATTGGACACAGCCACAGTTGCTGATTTCATCAAACCACTTGTCAGACTTGGTAGGGCCACCGCATTGGAAGTCAATTGTTGTTGTTGCTGCTGCTGAATAGCATTCCCAGCCAGCGGTGTCTTGGCCAATATGTTTTGATTGCCCGAATTGAGATTCTGTATGGCGCAGTCGGGCTGAGGTGTCGTCGCATTGCAATTCTTATCCACCTGCACACAAAATAAATGTGAGTTTGTGTGTGTGCGTGGAATGAGGTTCATATGAATCCAAAAACTAATATTTACCTTCTCTTTTATGTGTAGCGGTTCCGTTGAGGCCATCTGAGCCGTATCAATGTCATTTCTTTTCCGAATCTAAACAATTATGCAAATATTGTATGTGAACAAGCAAATTATATTTAGGACTATTGAGATTACATTTTAACAAATACTGGAAAAATTCAGAGGAATATAAAAATGATGAAGAAAAAGATATCCCTTGAAACTAACCGGCTTATATTTCCGGATTCAATCAAAATTTGTTAATTGCTCGAAATTAAGCCCGATTAACAAGTAAATCTAATGGATGACTACTGAAGCCCTAGCTCTGAAGCAAAACAATTGAATGCCAAAATCTTAATTGATCTAAGAAATTAAGAACATTTACCAATTTCGATTTTGAATCTGATCGAGTTTGGAAATTTGTTTGTCAAGTTTGTGTTTAATAAACAAAAACGAAATCGGTTGTGAAACTCACATATTCTGTGCCGCTTGCATTGGAGGCTGCGACAGTCATCTGTGTAATATTGCCGTGCATATATTCATTTTTAGCCGGTGTCGGAGCATTGGTCGCTGGATTTATGTTGCCAATACCGGCAGTGTCTACCTTCTCCCAGTCGTACGGATCCGATTCCTTGACACCCCGTCGTTTCATACACCGCTCAAACAACCCAATAAGCATCTGTCGATTTAAATAAAGAATTGCGAAATTGATGTCAGGAATTTATGTGATTGTTGAATGAAATTACCGCATAGTCTGGCCGATCGGCATAGGTCAGGGACTGTATATGCTCCAGGAATTGTTTGAGATCGGATGGCAAGTGCTTCAATAATATTCTATGGTCGTACTTCTCCTTAGTTAGCCCGACCTGCTCCTTGTCTTTTATTTTACGCCATGGCAGTTGTCCGTTGACGAATTCCACAAGCATATAGAACAATGACCACAAATCGTCATGACGACCCATTTCCCTGTTGCGATGGGCATTAATTGAGGCATAGCGTACCGTGCCACGGAAACCAGCCGCCGCACGTGGACAACGCACCTCACCAGTGCCCGTTGTGTATTGACGCGCCAGACCAAAATCCAGCATATAGACACGACGGCAATTGTAGGGCAAGCGCCCAACGGAAAAGTTGCTCTAAAGGACAAAAGTGGTAAAGTATAAATAATATCTATGTATGTGGACACGCATACTAATTATGTATACAGATTTCTAATAATTTATTTATGGCTCGTCATGCTTACCGGCTTAATGTCACGATGCAGAAAACCCACAGAATGTATTGATTCGATAGCTTTGAGTATTTGCAAGCCTAGCCTAAGAGTTGTACTCAATGAAAATGCTCCACGTGGCTGCGCGCGTCGAAGCTCGGCGAGATTTTTCCCCTGTAGCTGCATGACAACATAATTGAAGCGATCGTTCCGACCGCAGCCAATAAAACGGCAGACATGCTCCTTGCCCTGCAGCTTTTTTAAAACAGCTACCTCCATTTTGAGCACCTGCTTGGGCTGACGTGCCGATTCGACTTTCAGGGCCACTTGCTCGCGCGTTATGAGATCTTGTCCTTCGTAGATTTCGCCAAAACCGCCGCCACCGATTTTGCGGACCACCTAAAAGGTAAAATGTGATTGATGATGTCAAGGAGTAGATGGATGGGCGGATTCGTACTCACCTTCCAACGCTCCTTGACCACGTGACCCGGCTGAAGCAGGTCCTCCGAAGTCATTTTGTTGGCCTCCTTCTCCGCAACGGCGGCTTGATTACAGCTATTAATGTTGCTGCTTCTCTCTGCGCCGAGCGCAGGCGTCGCTTGTGGTACTCGAAAAGTCACTCGACTACGTACTCCTAAACGATTGTGTTTCGCTGGCAACGTCGCTGATCGCTGCAGCGCATTTGGATAACGATGCTCCTCCGATGGCTCCACCGATCCCTCTTGCGCACCGTCACCTGCACCAGCTCTCAGATTCTCTAGGATGTGTGGCTGAAATCTTGGTCCAATTGCCGGTGGTGGTTTTGTTGGCGGCTGTAGACGTAGGAAGTGCCCGTCCGGATCCTGATTCTTATAGTTAAAGCTTATGTATTTCTCCTGCTTCGGCTGCTGTTGCTGTTGCGGCTGCTGCTGTAGTTGTTGCTGCTCCTGTGGTTGCTGCTGCTGCTGCTGTGGTTGGTTCTGGGGGTGGTGCTGTTGATGCGGCTTGCCCTTAGCATGGGCGCTCGAGGCTTTGTGCGTCTGCTGCTGCTGCTGAAACGGGTCCCGTGGCCCACCGACATTTTCGTCGTTTCTGGAACAGAGCAGAGGAGAACAAAAAGGCAGTAGCAGGCACTCTTCAGTTTGTGCATATTCAACATATATGCTTCTCAGTCCTAATATTTTCAAGACTTGCACCCATAATGCTCAAAATTGAAGCTCGAAACTCAGCTCGGAGCTAGTGTGGACCAGTGTGTCCACACCTTAAAAATGAAAAAAAATTAACTAAAACTCACCAGAGCTCAGAATCAGCTTAAATCAGCTGGTTGTTAAGTAGGCCCAAAAGGTCCTTTTGCTTAGAAACTCACACAGATACATCCATACAAAGGCGTATGTATATATACATATATATGAGTATGTATGCTCTTGATAATAATTAAGCGTGAGGAACAAGGCTATGTTTTTCTGTGTCCTTTTGTACAAACTGAGCAATTAAACAAACTATTGTCTAGGGCAAAGGCTTAGTACATATACATACGTATATATGCGAGTACGTATGTACATATATACACACATACATACATATATTTTCATTGCAATGTGCGCGAATTAAATTGCTCCGATGATGTCATAAATGCTGTAGCAGAATAGCCGAGGGGGTGTAAGAATATGATAGTGTGTGTTCGGCTTATTCTTTTTCAGAAATAATTAACATCCTGATTCCATAGCTGGCCTTAGATTAAGGCTCAAAGTACATACATATGTACACAGCTACGGAAATTCCTTCTAACCACAATTGCAAAATGGTCTGCGCTAACGGACCATCGATTGTGCAAAAGGACATTATTTGCGAGCTCGTTTTGAATGGGAACAGTTCCTGCTTTGCTTATTATCAGTTATTTCAATTGATCAATGTTTTTACCTCGTTATTTAAGAATAGACATTGTTCACAGCCACGCCACAACTATGATTATCGAAAACTTCCGTTGCACTGTGCAATCCACGTAATCCTTAACTTATTATGTATAACAACACTTGGAAAATTTCCAATAAACCGTAAAATTTAAAGTCCTACTTTTCCTAGCTATAACTCAAGATATATTTTAGCTATTCTTATAGCTTCAAAGCACTTCTTGTTTTTTATAATTAAACCGTTTGGTTTCACAGTTAACGGCAAGTCACTTTTTCTTTGCAAGGCAAAGATGTTCCACCAAATTGCAAATCGCGTATCGATTAGTAAGCTTTGGGGCTTTTCGTTCCAAGTAAAGCTCCGTCTGAGCGCACCACGAAAAGAATAAGACCATGCGAGGGCCATTCCAAATGACAGTTGTCAATGGTAACACCAACGGCGATAGCTACCAGCTGTCATCTTCCAGGCCATGCAGCGCATGCGCACTTTTCCCCACAACGGTTTTCCTGCCGCTCCTGTGTCTGTTTCTGTGTATGGGTGTGGAAATTGTCCTATGAAGTTGAGCGGGTGACAACCCTTTAACTTGGGGAGATGGCGGACTAACGGTCTAATTTTTCAAATGTGAACGCCGTTTTGAAATTAAATTTTATTATTCCAAAAAGGATATTAACATGTCTGACATTCAGGTTTAACTTTTAACTAAACGTATTAAAAAAATATTAATTTAATCTAATAGAATAACCATTGCTGTAGTTTTGTAATTACAGGAATGGGATAAATGTAAAAAATGTATCCTTTAAATGTGTCAAAAAGCATATTCGCACAATCATTTTATTTTGAAAGAGAAATCTCTTCTGCATAGCTTTTTTGCTAATTCGTCAGATTTTGAGCTATCTATGTATAGTACATATATTTTTACTTTACAAACAAACGTGTATTTGCACTGAATATCTCTGACTCCGTGTTGACTTAATATTGAGAAATATGTGTAATATACAATGTATTTTCTAAGGAATGCGAACGAGAAATTGAACTCACCTTTGAGTCTCCTGTAAATGCATGATTGTTCTTTGGGTTGTCTTCTGTTTTGGCGAGTTCTTGTCTTTTAAAAATATATATATGCGTTCTAGAGCATCATGAATAATACGATGTTATGATTGATTTGCCAAAAAACGAAAGACTAGTGTTGTTGTTGCCGCACTTACACATCCACATCTAAATAGAGAGCAAAAAATAGGTGAGAAACAGAATCAAAACAGATGTCTGTAAGTACTAACTGCGCAGGATAAATAGTGAATACAATGCAATGGAGACGAGTTAGAATTAAGACTATAATAATAAACTTAAGATAAATTACGGCTAACAGAAATCTGAGTTGCGCACTTAAATTGAATTGCACTTCTCTGTGCATCACATAATTTGTATAAAAAATAAACTATGGACCGCTCTCTCATCCATGACACACAGTAGAAGAATTTTCGTGAATGTACAGGTGATTGAAAGCCTCAAGAACTGTGGGCGGAGTATTTTATCGTTGATGGTTGCGAAAATTAAAAAAATATTTGGGCATGCATATACAGGTCTGTATTCAGTATGTACAAAAACACACATATGTATGTTCATATGCATGTATGTCGATGTCGATATTTTCATAACTGACGAAGCGAAAATACTTGTATGTACGTAAATATGTATAATATATATGTATGTATTTTCTCTTTATACAGGTACTGGATATTGGGTACTGGCTGTGCATTGGACTGCAAGTGTTCGTCTTCTGTTTGTTTGTATATTTATGCATCTCTGCGGGAACTATCATCACCTTTATTTGAATTATCTAGGGTGAGTTTCTATAAGCGCTGTTCGTTTTTGTCTATTTTTATAAATACATACATATGTATTTAACATTTTGTTGGTTTAATTTTAGATAAATTCAAAGACAACTTCCACCGGAGATCAACGAGAGATATACACGTGACGCGTTTTGACATATTTGATATGATTTTCTTGATCGGAATGTGTTGTTTTAGGACTCACAACTATCGCCGTTTACCAGAATTATTGTGGTTTCTCATTATTACAGTAGCATAACATAGCATAACATCATTTTACAATATAGGAGAAATGTGCTTTCGGTAAAATGTTCTATTTATAGGCAAACACCGCTCTGCTCTCTTGCATTGTTGTACGTGCACATTGGATTTTATTTTGAAAGGCAAAAAGCAGCCACAAGCGATCTTTATCGTGTATAGTGGGTAGCTGCCGCAGTGGTCTTAATCTCAGGCACTTTTTGGTTCTTTGTATGGAGCTTTCACGTACGTACGAGTTTTTCCGTTGAACGAAAACTTTGCACTGAAAATTCATCCGATCGCCTCCGAAAAATACTCACGCCCCAACAGCAACGCAGAAATTCGGCTAAAGAACTGACAACTTTTCAAAATAAAACAAAAATAATAACAAGTGCAAAAGTTATCTTTGGCATATCGAATCTTGCATACACTTTTCGAAAGCTTCACACCTCAACACAAATTATTTATGGAGTGAGCTTTAATTGTAGTTTATACCACTATACAATATAAATACATTCGTTCTATGTTAATTATTATAGTTTATATAAGGAAGTACCTATGTACATTTGGCATAAAATAGAGATTCATTTTTATGCAACACAAACGGTCAATTAAATGACATTTGAATGAGCTCCTTGAAGGGCGCGCAAGCTATTTCACGTTTTAAGGCTGACCGCTACGCAACTTTAACGCGTCTGGCTTCAAGCTGATATGCGCAGAGCTCAGGTATTCCAAAAAGCTCGGGTACTGCTAACTTTTTTTCCAATGCAGCCATGCAATAAACTCGATATCGATTAAACAGGGAAACCCTACAATAGCATTGTACACCGATACTAGAATTGCAACTATTAAAAAAATACAACTTATCGATATACGAATTGTAGGCATGTAATAATTTAGCAATCAATTTTAAATACATTTCAGTTACAATATACCCGCTGCTTAATGTTATTTCTCTAAAACCGCTACAAGTTCATTTAAATATATATTTTTAAATGTTAGTCGCAGCCATATGTGAGAAATTCATGTAAGCCTATCCATATTCTTCGAATGCTCTGGATTCAAATGCCAGATTATTCTTCTAGACATGTATGTAAATGGCTTCTACTGCTTTTTAGGGGCTGCTAGAATTATGAAAATTGGAAATATTTAATACTTGCTTAAAATAAATTAATCTGCTTCATTTATTGTGTACTACTGCTTAATGAAAAATTTGAAGCTTGAATTTCGAGAAGTCTTACTCTTTGGGCTGTAAGTTGATAACCAATCTGTCAGTCAGTACAAAATGTATCATTTATGTATATAAATGGATATAAAGAAAGGGTATACACAGAAATATATATACGTACGTACCTGGCTAAGTACATGTACATACAAGTATGTATCAGTGCAAGTTGAACGAAAATTAGTATTATTCCAGTTGCTGCCTTCGCTAGAGTTGCTTCAAATAATGATTTTTCGGTTTAACTTCGCAATAAGCGTTATTTGGTGTTAATTAGCAGAGTCGTAGTCACAGACACATACGCACACAATTATTTGATAACGAACCAACGCTTTTCACTCAAACTGCTGTCACAAAACTATGGCATGCTATGATTAATATGTGCATAACAAATTATTAGTATAGCCAACAAATTTTACAAATTGTGCTTCTTTCACATACCATGTATGTATATTCCATTGGGCATGGAGGATAGACAGCATTGATTTATTTATCCGTTTCACTGTGTGAGTGCTCACTGTCACTGTCAACAAAAAGGCTGACGCGCCCAGAGTCTCGAAACGGCCGCTAAAAAAACGTCAAATGGCCAACTGGCCAAGTATGCACGTCCGTAAGCACTTGTGGGTTAAGGTGGTGGTCATTTATGGGCCAAGGTCGTTCATATTCGGTTGCCTATGTACCACTGGACATGCGGTACATAAATACATGCATACATATGTATGTATATTTGTATGTATACTTGTAGTATGGATGTAAATACATGCGTATGCATTATGTATGAGGAAATACTTGAGCTTTATACGCATATATGTATGTTTCTATAAATATATATACATATGTACATATACTCGTATGTATATATGTATATGTAGCGTTGTTTTAATAACAACCTTTTCTTTAAGTGTGTACATATATACCTAAATAATGTGCACAAATGTTTATCTGCTAGCATTTGCAACAATATATTTTTAGACCTGGTTTGGTTCTATTTAAAATGTTCAAAATATTATAAGGTGAATTTTTTAGTTTTTTTTAGTATTAAGAATGAATATGAGTACAAGTTCATAAAACTACTAGTGTTAGTAAGTAGTTCGTATCCTGAAATGTATTTATAATATAATATAAGCAGTTTATAAATAAATAGCTTAAATATATATATATATATATATATATATATATATATATATGCTATGCAAAGTCTGCTTAGCACTTGAGCTTAACTGTACCAAGACAAAAACAAAAAAAAACAAAAAAAAAAAAACAAAAGAACAACAGCAAGAAGTAACAACGATTCAAGAACGATTTGAAATTACGGGGGTGTCACGATTCGATTGAAAGTTTAGAGAAAGTGTAACTCTGACCGCGTATCGACTTCCGCTTGAAATATCACATAGAAAAAGGGTTAAAATGTTTAAATTCCTGGCAAAAGGCATGCCAGTCGAAATTGGTTGCATAGAAAACTGATATAAAGGGGGATGGGCAGAGACAGGGGCTGGGCTGGGCTGGGCTAGAAACAGAGTCAGAGCCAGAGCCAGAGCCGAGGCATAATGCTTCAAGACAAGGGCCAACGGCACGGACAGTACACGGACAGGGTGAGGCAGTGGCTCGAGTATGGGCACCGGCACCGGCACCGGCACGGGCCACTGCCACCGCCACTGAAAACGTTTTTGAAGTTGGGTGGTGTTGATGTGCAACAAATCAATATGGAAATCAATAAAAAAAAAAATGTATCCAGCAGCCGTCACCCTCTGCAGTGCTAAAAAACGCACACCCCTCACAGTCTACATACATACTTGTAGGTATGTCTGTGTGTAGGTAGCACGGAGGTTTGTATGTATGTTTGTGTGTTTTTGTATTTCTGTGTGTGGGTAAGCGATAAACTATGCAAGGGATGCTTAAATCAATCCACAATATTCCTCAATACGACTATAGCGGGGGCCACATATGCATATCTATTGGATTTAAGCATTTAAGCATGCTCAGACTCATACTCAGGCACTGATTCAGAATCAGAATCAGGTTCGGGCTCGGGCTCAGGCACTCCACTTTTTTCTTTAATTAGTTAAATTGCATTACAAATTTATATTTGTAGAATGTGGGCCTTAACGCAATACAGTTGGCGTTCAATATACGATACAAATTGAAAACAAGGCACTATTTTTTTTAAATAAGGAAATCTGCTGTGTCTTTCTATTCGAAGCTTATGAACAGCAATAATTTTGCTTTAAACAAAGTATCTTTCATATATGCATTTATTTTTATTGGAAAATTATATATTATTCATATTTCTTTTTCTTACATTAAATTTTAGTTCACAACATTTTCCAGCGAAGCAGGAATAAATAATTGATTGAATAAATGACCTGCTAAATGAACAATTTCTTAAACAAACAAACTAATATGCATGATTTGTTTTAGAATAAATCTATTGTTTTTTTTTTTTTGTTCTTCAAAATCAGGTGATCTGGTTTCTTTTTCTTCCTCTAAAAACAAGAGTAAAATACTAGAGTCAAGCGAACCAACTCTTATATGTAAGTACTGCCAAAAGTCTAGCCTATGTGTGTCTATTTATCTCTATGTGAGATTTTAGAGTGGACAGACCAGAAAAAGTATGTCCTTTCTCGGACCTAGGAAAATCTGAATACCATGTTTGGTTAATACAGACGGGCATGGTTATTTTAGCTCGTCCTGTCATACAGATCAAGAATATATGTATCTATAGTACATTGTTGTAATTCGCATTAAACTGAAGCATTATTTCACCTATTGGGCATAAAATAAAAATAACAATAATTGTCGACCAATACCCTATAGCTAAGAAAACTTCCGTCGCTGTGTTAGAGGATTGTTATATGCGCGCAAAGCGGAAGCGAAAAGAAGAAGAGCCAACCCGGTGCTGCAGTTTGGGGAAGGTATACGGACATAAAATTATTTCGTTAATAACTTTTCGCAAAGTTAAGGTAGAGAATTATATATAAATTAGGTACGCAACGTTCGGTTTATTTAGCTTAGTATTGTAGAAATTCTGAAATTTGCGGAAGATAAATTCAAGAAATAAAGGACTAGAAGAGTTCAAGTTTTGTCAATATCGGCTCAGCTCATGTCTAGCTGTGGTTATTAAGATAATATAACTTCTATGGGGTTTGAGATGCTTCCTTATGTTTTAATTACATATAATATATGTATAATGTATGTATAATATTAATAGTCATATTAATATTAACAATTGACTACTATTGAGGTAAAATGCAATACATTTAGAATCAGTGCATAATTTTGTTACACGTGTGTTTTGTTATGAATTATTAATACGAATGATTAATGTATATTTTCTTGAGTTGCTCATAATTCTATTGCTGTAAGTTAGCCTAATATATAATTAATATAATATAATATTATATATATTATATATATAATTAATATATAATTATGGCACACTTGTCGCAAAAACACACACTTGAACACAAAAGATGAATTCGGAAATATTTTGGTTGGGATTAAATAAACGAACAAGTTGTATACAATAATTTTTTTCTAAATGTGATTCAGTTATGTATGTGTTAATGATTAGTTCTAGTAGTACTGCATTAATCAATATATAATTGTCTATTTCATTAAAAATAACAACATTGTACAATAACAACATACGCAGTTTAAATTATGATTTACTCGGAAATGAAATGTGACTTATCCTTTTATACATAGTTTAAAAGATCCAAACATTTCAGAAAACTTCCTGAAGTATTGCCGTAGCATTGTGGGAAGCAAACTTTTAGCTTATCCTTAGATCTATGCCTAAATTTATTAGGCTCTACAGAAAAGTCTTATCTAAGTTTAAATCGCGTCATAATATTCAAATGAATTGTTAAAGCCCTGCCATATTAAGTATAGCCGAGTATAGCTCGGATAAGTTTTTATTTTAAGGACACACAGATTCTTTGACTTTACTTACACACTTGTATGTCTATAAGAGCTCGATTTGTTAACTTTGAAGAATCAGAAGTAGTCGAAATTGTATCCACCAGAGAGAGTTCCTACTCCAAAAATGTGTCTTTA